TTCTAATATAACGAAATAAAATCATAGGTATAGGTCGGAGTACCGTTAAGAGTGTTTCGGAATGAAATCTTATAAAAAATAAACCACGAAGCGATATATCATGATGAAAGTAAAAAACCGCGCACGTGTCGTTTCCCGAAAAATCTAAAATCCAACCGTATATATAATTCGCTTGTATAAGGTACCTATATATAGTGAGAATAAATGCCAAACAAAAGTTTCTCCTTCGTAAATGACGCGGTTATTCTTATGCGGTGAAAATTAAATTAATAATAAAAAAAAAAATCATAACTCTTGGTTTCCGTACGGTAAAAATGTATCACCCTTCTCTCTTCACCACCGCCGAGAGTCACCTCCCTCATGCCCCTCCCGGGACGACAACGCCGTGGACGATATTCGTAACGAAATAAATTTTAAGTGTCCGCCAAAAATTGCGTATACTTTTTTTTCTTATATTCAATTTCCCAATCCTCGTCCAATCGTCGCCGGTCTGTGGTAACAGTAACGGCAGCTAGGGCGACCCGATGGCGAAAATTTAATTAATAATTTATGGTTCGTTTCGACGGCAGTTGGTGACAATAGGCCTCCGAGGCAACGCAGGTTCGCGAAACAAACAATATGTATATACGCCGATACAGTAGCCGCAACGGTATAGAGCAACCGTTTTCTCCGTCTAAAAATATTATTTTTTAATAAACGAACGCGCCACGAAAATGAAAACGGTAAAATACGTTTTTCTCTCAGTTATATTATAATGAATATGCGGGACTCTGGTGAGATCAACTCCATCCGAGTGAGTCGGCAAAACTCAATCGAAGCGCGTAAAACACAATCACTACATTCGCAATTAACCACTCGAACGGTGCTCGCCACAGCGCGGATAATACTAAACAAATCACGCGCCTACATTAATTTCAGCCCATCCCCGTTGACATCGTTTTTATTTTTTCCTCCTTTCTTTTCCGCAACGGATCGACCACGTTTTCCTCGCCCCTACCCCGATCCCGTTTCGCCGCACACGTTTCATATTTAATGCGTCCTTCGTTTAAAAGACGGACGTAAATCACCGCGAGCCGTTGCAGGTCGTCGCCGAAGGGAACGCGGATGACGGAGTATCTACGACGACAACGAGACAATACGCTTTAGCGTACATACACCATTAAACCGTGTATCGAGCACATAATATATATATATATACACACACACTCATAGTACGTCTGCCACATGAGTATACATTTATGTATTATTATTATGTAGTAAAAATATATATAAAGCTGAGGGGGCTGCAGTAGCCTCTATCACTCAAAACTGCGTGTGATTTATGACGGACGCACATGAACCGACCCTCCTCGACCGTACACGTACATATTATATGTATATATACGTGATCGAATACACCGCGTTCGAGCCGTTAAGTCTGCGGGGTGAGTTCAAGAACGCGACCGAACGAATGGGACAAAGACCGAGGGGGTAGTACACGTGACGTCTAAATCCTTTCGGTCTAAACCACACTGCCGCCTAGCTACTTACGTATGACTTGGTGGTTTCCGAATGACGGCGTGTGCACGGCGTACGTAGGTAACCAGCAACTAATGTACGATAACCCAACCGCGAGCGCTGATCACGTATCATCCGAGAGAGTACGTAGTGAGCAGCGAACGGAGTGAAAGAGTGAGGGCCGTGGTAGCGGGCGAGTGAGAGCTGAAAAAGTTTGTCGTAAGAGAAATCTGCATAATATTATTCGCGATTCGCGCATTTCCTACACCCACATCGGCAACCCTTTGAAAACAGTCGGGATCCATTGGTTTTGCCCGAGTGTATGACCAGAGGTGGCTGTAATGAAGCCCCTTCCTGAGACATTTTTGGAAATCTTAAGTCATACATCATAAAATAGTAAAAAATTCAAAAACAGGCAGTGGCTATTTTTGTGTACACTACGTCACTCTTTGTGCGCTACGAAAAATAAAAATGTGCACCACCTTTTAGTACTATCACATAATAATTGTACAATAAAACACCAGTCAAAAATAAGTTTTTAATATTTTGTTTTTTTTTTTTTTTTTTATTACAAACATAAGTATATAAATATATATAATTAAGCCTGTAAATATAATAAATATATAAAAATATTTTACCAACATTTTAAGGTGGACCACTTAAAATAAATGACGATTATAAAGCGATTTTTATGTAATAATAAAAAAAATTCAACATTTTGCCCATAACTGATAGTAACTAAGTTCAAACTTAAACATGTGCACTACGGAAAATCAGCAAAAATAGCCACTGAACACAGGTATCTACTATCAGTACTGTAGTCGTAAAAAAAATCAGAGGGTATACTATAAAAGTTATAACCAATTTATTATTAATAATTTATTATTATTACCAATTATTAGGTGTTTTAACCCATCATTACATATTCTGGTATACATACACAAAATACATATTGTGAACAAATTAAAATAAAAAAAAAAACATTTTTTAATTAAATACTTGTTACTAATTACATAATACTATTAAATGTATTACTATCACTATTAATAAATATTTATTATTGAAAAATATTCCATAAGTGTAGGTACTTTGGATTTTAATTTTGTTAAATTATTTTTTGAACAGATTCTTGATTATTTATCATTAGTTTATCGTTCAGAATGCTCTTCTAGCCATTACCGCACGTACATTTATGGTTTAACACTTCAATAGGCCATTAGATTTAATAAACATTAAACTGGATACATTTGAAATTAAAAGTGATGCTCTCAAATTTGTAATAATATTATTCACAGGACTAAATCCCCTTTCGCATCCAATTGTTGAACATGGCAATGATGTGATTATATTAAAAATGAGTTTAAAGTTTTTTGGTATCAATTCATAATCTTCGATAAAGGCTCTTAAACCATGAGCTGCTTCAATTTCATTAACATCAAAACTTCTACAAATTCTTCAAAGTTCTGATTCCTCATACCGATTACTTCCCTTTTCACTAATTTTCAATTTATCTAGATCAAGTACTGAAATATCATTAAGCAATTGATAGTTTTCATCGCCTGAACTTAAACTTAACCTTATCGTCATTCTATCGATTATTCTTTGAATTAATTGATTTTGATTAATGGGAATAATTTTTTTGTTCGGAATAATCTGAACGTAATTTTGTTCTTTTTATTAACTATTCAACTTTTGGTAGCGTGATAAAACTGAAAGTTCTTGAAATACGTCAAAATAAGACCTAGGTTCAAAACGAATTCTGGACTTTCCAGTTTTTTTTTCGATCCAATAAATAGATACTGAATTTGTATTTTTATCATTACTTCTTTTATCATAATAAGAACTTTTAAAATGAGAATAGAGGGCAGTAAATGACATCCAAACTACTTTTACTGTCCTTAGACTATACTGGGCACCCATCAAGTACTATGTACAAGACCTATTTTATTAAACTGCAAATTTAAATCTTGACAACAAGTTTGTTAAGCAGTTTTGGTGATTGACTGAACAAGCTATGTAACTTATCAATAAACAATTTAAAATGGTTGATTCCACGAACGTCTTTTATTGTATCGGATACTTATATTTCAAGCTTATGATTATAGCAATGCCAAACAAAAACTTTAAGATACTTTTCACGTAATGAGTCGCAACACCTGGGTTTTTACCAATCATAATACTAGATAATACTCCATCTGTAGCTTTAGCCACCCATTTTTTTTTTTTTTTTTTAGTAAATATTCATTTAAACCATTTGATTTTAATAGGTTCAAAATTGTTTTTATATTTATTCAGCATCTTAAGATTGCAATTCACATAGTAACTAAAACTACATACTTGGGATCATTAACGCCTAAGTGCGTTTTCAAATAAACTACAAGAGTACTTTTTTACTCAAATTTGTCGGTATATCAATAAGAACACTTCGATTTAAATTTAATGTTACAATCCGAAGTACTATTTTCTCATATTTAATCAGCACCCGTTTTGTCTGTCGAACACAATATCATTAATTGATGTTCGACAGTAAAATTGCAGAGCCGTAACTAGAGTGAGGCGAGCGAGTCACTTCCCTTAGGCGCCTAAAGCTGGGAGGCGCAAAAATATTAAATAATTAACTTATTTTAAGAAACGTTATTTCTTGTTTTGCTAGAAACCTAATTACAATTTTTCTGATTTTTTCCGAATCGTATTATACATATTAAAAAATGTGAATGTGATAACCCTACAACCTAGGGCGCATTCCTTCAGTTCTGCCTCAGGATAAAAAATTGCTCGGTACGGCTCTGTAAAATTGTATCGATAAGACATTACATAATCGAAACGTGTATAGTATCTTAGTAGAGTAATCTGGGGTATAATGGTGAATGGGGCAAAATGAACTATTGTATACAAGTAATTTAATATTTGTTATCTGGTCAAACATTTTTGTTATTATGATTATATTACCAAATGTGATGAAACATTTTTTTCAACAGTTGATTAAGTTTTGACGTTATGAGATAAAGTATTAATTGTATTCGTCTGATATAATATTTAAGTAGTATAGAAGTAGTAATGTGTACTATATAACGACACGTTAGGTGTTGCTTTTATATATATTCGTTTAGTACAAGTAGGTGACTAAACGTCAATACAGTAAAACCTGTCTTATGCGGAATTGCACGGGCCCAATAAAAATTTCCGTTTTAGGCAGGATAAGAAAATTCCGTACTATACAGTTACGATATACTGCACGATTAAAGTTGTAACATTTTCCGGTCAATAATAAAAATAAAAATATTAAAAATTAATAAATATCATAGGCTACAATAAATTTTAATTTTTAGTAAATAATTATAATAACAAGTATATTAATTAAATATTTCAAAATAATGATAAATTAAAATTTTAAAAACATTTAGTAGGTACTAATAAAATAATATAATATAATAAAATAAAATAGGTATTAATAAAATAATATATGTAATATAATAAAAAAAAGTAGGTCGATTATAATACAATTATAAATTCCAAAACTCGTGTAATGTTTTTTGTCTGGTTTTTTCTGTAGCAATGCTTTTTTCAACTTTTATTTTTGCCCACGATATCGTTTCCAATAACTCACTATCACATTTATTTATTGAAAATTGTTCCAAACTCTTGATGTAAATAAGTGCTTCCTTGTATGTTTTCAATTGGTTTTCTTCATCATTTTTTTCATTGCTTCTTTCGTTATCTTCATTTTCAAAATCCGATTGATTTATTGATTGATCGTCAATTAAAACATTTATGTCGTCATTATCCGTGTATACATTATTGTCTAAATTTATAAAATCATAAACGCTATGTGAAATACCCATAAAAGTACATAACCGCTGTACGTCTTCATATTCTTCATTATCGTCTTGCTTATCGTCTATTTCATTTTCATAAAACCCAGCCTTTGCAAAACATGATTTAATTGTTTATAGTTTTAATTTATTGACAGCTACATTTAACCATTGAATAGCTTGTAGTACTGTAATATTTTTAGATAATTCAGATAGTACTGATATTTTATCGACATTAGCAATAAGTGATTGCATCAGAAGTCGGCGATAATACAACTTAACACAGTAAATAATACCTTGATCCATAGGCTGTGTAATCGAAGTTGTATTGGGAGGGAACCAAGCTAATTTTATGTTTGATAAATCGAGTTTTGGATGACATGCGGCATTATCCAAAAAAATAATGATATGTTTATTTTTTTTTAACATTTTACTGTTAAATTTTATTAACCAATCTTCCATAATACTTCCAGTCATCCAAGCCTTTTTGTTAGAGTACTGGCAATTTTTCTACATCAATATTTTTGAAACATCGAGGCTTTTCTGCTTTTCCTATTACTAATGGTTTTTCCATTTCACCGGCCATGTTTCCACAAAGAAGAAATGTTATTCTTTCTTTTGAAAGTTTACCACCTTTACATTGTTCCCCTTTTAATTTCAATGTTTTTGAAGGAATAGCACGAAAAAATAAGCCTGTTTCATCGCAGTTATAGATACAATCACTATTATAATCTTTTATCAGCTCACCTATTTTTGATTTCCATTCATTTACTTCGTCAACATTGACATCATTAGGTTCTCCACATACTTGATTCCATAAAATATTATGTCTTTTTCTAAAACATTCCAACCAACCGTTGGAACCTTTAAAATCGGTGTTCCCCAATTTAATCGCGATGTTCTTGGATTTTTCCTGAAGCATTGGACCACTAATTGGAATGTTCTTAGATCTAGCTTTAACAAACCAATTCCAAACTGCTTTGTTAATTTCATCATTAACAGTCTTCTTTAAACTTCGTTTGCTTTTCCCATTTCCTAATAAGATTAATGAATATGACTTAAATAAAATGTAATTAATAATTTAATTATTTCATATGAACTTACCTTTTAACCATTCTTCTCTAATTTTAATATTGTTTTTAATTATGTTATAAATTTGCGTTTTCCCGCATTTAAAAGTATTCATTAATGATTTAGCACTATTTCCTTTTTCACTTTCTTCGATTACTTTTATTTTTTCATTTAAACTTAAACAAATTTTAGACATTGTGAGAACAAGGAGGTACGACGATACGAAACGACAGGTGAACTTCGACTACGCCACTACGGTGACAATAATAAGCGCTAATTTATAGAATCAAGATAAAATTTAGTTATCTATCAATACGTATTAATCGCTGACTTTAATAATTGTTTAGTAGCAAAATAAATGTGGTCATCAAAAATATTTTTGTTCATTTTATGATGTGTTTTTCCGTTTGTTAAAGGTTTATATGATTTACGGTACCAAAAAATAGCTTTCCGTTTCACGTTAAACAGGTTCTATGTTATCAAGGGTTTAATCCTATGTTAAACTATAGAAATCTGCCGGGACCATAAAAAATTTCCGCACAGAACAGGATTCCGTCTTATCAAGGGTTCACATAAGATAGGTTTTACTGTACTAGTAAAATATTAATATGATAAAAACTGATTATACTACAATACTATTTAGTAAATAGTATTGTAGTATATTAAAATATTGAATAATATAATATTGTAGTATACGGTAAATAGTATTTACCATAATATGGTGTATACATATTATGTAGAAAATCATATTAGGATAAAATGGCTTAGTGGATTTTGGGTAAAAGTGCGCAGTAATTCTTACATAAACATTAGTATTTCATAAACATTTAATTTTTCTAGCTTCAAAATGAATGTCTAAAAATGTAATTATATCTATGATGTAATAACAAATGATTAAATAATAATATGTAATATTTATTGAATAACTATTGAATAATTATAAATTATACTTAAAAAAATTACTGTAATATAGTATTTACTACTAATACTGAATTAATTATATATTATATTAGGGACTATTAAATTATACATGCATATTTTATATATTTATAACTTAATATTTAATAGAAATAAAATAGATAACAATTATATAATATAAATTTTACTTAGGAACCGAGTTAGAACTACTACCAGAAAATCAATCAATGATAATCAATTTAATACAGCGAAGATTTTATTCGAAAGAGGTGAGTCTATTAGATCTATAGCTGGACAATTAAATATACCGGAGTCCAGTTTGAGGAGAATGCTGAAAGCAGTATCTACAACAAGTTTAGGTCCATACCGCCGGACATTTTCTTAGAGCAAGAAGTTGAGTTAGCTGACCATTGCCGTTCACTTGATAACCGATTTTTCGGTCTGTCATTTAAAAAACTACAGCAGATTGGTTATCAGTTTGCAGATCTAAATAAGATAAACCACAGATTAAATGATCAAAATAAGTTAGCTAGGTATGACTGGGCGGCTTCATTCTTAAAACGACATAATTTATAGATACTTACTTTACAGAAAATAAATGTTGCTCGCATGATAAAATTTAATCGTGTACAGATAGGTAGATTTTACTCCAACTTAAAATGTATGTATCAAAAGTTTAAATTTCCTCCATGTAGGATTTTCAACATGGATGAAATAGGCATGTCAACTGTTCCAAATAAAGTACCCAAAGTTATATCAACAAGAGGTAAAAAAAATATTCAAAAAAACAGTTGCTGCAGAGAGATGAGAACTTCTAACTATTGTATGTTGTTTCAGTGCAAGTGGAATATATGTGCTACTTAGAGCAGCTGCTTTTATATTTCCAAGGAAAATAATGAAAGTAGAATTACTAGATGGTTCACCACCTGAGACATTAGGAATGATATCAGATACTGGCTATAATAATATAGATTAATTTATTCATTGGCTAGTTCACTTTCAAAAACATACAAGATCAAGTTTAGATTCTCCAGTTCTCCTTATTCTTGATAACCATAGCTCACATGTTAATTCGAAAACTGTTGAATTTTTATGAATTAATTTAGCACGCGTCCTATACCTCATTAGGTGCACATTTTTACGCCAATAATGGGGTAAAAAGACATATAATTTAGAATTTGGTGTTTGCTTTAGTAAAATCAACTTTTGACTCGAAAATTGAAATCTACTGAATATTTATGATAAGAAAACAATATAACAATATTTCTAAAACGTGTAGGTATGCTACCACACAGATATTAAATGTTAGGTGCGCCATTAAACCCCAGGTTACTCTACCGTCAAGAAAACGAACGTGCATCCGAGGAACCCTGAAAAACGAAACTCTCATACTTGGAGTGCATTGCACACCCGGTAAATCCGGTACCGTCTCACTGCCGTTGGCGGACTCTGGGCTGGACGGAGATGCACCCATCGCGCACAATAACGTGTAGAGCACGTGGGCAGTTAAATTTTGCGTCACGTACGCCACTCGCACAAAACGGTACGTGTCGGCTGGAAAGTGTGTTGCGGTGGCGGCAGATTTCGTCCGATTAATAATAGTAATAAAGACGAAAAAAAAATATAGGGCACGAAGGAACGGACTACGGGAGTCACGGCGCGCGGAGATCCCGTACGTCTATACCGAATTCTACAATAACAATAACAACAAAAACGATGCACCTAAAAGTATTATAATTATTATGTTTTTATAATCGGACAAGAGCGCGGCATCAGACCAAAATAAAAGTGATTTACACTGCTCGCTCATCGACCCATAGCCCCAGTGTCTGTAGTATTTTTTTTATTTTTTTTATTTTTTATATTTTTTTTATTACGAGGGTAAAGTTGATACATTCGACTCCCTCCGCTGAATTATTCACGATTTCAAAACAATCACCCTAAAATTATTTCAATTGAAGGTTCGTGGTTCAGGCAATGTAACCCGAAAAAAATATAGGCTTACTCATATTTTTTTTATAATTTTTAATTAGGAAAATATTGAAATATTATAGTACTATAGAAAAAAAACAGTTATTATTTTTTTGGAATACATCATTTTTAAATTATTATAGAATATAAATAAAACATTACAAGAGAACAAAACATAACATTTTAGAAATTATAATATTCACAAAATATTCAAGAAAACTATAATTTATAAGAACTTCATTTAAATATGTATAAAATATGTTATGACTAAGCAATATTAGTTAAGAACTAAAACTATTCTTTTGTTTCGACCATCTCTATTTGATTAAATAACAGATTTTTTTCTTATTTAATTAAAATGATAAAACATTTTCTCGCAATAATAAAAAAATAATATAAAACAATATTCAATACTTTTCCGAGCTTTTGTTTTTGTAACTTAATTTCATAAAATAAATAACTACAATTTCCATTATTTAAAAATTATTAGAAAGGACTTGTAAAATGTTATTATTAACTACTCAAACTCAGACACTATGGAAATTATTATTCAGTAACGTAAAATACCACAACTAAAATGCTTTAGGAATAACAATAAAAGTCAATACACAAAATTAAAATCTATATTACAGAATAATTATTTTTATATTTAAAATTATTTATAATTTAATTACATTTACATTTGAAACGAATTATTTTGAAATTTGGTAGATACCTTATATCACCATCCCAAGAACGCAAATATAATAATTGACCGGCTTCCAATATATTTGGCACTTCTAAAAAAACAAAATAACAAAACTAATTATTTATTAACAATTTTAATTACTAAAAAAATAAAACGGTAGATGTTAAATGTCAAAATAATAATTTATTCATTATTTTGATGATTTTTATTTCAAATTAAAATCAAAGATCTAATGTTGATTATATTATTAGACTAGACATAATAAGTAAATAATTATAATAATTAACCATTAAAAATTTTTTAATTTTCATTTAATTTTTTATTGTTTTATTATTTTATTATTTAAAAATAATTAATAAAATAATTTTGTGTCTTAACTTTAAAGACTAATTTTAATGCAAGAATATATAAGTATTTTATTTTAAAACGCATATATATTTTAACTTATAACTAAGATGAATAAACGTACCTGTGTAAAAATATATTTGTATATTTATTTATTTATTTTTTTTTTTTTATCAATAGATGGATCAGTAGCGAAACGTCCTAAGAGACAATGAGACAACGTCTACCTCCTTAGAATACGGACAAATAATTAGGTTTTATTATTCTTAAACAATTAAATTAAATATTTTTTTTAATACAGTTGTGTCATAAAACGTTATATACTAGTAATATATAATACGTAATAAACATATTAACTCGTATAAATATAAAAATTATAAATGATACATCGGGGGTGGCCAACAGGTCGATCGTGAAAAGAGTTTGAGACGATTGCGACTGGTTTTATATTAATTGCGCCGAAAATCGCAGGTAAAGAAAAAAAAATTATGGGATGGAAAAAGGTATACATCTATTGCACCGGTATAAAAAGGATATAATTTATAGGTGTACATGTGTTGCGCCGATCGATATTCAAGTTAATACATTTTGCGACTACCTCATTGATACATATATTGATGAAAATGCAATTTTTCCTTCGTATCTAAGAACAACAACAAATGCCTGTGAAGCATTTCACTCAGCGTTTGGGAAATATTTTTATTCACCCCATCCAAATATTTTTGTTTTTTATGAAGTTTTAAAAATAATGTAACACAATAATCACAATAAGTATTCTCTTAGTTATTACAAATATACCAAACTCTAAATTTATGACAAAAAAATAAATAGTAAAATAGACATTACTTATTTTAATACTAGACTTAAGAACTTTTCAAAATTTGTTGGACTAGTGTAAATATATATATATTATAATATTAGTGTAAATACCAAGTATGTAAAATGATAAGTTTAATTTTAATTTTTGTTTTTAGCCATTATGATTTTTACTTGTACTGTATAGTTATTATACCGGCGCAATAGATGTATACCATTTAAATATACCCCTTTTATACCGGCACAATAGATGTATACCTTTTTAATATACCCTTTTTATACAAGTGCAATAGATGTATACTATACAGGTAGTGTCCCAAATTCGGCACAATAGACGAATACCGTCGCGACTTACTTTCATTTTTTTCGAATTTTTTCAGAAAACGATTAAAATATTCATTTATTTTTTGTAAATTTTTATACTTTTGTTTAACCCACAAATATAAAAATTAAAATAATTACAATTAATGAAGAATACATGTGGTAATAATATATAGTAATAAATAAATATAAAAAACGAAATTATACAGAGATCGAATGTAGGTATATTGTAAATGATCTAGTGTATATTCCCTATTGAATAATGGTATTTATCGCTTGGTATGAATTGATGAAATATATATTAAAATGCGTGTTACATAATATTGTAAAATTTAAGTTATTATAACGTATTGATATTTTAAATATAATAAATAAAATAAGTGTAACATGCATGCAGAGCTGTGTCAAACATTTCAGTACCCCAGAGCAAAATTTTTTCTACGGGGCCACTGGGCACAGGTAGCATATTAAGTGCAGATAAGAGCGCCCCCTTACTTTTAAAAAACTACGGCGCCCAAGGGCGATTGCCCCCTTTGACCCCCCCCCCCTTAACACGGTTCTGCATGCATGTGTATAAAATATATTTTTGCTCAGTTACAATCTTTTTTTTTATCGATCGCGACAACCTAGAAAAACTCAGAATTCGATCACAAGTCTTTAAAAGTTGTAAACTTAAAAAGTTTAAAAGCCCCCTCCCTTAGATCCAACACAACTTGTGGGCCGTGCGGGTCGTGGCAAAACGATAGATTTCTAACTTTTCTGGATTCGGTGTTGGGGGGAATTGGAAAGCGAATGTAGCTTATCATTACGCGTCTCACTGTTCATATTTTTATTTTATTTTATCCCTAAGTAGTTGTTATTAACTCGATAACATATAATCATACTATTTATTTATTTCTGTTGATTGTCTAAACATGAAAATTCATAATATTGTTATTGTAATTTGTTTTTTAAAAATTATTTTGACAAGTCACATTTTAATGCAGCTTGCATTTGTATATGAAATGTATACTACATTTTATTTTTTACTTTATAACATCGTTATTGTTTTTTCTAGTGTGATATAAACTAAAAATAATAAACATTTGAAAAAAGAGGCAATAAGGGAGTGACTCCATTTACCCTCCTTGAGGACGCCCCAATATTATGGATAAAACAAAATCATAGGGGGTATAATGCCATTTTTTTCAACGTTTCTCTGACCAAAAGATTCATGCCTTACCTAACCTAACCATGCCTTACCACTGGATAAAATAGTTCTATAACTACAGAAAATGCAAACTAAACAATACATAAAAAAAATGTTAAAAATCATATGTAAAAGGCTAATTAATCACTACAATATAACAAAAATATAAAAATTTTCAGTAAACGGTATAAAAGCTGAGAATAAAAGCATAAATTAAATATACACATTTAATTTATGATAAAAGTAACAGTAATTGGAAAATCTTATTGATTTAAAATAGATTTGTTGAACTCTAATAAGATGTACCAAAAACTTAGTAGTTAATAAGGGAATCATAAAAGACATTTTTACTTTGAATTAAAGTTTTACAAATGTATTGTGTGTAACAATGATTATTGAGATGATTACAAAAATAATAAATAGAAATGCCATACTTCTCAGTCATTCCAAACATAAAAACTGATTTAATACATACAAAAAATACTTTATGTAATTACCAATGCCAGCAGAATTATACTCTTCTCTTTCTCGTTCCTTTGTATGTCTTATGATATCTTCTCGACTAGCAAATCGTCTGTTATTTTTATCCTTGTGCCTCCCTTTGATTATATTTAATTCATATTCAAAACGATTAAGATACCTAAAAATAAATTAATAATATAGTTTTAATATTTCATAAAATAATTTTAGAATAAATAAAACAGTCTATTTTTTCTATGTCAAAATTCAAAAATTCAATATTTGTACAAATATAATACAACTTTTCATTATTAAATTATTTAATCAGTTCAAAATTATTAAATTAAGTTAAACTATTTTATTTATGTTTATTAAAGTACCTTTGTAATAATGTATACAAAATTACATATACCTAATCTTATAATTTAATACAATTCAAAATTGTAACAATAATCAAATACTTATTGATTAAATTTGCATTTTAACTTGTTTCCTATAACTATAATGTTTAATTATTTTTATTACAAATTTTGATAATGAACTCTAGTCAACACCCACATACTAGTGCTTAGTTATTATTATAACTATGGTTTTGTTAAAAATAACGGGAAAATAAAGTAAAATATAATATTTAATTTAATTACAAAGTAAACAATTATGTAATACTATTTTCACTGAAACATTTTAATGTATTAACAAAACACCAAATAAATATTTATTTTTGGCTAAAATTAAATATTAAAATACATACACTTTATAAAATGATCAATACATTCTTTTTAACTAAAGTAAATATTATTTTTTATTTATTTAACTTATTTAAATTGTTGCCTTACTTTAACCGTCCTAAATCTAAATGATCATGTAGAAAAAAATAGATGTCCAAGATGAATGACAATATCATAAAATTTGCAGTTTATGGAATGAGAAAAATATGATAGAATACAAAGATGAAAAATATAAATAAAGTACTTAAATTAAAAAGTAATAATATTTAAAATTAATTAATTAATATTAATTATTATTAATATTTATTTTTGATTTAATATTATACACTTGAAATAAAATATATATATATATATATATATATATATATATATTATTATGTTATAGTATAAAATTATAATGCCAAGTTATTGAGTTATTGTTATAGTTATGCTTTAATTTATAAAACTCCTGCTCTATAATAATTAATTTGCAAAACATATTTTTTTTTTTTTTTTAATTAGAAAGTAAATAAAGTAAAACCAAATTTGATAAAATTTAAATATAATTTATAATACATCTGATCATAACACAAGTAATTTATTGGATAATCTCTTATTTTTTTATTTTACCTAACAAATAGTTGAAAATATGTTAATAATATTACTTATAATACTGTTAATAATCTTAAAGCTAATCATTTAATACCTACTTTTCTACTAATAATTTTAAGGTATCTTGTGTATATTGTTCAACTGTGTTATCAACATTATCCCGAAACCAAACTAATTTTTCGCATAGTAAACTTGGTTTGGCTAAATTCACCATCTTCTTTTTATCTCTAAATGCAATCCTAAAATAACACAATAAATAAATCAATTGTAAGTATACATTCTCTATATATTTTTTCAACACTAAATTGATTAAAAGATACAATATAGGAAATTATTAAAACATATGAAACTTATTTTTGTAAATAAGTATTTTTATTTCTTACTATATTTAATTTTCAAATATTTTTAATTAAAACAAATTTATAACTGAGACACAATGCAGTGTTTATAAATTACAGCAATAATAAAACTCTACTTTATTATATTAAAGTATATTTAACTTTTATTTAAGATGAACAATTTATTTAAATTGTTTATAAACATATTAATATAACACAATAGTTAATATTAAATTAGTATTCATTCAATGTTTAGAATCTAAAATAATATTTAGTATGCACTAACTAGATAGTATAAATTATGTAGGAAAATAATATATATATATATGTGATATTAATTACAGCATAAGATTAAAATTAAAAGATTTAATTCCATATTGTAAATATGCTATCAACAATTTAATGTAATTTATCAAAAATTATTACAAATATATTCTTTTAATAATTTAAGACATCTATATTGTGTGATGTTAAGTATTTAAAAACTCTAAATTATTTATTTCATAAATATACTTATATGAATGGATTATACCATACTTGTGTTTAGTTTTGATTAATTGCTTTGTTTTTCTGCTGTTTGGATGGTTAGCATTCAATATAGTGGTTTTTTGTTTACCCTGAAAAATAATTAATAAAAAATAAGGTTTAACTGGTAAGTACAAAACATTATTAGGTATTGAAAAATAGTCAAACGGAATTTACCATAACTATTAGTAGACACACAATGATTATTAAATGAAAAATCAACTATTTTCTATTTCCCAAAAAATTATCTCAATTTATATGCACGTTTACATAAAATGAAATAACATAAAAGATACGAGTTATCGGTACACGTGATTTTGTCTCAACAATATATATACATTTATCGTTTTTGATAATAGTCCATGTTTTGTGATAACAGGTTATCAAATATAATATTTTTAATGACAAATTAAAAAAAATACAATGACTAAAAATTCTTAAATTGAAATACCTGTTACCAATTAGTTTTCATAACAACTATAAATAAACTTCGATCAACAAAACAAAATACACTTGCTTTAACGTGGTGTATTGCAGGCCATAGGTAACTTTCTCCTGCACAAAAATGTATTATCGCTAAATACTACGATGGGGAAAATATTGATAGATACTACTTAAATACTATATTTATAATCAATGATGTTGTATAAAAATAACCGATTCATCAGACGTCAGTAATCATTTCATCTCTGAGACCTACTCAGATTAGCTAATGCTTTAGACGATGATTTTGCTTAGATTTTCGTGAAACTTTTTAATTTAAATTTATATTTAATTTTTAATGTTTGTATTTTTTTATTTGAGATAATCCTGTCCACCTACTGGAACAATATGCATATATATAAATATATAATAATATGCAATCATTAGTAGTAAAAGTTTGAATCTAGAATAAAATTTTAAATATTTTGCAATTATTTCTCTGATTTTCTCAGTTATTTAGAAAACGTCTAAGGAATTAAAAAAAGATCCACCAAAAGTACCAACTTTATATAATGTACTACTTAAATTTTATTTTATTTTTTTGGTGATTATCGGAACACTCATCCTATTTTAATTTATATAGACATATTAAAAAAAAATACAAATCATTGTTAAAACCATACATTTTTCGTTTCTTCAGAATCTAAAATAACTGGAGTGTTGCAAAAATTATCTATTTGCATTTTAAAATGAAATTTTAATGAAATCGGATATTTCAACGAATTCCCATTTAACGATATAAGTTATTTAGTTATAGACATTTCATAATTTCTAATTATTTTAATGAAGTTCGTGCTGTCTATAGGCACTTCAATTTTTCGATTTTTTTTTCTAATTTTTGTTGTGAAAGTCATAACATTAAAAGTTCAATATACCTTATATCTTAATTATCTTCTACCTTAAAAAGTTGGTTCTACTACTACATACATCCGACCTCTTTCACGCAGAATTGGTTTTGTTGACAGCATACTTAGTACATTATTTTCAAGCTTAAAAAATAAATTCATTAATAATTTTCCCTGTATAACCCCCACATCGTGGAATCTCTATTATTATATAATTTTTATTTATATATGTAATGAAAATCTTACATATACGAGTGTAAAAAAGACATTTTGTAATTCATAATTTAAAATATTGGAAAATTTTTTACTTCGATAATCTAAAAGGCTTAGAAGAACTTATTTATTTTATATTATTATAATTATATTACTTAAAAATCTCAAAAGTATTTAAAAATTAATAATGTCTATTAACTTCAAAACTTGAATTACAATAAAATTATTCGATAAATGTATAGAATTTATGATTTTTGTTTATGTAGCCAAAAATATATTAACAAACTCATTAATATGGACATATAGTATTCCGATTATAACTTGAAATATTTACAAATTCACAACTTTGTTTATTATATGCTTTTCGATGTTAAATTATATAAATTTGTAAAGGAAATAACTCTTAAAGTTTGACATAATCACCAAAACCCATATACAGCAAAATATGCGCAAACTTCAATGGAATAACGTAATTTAATTTCATACGTATTAAATATTTAAAGTTACCATTCGAATAAAATATAATAAGTAAGATGTTTTTTTTACAAAACTTTAAGTTTTAAATAAGTCAAATTGATTTTTGAAATTTGTTAGCTATACCATCCTGAAGAAATGTGTTTAACTCTATATGTATAGTATACATTGTATCAAGGCCGTATCTAGAAATTTTTTTTGGGAGGGATCCAAAACATGAATATTGTAATTTTATTGAATTAAGATTTTAACTTTTGATATTTGGTTAAAAATAAGACAGAAAAATATTTTATCTTCTTTTATTAAAATTAATATCATATTTTCATATGATATAATATAAAACTAAAAGCAGTCAATAATTAATTGAAGTTTAAGTCATTTTTGACTGAAAATATTTATGTTGATATTAAAAATAAATAAGTATTTTAAACATTCGTAAAATATTGAAGAAATTTCGGGGGAGGGGGTCCAGACACCCTGGACCCTCCCAGATACGGCCTTGAATTGTATACCTATACTATAGTAGTGATAGTGAATAATTCGGCATAGTATATAAATATATATTTCTCCAAATAAAGAGCACAATATCTTACAATAGTAAATCATTTTTCGTTTAAAAATATTATGATTTATGTACATTACTATATTAGTACTTACCTATGACATAGTTCTGTAAATAATATATTGATCACAATCAACCTTAGAATTTGTGAATCGATTTTTGTAAGACCTTATTAAATATAGCTAAATATACATATATTTTCTTAGTGTAGGTCCTTCTTTACTAATAAATGTACGAAGGTAATATATGTAGGTTTATAAAATATTATCATTTTCACATAGAAAAAACTAACAAATATTCGATTTCAATTACTTTATTTATGCTTTATTATTTTATTTTAAAATAATTAAATTTAAAATCTATAATAAATACATAACTTAATATTATACTCAGTGTAGTACTGGCTAAAACGAATCATTTGTAAATCCAAGAAGTAATAATCAAATAACGTATTTACCAATATGTACATATATGTTTGCATATCAATATGAAAACTGTGATATTGACATATATCAAAAAAAAAATATATATATATATATATATTTATATTGTAATATTTTATATGAACTGAATGCAAAGACAATAAATGTAATGTTTACATAATGCGTATCGGAATAGCTGAAATAAATAATGCAAATGTGATGAATTTTAATATTAAAATATGATTACCTATCAAACATTCTTTCTTTTTTTACACAAATTTCGGTTAAATATATATATATATATATACACATGAGACAACCTTAGAATATTCTTCATCAAGAAAACTAGCGCAAATCGTCATAAAATATATATTTGCACCATAAAAGAAAATGATAAATTAATAGGATTACTCATTTTCAACAACCCCGTAGTATATTTACATCTATCTACCCGTAGCGTCACAGCTGACCCACATATATTTTGCATAACATATGCATTTTTATCATTTTCTCTCGCACATCTATACTCTCATCCAATAATAATAACTCGTACGCATTTTCCACACAATTCGTACATAATAGACCACCAACGTTTTAGGTATGTGTTTATATAATTTATGTTATACGCACGTAGATCACTACGCAGAGAAATAAAACCATAAATAATATTTTTCTGCTTTATAATCATATTTTCCTTTGAAAAATAATTACATAAAAAAATCGTCAACCTGGAATGTACCTACCAATCAATTTTATTTAACCGTAAAAATTATCGTGTCAAAAGTTGGAATTTAAAACTATGCCGAAAACAGGAAGAAAAAAAATTCTGATTGCATTATACTTAACAACTTCAGTGCTGCCCGTCGTGTTTTACCGTTGAAGATTTTTAAAATACATTTTACGCGTGCATGAAACTTTGCTTAAGTATTTCGAACACAATGACGTACCGTGTCAATTTTTCACCGTGAGAATATATTATTAATGTTCAAATACGGAAAGAAGGGATAACGTATTTTCCTAAAGTATATGCTTCATTGTTTGAAATAATGCCAAGTGAAATGATATATACGCGCTTATGGTAGATTATGATAAAGGGAATTTTTATTTCGACTTGACGAATTGTCGTTGACGTATTGACGTATTTGTATTATACATGCATATATCTAAGTATGTTTTACGTAAATGCGTAATGATATCTCGTGGTTTTCCTAATCAATTATTCGATTTACCGAAATAATTAAACATGAAATCGAAACCTATACCGTATAATAGGTATATTATAATATGGGTTTTCTTAGAAAATGAACGTCATTCCGTTAAGGGTGGTTATATAATCTCTCTCACTCTCTCTTTCGCTCTCTCTTCTTTTTCACTAAAATGCTATTTAGAATACTAAAACACCGTTGAAACCATCACACATTTTGCAATATTTGAAAGTTATCGCGTCTTTACACGCGACCAAAATACTAAGCGTATAATGGCATTTTTTCACTTGCGTGAGACCGAACATACTTTCGTCATGTTTATAACACTATAAAGTAATATAGTATTGCACGAGTTCTATTACAATATATATATATATATATATAACATTCACGTGAATATTGTTGAATATCGAAATGCTCATTAGTAAAATACACAACTTTGCATTATTTACGAATTAGGTTACAAAATAATATAAAATAAATAAATTATATATATATAAATATATAGGTATATTTAATATACTAAATATTACATAGTCATCATACTAGTAATATCTGCTAATATCAGTTGAATTTATGATCCTAAACACATTCCGTACGGATTTAGTTGAAGTTAAATGGTGTGGGTAACGATAACAAATCGGTGCCTAGGTAACTTACGACTTAATAGCGTAATTATAAATGACTAAATCATAGGCTAATATAATATAATAACAACAATAAATATAATTCACGGTAAACAGGTGATTCATCTTAAAATCAATTAAATTACTTAGTTACGATAGATTCGGGTATTTTGATTCATAATCAGCGACCAAAATCTTAATAAAACTGAAACTTACGTAGCTTAGTTAATTTTTGCTGATGAACCGGAAAAATAATATCCATCGACTATTGACTAGTACAATTTCCAGCTATGTATTTTTGTTGTATCTAGAAAAATACAGGACCGTATTTAAAATGTTGCCACTCCTCTTCCCTGAAATACAAAACTGACAACAAATGTATGCCCCAGTTGGCCCCCTTTCCTAACCTACTATTTTCAGCATTATATACATGCAGTCAATGAGTGCCCACAAATTTTTAGTTGATTGATTAAATATCAACATTTTATATTGCATACTTTAGCATATTCTGATTTTAGTGCATATTTTTGCATATTTTATCAAAAAAAAAAACCGTACAAATATACACCTAACAATCCAAAAAGATGTTGAGTAAAAAAACTGATTATATGTAGGTACGTGTAGATTACTAAATTTCCATAGGTTGGTTGTACGAGTTTTATAGTGAAGACATGACTTTACCTATTTTATTTAATCTTCTTGATAAAATACCCAAAACAGCATAAACGGGTACATCATTACAACCACTGCTACATTTATACAGTTGTTGGTTAGAATTACGTTATAGTCAAGTTAAACCATCAGCGATGAGCATCCTCATATGGGTACACAAATATTGTTTTTTTTTACAATACGTTTGGAGAAATTTGTATTGATATTTTTCATTTATTTTTCAATTTGTTATTTTTATAACTCGTATAATTTAACAAATTACATTTCCGTATTGCATACTTCCATCTTACTTTTTGTTTTGAAAATTTTATTAAAATTAATAAATAACTATCACTGCAAAATTACAATCAAATATAAAATTTAATAAAATTGACATTTTATTTTGCATGTTTTGCATTTTTTCTAGCAAATTTTGACTTTTTTTAGTGCATTTTTGCATGCATATTTTATAATTTAAAGTGCATATAAATCCGGTCATTACTTAGATCTTAATAAACCCTTTTAAATATACATACATTTTATACGCTACTAAATAATATAAAGAATTTTACAACATTACATTTATTATTCATAACATTTTATTTATCATTCATAAATTACAGTTCATTGAGAATGCAAAAAAATCGGTTTGTTTTTATTTATAATCATCATAAAATTCTTGCCACCACTTTAAATATTTCAAATGGCCTATTGCCCCCCTCCCACCCCGAAATACTGCTTAAATAAGACTCTGAAAAAATACATCGTTGTTATAAATGTAGTATAATTGCAGAAATAATTAACTATATACATAATAATAATTCTTAAAATCCCAAAAACGTTCACAATGCAATGCTATACGAACAATAATTTGATAAAATATTTTATTATTGTCTGCATACCATAGAATCAGGTTTTGTTTTAAATTGCAATTGGACATTTTTTTGTAAAATTAAAAACTGCACTGTAAGTAATTGAATATTATCTAAATGAATTGTTTTATAATTACGTCAGAGGTGAAAATAAAAATTAGGCTTTTGTCTCATTCAACTACTAAAATAATGAATATTAACTAGGTACCAACATTTAAAGGGATAAAGTAATAAAAGTTGTAAACATGTAAAATAATTTTTATTTCTTCGATAAAAATCGATAAAAGTAAGTAACATACGATTGTTTAAAATTCAAATAAATAATTGTACTCGTGTTTTTGAACCTCTGTGGAGGTCCGTACCTATTTTCTCATCAATAGTGATCATTACAAAATGCCATTTTGACTTAACTTGTATTTTGTACATTTGAAGAAAAAAAATGTCTAATAAATTATGTTTTTACCATAGTTATATTTTAAATTAAAACTAAATATAATTGCAAGTATATTTACATAATTATTATTATAACGAATTTAACTATATATATGAACAATTACCATACATTTACGAACATATTCTTTAGTTTAACTTGCATTAAAATTATCATTCGTCATATTTTTAATATAATTAAGATTTTATAATGAATTTATAAAACAGAAATTTCCTCAGGATAAACAGCTGAGAAAAATATTTCTTTCAAATTAATTTACAATATATCAATAAGTGTTAACTAATTTCAATATTTATACCTAATAATATAATTTATAATTTTTACAATATTAGCAAACTATAGCCCTGGTGTAAAAAAATTACCAAATAAAGTATGGTTATAAAGTATTATTAATGAATAATCGATTTATGAAATTATGTTCGTTTCCGGTAGTGATATAAAATGTTATGGAATATGAAACATTTAAACATGTCTGATAATTATTAATGTTATTTTAAATACAATATATTTATAGTCCACGCACTAACATTTCTTCTTAGAGGAAAAACAATACTGTACTGGTGCTTTTCTTGTCGTTTCCCAGGCATTTGACCGCGTCTGGCACGCAGGTCTACTGTTCAAGTTGAAGCTTATTCTACCATCTAGCTACTACCTGATTCTGAATTCCTACCTAGAAGATCGCTTCTTTTTGGTAAGGTACGGGTCATCCACCTCCTCACCGAAATCAATCAACGCAGAAGTCTCTCAAGGTGCAGTCACTGCTCCTCTTTTATTTAACATTTTCATATCCAACCAACTAACAATACCCACATCCCTTGTTGGTGATTTTGCCGATGATAAGGAAATAATAACCAATAATATCGACCCAATCACTGCCTCCTTGAACATCCAAGAACATCTCTCCCTCCTTGAAAAATGGTACAAGAAATGGGGAGAAAAAATTAATGAATCTAAATCCATACACTGCAACTTCACTCTTAGGAAGGAAAAATGTCCACCTATCATCCTTAATGAACAAATTATACCTGTCGCACCATACATTCGCTACCTAGGCATTACCATTGATCAACGTCTCACCTGGGCTCCTCATCTACGTAACAAGCTCTTAACCCTAAATAATCGTTTTCATCTTCTCCGTTCTCTCCTTACTTCCCATCATATCAAATCCACAAAATTATTAATATACAAATTTTTCTTAAAAGCAATTTGGACGTACGGAATCCAATTATGGAGCTCCGCAAAACCTACAAATGTCAACCGTATCCAACGTTTCCAGTCCAAAGTCCTCCGTGCTATAACCAAAGCACCCTTCTACGTATCAAATCATACATTACATAATGACCTAGACATCTCTCCTGTCAACGATGTAGCTAAGACCTTCTACAGACGTTTTAACTTCAACCTACAAAACCATAAAATTCTTTAAGAAGTTACGTCTATAAATATACCCAGCAACCCACAAAAAAGTTTGAAAAGGCGGTGGTGTAGGAACCTATTACTCTAGACCAATCTAATACCCTTTATTCTTCCTTCTATATATACTTTTGTTATTCCTATTTATCTTTTCTCTTCTAGTATTTCCTAACATTATTGTTTAACATTTTTTTCTCATTTTTTTTTTTTTACATTTTTAACTGTAAAAGTGCCATCACTGGAAAGTATCTTTAATTCGTCCTTCACGCCATAATTATCAAATTCATTAATTTCACTTATTCTTTAAAATTTATGTAACAGATTGTGGAAATAAAAATGAAGTAATAACAAAAAAAAAAAAAAGTAAAATTTCCATTTTTTTTTTATAATAATAGGCATATGAAAAAATAGTTCAAATACTTTTATTCAATTTGGTACATAAAACTTATCAGTTGATAATTTGTATAATTTATATCGAGTATAATATTAAAATTAACATTACACTTTTGTTAATAGATATTAATATTTTAGACACATAAGCAAGGACATGTATTGGTGTTTTAATCATTTGTTAAAATAATTTTGAATATTATTGGTTTTTACACAATCAGAAACGTAATACATTTAATTACTTATTGAAAAGTATTTTATAAAGGAATAATAATATCATACTAAAATCAAATAGTTTATAACTTTATAGTTTTATACAATGTCATTATGTATTATGATTTTTTTTTAAATACCCGACCTCAGTTATATTATAAAATGTTTAGCAATGTAATGAAATTTTATGTTAATTCACGTGTTAATGAATGAAGCAATAATTCCTTTGACATGATATCGTATTTTCGTTTTTTTTGCAATTTTTTTCTACATGTATATTCATAAAAACCATTCATAATGTCAGTTCAGCATTTAACTGCCTTCAGTCGTTTATACAATTGTACTTATTTACACATAGTAATCAAACCACTCTCGTCGTGAAATGTTTGCCGTTTCAAACTAAATATATTTTAATTTCCGAATTTAATTTTTAAATACCATATTGTTTATATATTCGTGCGAAATTTTTTATGACGTACTTTTAGTAGCTTTATAGTTTTCACGTGATAACCGGTTGTGATCAATTGTACTGGAAATACATCAACCCCAAGATCGGTGTCATTCGGTAGTTCTACAAGTAAGTAATATTACAATTATGTTATATATAATTGTTAGTGATGGATCGAACTGTTCGAATGTCGAACCGAACCGAATTCAAAATGAAAGAAAATCAAACCAAACTATTTACCATTTCGTTAATTTCGAAATTTGAACGTGAAATATTCTTAATCAAACAATCTAAAATTAATTTTCTATACTTTAGAGTTCATAGTGAGTATCATAATAGTATTAACTATTTTTTTTTTATTATTATTTCGATTAAGTATAATAATTTAAAATAATTCTGTCGAAAAATGTTTGTAAATATCTGTAGGTAATATTATTGAGGTGGGCCACCACCACAGTGCTCTCTCGCCGTCCGTAACACGTTTGGGCACAAAACGATATTTTTACATGGATTTTGAAGAACAATTGGGAACACATGTTTAGGTAAACTATTTTTCAGATCCCAAAAATCAATACAACGTTTGGGTACATAATATTTTTAAAATAATACTACGTTTATGTAGCAACGTTAAGGTACACATTTTTTTACTTTTATGATTTTACATTTATTTTTTATTTTTTAGATGTATATCATTACCCAGGTTATTATTAATATTTTAAAATTAATAATTTATTAATATTTTATTTTATTTTATCATATTATATTAAAATATTTGAACTTTCATTACAAAAATACTATTAAAAATTTATTTTATATATTTACTTATCTATATTTTTCCGACAAAAAGTGGACCCATGTATATGTATAGATAATTTTTTATATCATTGTAAATTTTAAATTCATTGTATTTTTTGAAAATGTACTCATCATTACCTGAATCCTCTTTTCTTGTAATATGTTCTATGTTTTTTTTTTAATACTGCATATTTTTAAATAAGTTTCTTCTTGAATTTTCATCGACGTATTAATTACATTAAAACAATTTCGATGGCTTGTATAAAACTAACTATTAAAGTTTAAACAAAATGCTTTGGGTCCATTTGTTGTCCTAAGATCAAACGATGAATCCACAAATATGGCAAAAAAGAACTATTTTCATGAATAAAAGTCTCTAGAACATAATCTGTAAATGTTTCAACTACGTGGACTGGTGCATCTGACATTAGAGCTACAAAACCATTGTTTACCTCATCGGATGATATACCACTAAAACCAAAAAAACTTTGATGCAATTCGTACACATCGGTTTTTTCCATGTAATGGAATAGTATATTACTATAACTACTATATAATAGTAGTCACAATAATATTAATGGTTTGGTATGGTTTTGTATCAAGCAATAAATGAGTTTACCACTATTGTAGATCACGTGGTTATTTCGTGTTTCTGATTTACCGAGTTAAAATTATAAAATACCTTTTATTGTATGTGTCCAAATGTTGTGTCTGTTTGTACTCAAACGTGTTGGCTTTTGGGTCAAACGAATCATTTGTTTCATCAACTATTAATTACAATTAAATTGACAAGAATCACAGCTAATTCTGAAGTATTATTATTTTTTAAGTAAATTTTCATAATTTCAATCTATTTATAAATAGAAAAAAATTATGAGTTCTAATTTTAGTTCGATAAAAAATTCAAATAGTTCAGTTCGATTTAGGTTTGTTTGAATAATTATAAGTTCGATTCGGTTGGGGTTCGTAATACTTTAACAATGCTCAGTTTTAGTTCAGTTTGACACCGAAAAATCAGATTCGACCCATCACTAATAATTATAATTATTATATTATTATATAATATCTAAAAAGGGAAATATTATAAAAGTATTTAAATTAGTACGTTATTCATTAACATTTTTTAGAAATGATCGATAACAATTCCGCTGAGTTAAAATTATTATACGAACAAAATATGCCATTTTGGAAAAAAAAATGGTTTCGATTTAATATGACATTAATTATCAGTGCAGTACTGGGATTTTTAACATTTTTAGCAGCCAATAAGATTTATAATCAAGGTACGTCTTAATGCTTACGGTATACAAATTTTATAATGCGATTCTATCAACGAAATTTTTAATATATTTCAGGTACATGTCCTAATGTAGATCATAATTCATGTAATTCATCACAGCCTAAAATCGAACATCTTGTTAGTTTGGAATATAATAATAGAACAACCAATTCCGACCAAATTCGAATAAAACAATTAGATGTAACCCTTAGACAGGATTTAATATCTATGACAAGTGAATTGAACAACGGAATAAAAGAACTAAACAGTGAGATAAAAAGGCTTTACAGCGTTTTAACACAGTTTGATCAAGTTAACAGAAGAAAACGGTTTAATAGAGGAATAAACGAACAAACAGCTATTGTCGATTGTGTACAAATGAAAGGAAACTTCAAGAAAATTTTTGATGATTTAAATCGGATATCTAAAACTTTATCGATGGTCGACGAGAATGGAACATATCATTGTAAATGTCCGTCGGATAAAGTTATGGGAACTTCAACAGAAATCACGGATCTGCCATTAGAGTTGACGACTTTTACTTTAGAAAATATCAATCGAATATCTAGTTCTGGTGAAAAGACGAAACAATTAAAAAAAGTTATTCTGTCTGATTACAAACCTCAAGTGATCACAAGTAATGTAGATATTACAAATAATAATGAACTTAGAAATGTTGTCGATAAGGACATAATCGGTACTGCGACTACTGTTGACGAAGATAACAGATTTACAACTGCACTACAGGTACTCGAAGATATTATAACTACCCAGAAAGAAATGGTTATAGTCACAGAACCAAGAGAAGACATGTCTCCGGATACGTCTAATGCGGTTACCAATTTGTTAAATCTTAACGGTTATACACAAACAGCTGAATTGCAATCTTCGTACAACGAAATCGTTACAAAGGATTACAAGGACGTACAAACATTATTTTCATCTGAGACACCAAAAACGTTGACAGAGTCAACTACAATTCCAGACGAAACTGTTACAATTACAGTGTTCGACTATGATGACACATATTCTGTGCACGAAGAGTTAATATCGGATAAAAAAGTGTCTTCAAAGTTAACAGGTGACGATGAGGATATTCTACGATCTACAACAGAAATACCAGACTTGGACCAAAACGAAAGCAATAATATTACGAAAACAAATACAGAATCAACAACTCCAAATTATAATATTTCAGAATCAATTACGGAAATATCAGAATTTGATAAAAATGAAAAAAAAAATGATGTTACGAAAATAAATATGGAATCTACGACTCTAAACGATATGAGATTCAAATCAATTACAGAAGTATCAAGATTTAATAACAATGAAAACAAATATAAAGTTAGAATAAGCCGTTTTGAATTGACGACTGTAGATGATACTAATTCAAAATCAACCACAAAAACATCAGATCCCAACACAAATGGTAGCCTCCTAGGATTACAATTTGAACTCACATCAGCAAAACAGAATATTAAAGAATTTACTACCCAGATATCGATTTCCAACCAAAGCGAAAAAACAACTGGTTCAAAAGGAAGAACTTTCGGCGAAGATGAAGATAAAATCGATTTTGGTAAGCAAAATGACAAGAAAATAATTAATCAACCGAAAACCGAAAGAACTCTAATAGAAAACAAAAATGATTTAAAACCACATGGTTATGACAATAAAAGTACTACTCCACGTCTTGTAGTAACGACACAACAGGTGCAACCGAAATGGTATCCCATATGCTTCTATCCAGCACCGTGTTCACCGAATATATTGAGCTACCAGCAAAATACACAGGACATGAACCAAGGAACAATACAGTATTCTGCGCAGTCGTTGAACACTTATAAAAGAATTGCACCCGTGGTTTCCGACGCGACGGTAATTCAAAATAATTATCCGATAATATCGTACTGTCCTGTGGGTATGGTTTGTCCGATGACCGATTTCGCGGGACAAGCGAATATGTTACACTGTATGCTGAAATCTTCGTTGCCCGAGATACAACTCGTACACGTGAACAACAAAACCGACGAAAACGCTTCGAATCGAATAACAAAAAGTAACGTCGATGACACCGAGGCCCCGGCCACTATAAAGGGAAAAAACGCAAGGGATGGGGAAGAGATTCTGACGGGTAAAACATTAACAAATCATTATATGTATAATGATTTAATTACAAGTGCAGTATTAATCCGTGTCGTTTTTTGCCAACAGGTGATCTTGAATGTTCTTTGAATACGTTTCCGTGTATGGACAATTCCGGATGCGTGGAAATCGATAATTGGTGCGACGGTAGAATACACTGTGACGACGCGAGTGACGAAAGCCAGTGCAACTGCAAAGAACGAATAGATAAGGACAAACTGTGTGACGGATATTACGACTGTCCGAGCGGAGAGGACGAATTGGGTTGTTTTGGTATTGTATAGTACAATCTGGTTTCAAACATTATAATAATAATTATAAGAAATAATCACAGTCCCGGTTAGATAGAGAGAAGGATATTGGATACTCTTATGAATCGAATATATTATTATATACTTAATTATTCAGCATATTTTAAAATTATAATTAACTATTGTTCAAATAAATTTGAACTGTACAAGCACAATTATATCTAGTCAAATGACTAAAATTCAACTATTTCATTCGATAATTTTTTGGAATAATTATTTCCTCGTACGATTTTAAGTCACCCTTATTTTGATATACAATTTTTAAAATTTTAAAATATTAAAAAAAAAACATTCATAAGTAACCTAAAATTCTCGCGATTATAAAACGCAACATTTATTTTACATTCATTTCACTAACACGAGATCACTCTCAACATTTTTATGTAACATTATTTTATGCCCTGTATTATATATGTAAATTTTTTTTAACATTTTTTGTTTTTTATTACCAATCGAGAGATAAAAGATAATTTATGCCTTGAGGGTTTAAAAATATACGGACTCCAGTTTGTACAGATAGTAGAATAAACTAAAAACTTTCCCCAATATATACCATAGTTTAAGATCCAGGAAAAATTCGACACTACAAGACTAAACTCTAATTTAGTACATGATAATGATAACAAAAACTAAATAATATAAATGTTTTCTACAGGTTGTAATAACGAAACATTTAGCTGCGGTGATTGGAATACTGTTTTACAGAGTTCCAGTTGTTTTGAAAGACAACATCGTTGTGATTATGTTAGACATTGTCTTAATGGTCGCGATGAAGACGAATGTACCTTATTATCTAGACACCTTGAGCATCCTAATCAAGTAAGTTTTGATAAAAATCTAATATAAATTAATTTAATAACAAAATTTGTTGTAATCATTTATATATTTAAATAATATTAATACTACGTATCGTATTATGTTATGGTTTTAGATATTTTTCATTTCATATTCAAGCGGTTATTTACATCATAACTGGAAAGGAAATTGGTACCCTATGTGTGGCGATGATCAAACTGAAACATGGGCAGAAAAAGCGTGTTCGGTGGAGTCTGGAGAAAAATCCAAGTGTGTTTTTGTGTTATATTATTTAATCAAAACGGAACAATAATTAATTAATTATAATAATTTGTTTAAAAAAATTTAAAAAAAAAAATCATTTCGAATTGCAACTAGGCCGAGTAAAATACAATACATCAATGAATTAACTACGTACGATGGGCCTTACATAAATATCGATGAAACCAATCAGATTACACTGTTGAGTTCGTGCAAGTACCAAGGTATTCTAGTTGAATGTGAACCAGAGATTTGTGGTATACGTTCGGACCTGAAGTTCAATAAAAACATCGATCCTGACAGGATGAGAAGAAGTCCATACTGGGAATCTTTGAACGTCACTTCGCGTTTCGCTCGATCGAAGGATCCCAGAGTGGTCGGAGGCACTGCTAGTAATCCGGGCGCCTGGCCGTGGCTTATCGCGCTCTACCGGGACGGTGTGTTTCATTGCGGAGGCGTCATATTGAGCAACCAATGGGTTCTGACAGCCGCGCATTGCGTTAATGAGTAAGGGTCGTGCGATTTCTACGGTCGATATTTCTAACAGTCTTACATAGTTATGTAAAACCAATGGCACACAATTTTACGCAGATACCAAAAGCACTTTTACGAAGTTCAAGCTGGCATTTTGCGAAGATTTTCGTTTTCGCCCATGGAGCAGTCGAGAATGGTCACGCACGTGATGGTCCACACTCAGTTTGTTCGCACGACAATGGAAAACGATTTGGCCGTGATGAGATTGGAACGTGGTCTACAGTTCAACAGATGGATTCGTCCGGTGTGCCTGCCCGACCGCAAACTGAACTGGATACCGTTCCCAGGGACAATATGCACGGCCGTCGGTTGGGGAGCTACAGTGGAACACGGACCGGATCGTAAGATTGTTGATGCATTAAAATATCCAATGGTCGTATGGACCGTAATCTTATGGTACATATATTTTTAATTTTTTTTTTTTTATCAGCGGACAACATGCGAGAAGTAGAAGTACCGATTCTCCCCGAGTGCACGCACAAAAGCGATATAGACGGCAAAGAAATTTGTGCCGGATATCTGAGCGGAGGTCATGATACCTGCCAGGGGGACAGCGGAGGTCCTTTGCTTTGTAGAGAGCCGAATAATCTGAACAAATGGTACGTGGCCGGCATCGTCAGTCACGGCGAAGGATGCGCGAGACCAATGGAGCCCGGAGTGTACACCAGAGTCGCTCTGTTCATGGATTGGATTATTAAAGTTACCGGTTAGATCCATAAATTAAATGCCCTAGATTTTGTTTTTTTTTTTGCTAAATCCCATTTTCATTATGTTCGCGCAAACGTTTTGTTTCAGACGATAACGATTTGCCTGCGGAACGTCCGCAGCAATATTGTCCAGGTATCCGGTGCATGACCGGGAAACAGTGCATACCGACCAAACGGCAATGCGATAAATACGTGGACTGCATGAACGCGGAAGACGAACAAAACTGTGATTACACCGGTTCTCAGTATCAAGTCAATTTTTATCGATCGAGGAACACGGATCACAGCAACTTGAGGTATAGCAAGTTGAAAAGCGCCGAAGATCTAGACAAACTCACAAACACCTCGACGACAACGGTCGGACCACGATCAACGGCGACGACATTTGGCAGTAAAATTGTGACTACTTCTAGTAACACTACTACTAGTAACACGACAATTGGTAACACAAATACAGCAAGTAATACTACAACTAGTTACCCTACTACTGCAAGTTATACAATAACTAGTAACGCTATTACTGCTGCTACTTTCCGGAACAAAGAAGTTCAAGTCGAAACCCAAACGGCAATCGATGTCAAAGTAAAAAATAACTATATGGGGACGAACGAAACGATTTTGGACGCCATTAGACAATTGTTTGACAACCATTTCAGCGAAGAAACATTCAGTTGTGGAAGGTAGAGCGTTAAAAATAATAATTTTAATATAATTTTCTAAAAATCTGAAGACTTTTGGTAACATGTTTTTTTTATAGAAATTAGATACCGTCTCCACTTAAATTATAACGGATAAACAAACAACTAATATTAATTTAAATCAATCAAGACTAAATATTAAGTCTCACATGTTATTTTTTCTTGGATGAATTTCAATTACTCGTACATTACCATACGTATATATTTTTTAATCATCCTTTGGACCAAGTGTTATGCTTTTTAAATAACACGGAAATAATTTCCAATTTTATCATTTATGGCCACATTACGCTTTTCTTGTTTGTAAATATTAATTGTTTCCTCTTGTATAATTTTTATCATATTAGCATATGACAGGTAATACCATTAATCCCACAAGATAATTACTAATAACTACTGTTATCTAGTTTTGTCTTATCGATTTTGAATTCTTACAAATCTCCGTTTTTACATACATATTTATTTATACTTTTAAATATCATAAATTTATATTGGTTGGCGAAAATATTTCACTCCCGATTGTCTGGCGTTTGCTGTAGGATAACGCAAGTGGTGCTGTCGAGACATCGATGCGACGGGACGGTGGACTGCGAAGACGGGTCGGACGAGCAACGGTGTGACTGCAAGACAAGACTGACGAGCATGTACGGCCAATCGACCATTTGTGACGGAATCGTAGACTGCGACGGGGGCGCGGACGAGATAGGGTGCGCCGTGCCGGAATGCGAACCGGACGAGACGAGGTGCGCCCAATCAAAGCTATGCATCAAAAAAAGCGCGTGGTGTGACGGGGTAGTGGATTGCGTTGGTGACGGGAGCGACGAAAGACATTGCAGTAAGGAGAATATTAATTAACGTGGTGTAATTTTAGAACGACGGGATGGAATATTGCCTGTAATGGAGTTGTTCCCTCATCTCAGAAACGCGTCCCTCGAACCGAGTTTCGGAAACGATTTTCTCAAACGAAAACTCCAACCTGTGACTACAGCAGTTGTGTGGGACTCCGATTTTAATGTATTTTAAATTTTTTCTTACTTTTCATGTGCGTTATAATAAGTTATCATAAGAATACTACGTGTATATGACATAATATAAAATATGTTGTGGATAATGTCACGACTAATATTTTATTACATTGACGTAATTAACTTTCTTGTCCGGTGATCAGTTTTTGACATTTATTTTTTTCCGTTTTTGAGCAATTTTTTACGATACAGTTTTAAATACTGTTCGATGAATAAAATGTTATCACCTGAAATTTAAATTATTTATAATCACATAGTGTTTTATTGCAAGAGCTAGACATTTATAACATGATCGGTTGATTATTTTTTTTAACTCGATTTCATACAGTTGAATGAATAAGTACAGCCCTAGAAAGATAACGATAAATTAATGCAATTATTACGATTGGTTTTTCCCCAGCGACAATTACTGACGGCATTACCGCTGTGGAAACGGACGCGACCGGGCGGCCGGTACTACGTCGGTCCGGCATGGTGGCAGTAAACCGCAACGGAGTCTGGAGGGTGCGATGTGTGGACGGGGAAGCAGCCATCAGGATCGCCTATGAAACTTGTTCGAGACTGAATTTTACGTACGAAAATACTCGAATTAATCGTTTCTGGCACAACCGTTGATTCTATAATATTGTAATATTATGACTGATACGTTACCGTGTTATAAGTCTCGCGGTAAATGTAGAGAAAATTTGTCTGCAAGTCGTAATTACTTAAAAACTGTACACATTTTTGTTTCGGTAGTAATGCACATTTCCAAACATTTTTCAAAACCCAAACTTTAGATTGACGTCATTTTCTATTCAACACTAAATCTAGATTATATAATATTATCACGACGAATATAAGTTTTATCTCTTTTCGTGAATAATACAATTTTTCACGTAACCGTTTTCAAACGATCGATTTTATGACTTTTAACCGGTAGTCCATTGATTGTTGGACACCGATTCATCAATAAACATGGCGAATAAATTTGATAAATTACTTTAAGAATATTATTTTGTGAATTCACGTAGTCGTTTTTTTTTATTTTGTACTTTCGTAAAACGTAACAACGATTTTAAGAATTGTATTCGCTCGTTTTACAGAGATTCGAAGTTTTACGAAAAGCGATTGTCATGGAAAAAGCCATTGCCGTTGAATGCGGCGGAATTAATGGTTAACGACGTGTGTCATGGACTTTACGTGGAATGTGGTCACGCCAGAAAGACGGTAGACGGTAAACTGTACCATTGGCATGCGGATATCTTAGTCGATGGAAGAATCGACCGGTCCGGGGTGCTGATAGAGGATTCGTGGGTGCTCGTGAAAAGGACAATCGATTTCAAGTACGTATGCCTGACGCGTATTAGATTACCGACCCGTTCTCGGATTATTAAATACATAGGTTTTACAATAAAATATGTATTGTTTTCCTCTCGAATGCTTCTATGTGGTAAAAAAGAGTACTAAAAGTTTCACGCAGTATTTTTTATAGATGGGCAATGGGATTTATAGTTTCGTTAGGCGTGATTAAAATCATTTGAATGAATTTCTTCAAGCGAGTACAGTCGTGGTACAATGTGGCCCACCATTACATCCTGATGGAAATATCTTCGTTGCCCTATATTTATTCTTATTTAGTACAATTTAATGGAAGAGGCCACATTAAATAATAAACTTGAAACATCGTTTTTCGAATCTATGCTCTTTTGCGAAACAAAATATATCGGTGTGGTCACAAGTGGCCTAGCCCGTGACTATAAAATCACGATATTAGGCCGACTACAATCGGATAGGAAGAGTAAGCGACCGCGCGCCAAATAAATTGTAGTTTTAAAAAAAAAAAAAAAAAAAAAAAAAAAAAAACAATAATATCAACAGACTAAATGCCGAAAGCTCGATATTTCGTATCGTCAGTCGGGCTACTAGCTTATGCAAATGGGTGTACACGCACACAGATATAAGAAAAAGATCGATAAAGCAAAAATAATATTTTTATCTCGGCTACGGGTCGTCTATCCGCCTATCTCAAGTCGCATATTTTTTGAATAGTAAACCGTTTTCGTTTTATTTATTTATTTCAATTTTTTTTTTTCTCGGTCGACTACAGCCCGGACAAGAATTACGTGACCGCAGTGCTGGGCAACAGCGCGCACTCGAGCGTTTGGATCAAGTCGCCATACCGACAAATCGCGCGAGTGGACGCGATCCGACGGTTGTCGGGCGCCGCACTCGATCTGCTCCATCTGGCCGTGCCGGCGAACGTGAGCGCGGGCGTCACGCCGCTGGGCGTACCGCTGTTCCAACCGCCACTGGGAGCGAACGACACGTGCTACGCGATTGGCTACGCTGACGAGCGCCGCGGCCGTTACCGCGGGACCGAGGCCGTGTTGCTGCGGGTGGACGCGAAACGGCGGTGCGACGAGAACGCGCTGTGCCTCGCGGTGTCGCGAAAACCTCGATCGTGTTCGGTAAGGGTGCGTGGCCGCAGTCCGCGGGTACCACTGGCACGGTTGAGCGCGGAAAATGTTGAGCGGAACGCGGTCGAGCGCATGGAAAAATATATGCGCGACACTTTACGTAGAACAGTGATTATTGATGAAAAAAAATCGAGAAATATCATAGCGAGTAATACAAAAAAAAAAAAAAATTATATAAATACGCCGATAATGAGTTGAATATTTTGAGCGATTCGTTTAAAAAAATGTTCTAGCGATCGAATTGTTCACGTGTATTTCTTTGTTCGCATCGACCAATCGTAATCATTTTTATCATTCAATTATCGGGTGATCAATTTTCCGCGCTCGACTGTTGGGACAGAATGATAACAGCATCCGCGGCATGCGTTGTCAAAAACACTTGAGGGATTGCTAGGTTCACAGGGATGAACTGAACGAGTTATACTGTTCTGGTTCGTTGGTGATAAATATTGATCAGTGTCTTGATTTTCTCGTCCACAACAATCGTGTTTGATCGTATGTATGGACCATGTAGTAAAGTGTGCAATACATGTTAATATCAATTGGATACCACTCCGTCATTAGCCAAGAATCATTATAGAATGAATCCTCTACCTCTATATCTATGTATGGATTTTTGTAATTCTGGTTTTATTAGTACTACGTTTTATGCTACACGTCTACAAATGCAGTTTCTATAAAGTGTAAACAAATGTAAAAAATATATCAATAAAATATAGAACTACCAGAGAAATTACTGTGACAACGGTCATTATAACCAAATTTATAATAATTGAAAAAATATACAGTATGATACAACGTACATAAAAGTTTTAACGGGATCATTGATTCTTGGTCAATGTTGTCACTACAACCCGTATCTTTATAATTTATGGTGATCTTGTATTTTTATATTTTACGAAAATATATTTTTATTTTTTTGTTGTTGTTATAACTTCTCGAAAAACCAAAATACATCTTGTTTAATTTTTATTTTGGTTGATTAATATGATTACAGAACGGAAGAAACACATCGCACGTGACGGCAATCGTCTGCGAATCAAGCAATTTCGGTCTGTTTCTAGCGGCTACGACTGTTCAGAACAATATGAACTTTTGTGATCACAATAAGCTTATTCGACTACCGATGGCCGATGATTTAATTGATGAAATCGCAGCTATCACTGGTACATTATAATCGTTTAATAATTAATTAATCGATATGTTTATCCAAATTTATTGAATTGTATGGTATAGTCATTATTCATCATATCGAATCAATATTGATACCATGAAAAATCCTCTATTCTCATGAACTCATATGTTTGAAAGACTCATTAGACATTCTGTTTTTGCTTATACTTTTTTATCCAGATGCAACATACTAGTTATGTATTTACTTTATGAATCAGTCCCTATTTTTAGTGAACTCCGAGACAAAGTATGTAGTCCGAAATTGTAAATATGCACTACGGATTCGAGAAATATGTACCTACTAATACTAATAAATAAGATTACTATGAAGGTGTCTTTCAGGAAGACAGCTGATGAGGATTTAAATGTATCTATTAAATTTTAAATTATATATCCCACATTAAAATTAATAATATGTTAATCGTTTTCAGATTTATACCAGACATAAGTATATTTTCAGTTAAAAACAATAACATATTAAAAGTTACCTAATTATGTGCAATTTTATTAATAAAGAAAAAAACTATTATTAAAAATGATTACTGACATTGTACTAAACATTTTAATCATAAGGAAGTGAGGTAAAGGAGGGGGGCTCTGTATTGTATCATTGTACATTAAAAAATGTGTTGTAAAAATGTTTATAAAAAATAGGGGCTGATATGAATATGTGTTATTTTTTTTTAAATAAGTATTATGATTTAGTTATTTAGGCGACACAAGTAAAAACATGTAAAGGTTTTAAACACGAGCTATGCTAAATTTTTACTGCAAATTACAATAAAAAATAATTGGAATTTAAAAATATTACTTTAAAGTGAATATGATGCACCAATGCAATAGAAAATGAAAAAAATGTGTAATTTAATTGAATATGTACAGTGAAACTGGTCTAACACAGATATCCCGCTCATAGACAGGTTCATTAAGTCCTCTTATTTCTGCTTTCATCCAAATGATCGAATTTCGGACCAATGCAGATATCCGTTTTATTCAGAATCCGTACATAAGACATAATATTTCAAAGTCTGTTATAATATCGGATTATGTCCGTGCCACTAGGACCATAAGACCACCAGGGCTTGTCGAGAAGAAATTAAAACACTAATGTTGATAGTTGATTCCGTTTTGTATTGTTGGCGTGTAGTAGCTGCACAAGAAATGAAACATATTTGGTGTTGAATTCTAGTACATAAGCAAGTGCATTTTTCATCTGTCGTGTTATTGCAGATAAAAAAGTAAAATCGACACCGGTTCCTGTTTGCAACGGTGTACGCTGTGAACTAGGCAATTGCGTTCCGTGGGAAAAAGTGTGCGACGGAGTATCTGATTGTCTCGACGAACGAGACGAAACGATTGAAATGTGCCAAGCACGAACTGATAAGTGCAAAACCAACGATACTTTGTGCAGTAATTATCACGATTTATATTATTACGCTATTATACGTATTATACACGCACGTGTATTAGACTTAAGAACAACTTTTAGGATTAGAATTTGCGAAATAAATAGTTATAAAATCGTACTTACATATTTGTATAACGTTCGATATTTATGCATTATATTTTGAAAATCTGTCAAACGACTATTCTTAAATACAACAAAAGCGCAGGTTCATGTAGGAAATGTGAACGGTTTATATCTACCAATTTAATTGTCTATTAGGCTTTAATGTTTTATACAACGAAATTTAGTATGTAATAATATTGTCGTTAGGAGCCATCCGCAGGTCATTTCAACTATTGGTCTCTTCGAAACTATAACGTTAACAAGTGCGTTATATATATTCTATTCAAATAAAACATAACTTTTGAAGAACGTTCAATTAAAAATACTCAAGATCAAGAGTGTTTTTATTTCCAGTAATGATTTTAAAAATAAAAGGAAATGTAATTTTTATTTACGTGCTTGGTATTAGACGAAATCTATCGTATAATATATTTATAAGGTATTCATTTTTAATTTATTTTATTTTGTAGACCAGTTAAACTTGAATTAATAAATATAATTTTCAGATAAACGTTCAATGTGTTGTAATACAATGAATAATTAAACAAATAAATAAATATAAACGCATTATAATAAATTTGCTAGAGTTGCTCAGAAATTTCAATTGTTACTACAAAATGTTAGCTACATTATCTCAGACAGTGCCGGCCCTAAAGGATGGCAAGCCGTGCGATCGCACTGGGCCCCGCGCTTGTATGGGGCCCCACAAATTGTGTATTACGAATATCACTTTATCTATAAGTAAAAATAATATAGTCCCAGTACGCAAATCGCAACCCGTGTGATCTTGTGATTTTCTCAGGAAACTGGTTGTATCGACGAAATTTTAGACGGTACCAATTACGCATAGCTTTGAAGTATTGCACGCGCATGCACTTGTAAAATTGTTTATCGTCGACGACGGTTCGAAATATTATTTAATTATACAATAACATGAACAAACGTAGATTTTTATAAAAAATTAATAAATTAATAAATTAATATATATATATATATATGGGCCTTGCAAAATTCTGCACTGGGCTTCGAAAACCGTCGAGCCGGCACTGATCTCAGAATATCATTACATTTTTCTATCCCCCGGACTAAGTTATTGATTTACTGCAACATTGGTTTTTCTCTATTGCGCCCAAAACTAACCAGCCTACTATACAGGCGATGCAGTAAATTTATTATTACATGGTTACACTAAATCAAAAAGTACTAAAATTCATTTCAACCATGTTCTCATACTTAAATACACACGAAGAATAAATCCATCCATCTACCGATTGTAATTAATTATATTTTTAAACGTCTAATAAGCCCTTATATTTACCGTTATAGTTAACTAATATTATAATATGTTATTATTATTTAATTTATTATTTTTTTCGTTAGTATGCGAAGTGGGCAGTTTTCGTTGCGCCAACGGAAGGTGTACGCCAAAAACTACGTTTTGCAACGGGATCGACGATTGCGGCGACAGAACGGACGAACCAAAGACCTGCCGAGAAAACACGTGCGTGGATTATCTAAAACTCGTAGACCCGGAAAGATTATGCGACGGACGATGGGATTGTTTGGATAAGACTGACGAGGATTTCACGAACTGTCCAGCTGGCTACTGTAACAGAACGAACGTTTATCAATGTCAATCGTGAGTAATGCAATATGCACGTATGTACGCATATCATGTAAATATACGTGGAAAAAGGAAGTTATACTCGAGTCTCGTGTGTGTGTGTTTATAGTTCGAGTAAATGTATACCGTCGGAATTCGTGTGCGACGGCGAAGAAGACTGTCCGGAATCGGACGACGAAGCCGAATGCTTAGGATTTATCGCACCGGCTAAAAAGAAGTACGTAAACCTATACTTATAACGACTACTATAATCGTGTGCATTATTATTGTTATTATTGCCGAGCATTATGTACATGGGACGCGCGTTGGCAAAATGTTTCCAACTGCTAGGTGAAAGGTTGTAACTTATGGTTTTATTCCGAGAACATTTGCGATGGACCACACGCACAATGTGTGAAAACCTACATCGGTTTATTGTGTTTAATTGCTCTCGATTCGGGTGAAAATTACGAAAGAAAAAAAAATGGAAAATAATGTACCTATAATTATGATTTACTATTGATTTGATGCCCCGTATACGCAGGGGAGTGATTGTTTAGGACGCTGACACAGAAGCGTATAATATATTAAATAAAGTAATCACTGCAAATATACAACTATGTTTTTTGTAAAATGAATTTAAAAATAAAAATAAATAAAAATTAAACGTTAAAATAGAAATTAAAAAATCAGCTTTTATTTTGAAATATTTGAACAAAATACATGTGGGGTTTAAAAAAATCATCAATATTTTAATAATATTTTAAACGGAACAAAAACAATAATATTGCAAAGAAATATTTTATACTCTTTTTCGCTTATTCCGTAAACTTAATGTATACAACTAATTTTTTTCTTAGTTCTGGAAGGGGAAATCGATGGATTCCACTCTCTTCTCCGGTATATACACGGTTCGACTTTTTAATTAAACATTAAAAAAAATATAGGTTGGCATTTTACGGAGTGAGCTCTACTTCCGAATCTTTTCAGCCATCGTCGTCTACACCATAACTTAAACCAAAGCTCCTGGTCAAACAAATAACCCCGTTTCTAATTCATTAATATCCGCTTCGGATACGTTAATATTACAGTTTTATATTCGTCAACTGACGATCAAAATATTTTAACTTTTGTTTCGCATAACAGTAAATAACAAAGCCGTATTTACTAAGAGATGGAAGAGGCCATCAAGAGGCGCTTGCCTTAGGCAACATTTTTAAATTATTCGTGTAGGCGCTAAAATAATTTTTTTAATTTTCATCTCATAAATAAATTTGTCCATCCATGATTTTAAATGTTAAGAATTTTAAAAATAAAAAATATGTTAAAAATAATACACCTAATATGAAATAATAAGAACTTATAATTATTACAAAACATAAATACCAATATTACGTTAGAATATTATGTTAAATAAGTAAACAATGTACATTTACAAGAATTAAAATAATGGATCATAGAAATAAACGTTGACGGTTTTACCGCAATACTGTTACATTATTTTCGGGTGGAGGAAGGGAAATCTAAGGTTCCCGAAGACAGCCTCACACGAGCCTACGATCGTAAGCATTTCTCAGACGTTGTACTGCACCTGATGCCCTTCGACTCAGGTCCGGTCCAGGCAGTTAGTAAAGTGGGGAAAATGTTGTGGGGGGACTATATTAATCAAAAATTGAGGAGTGTTACCCTTCCTAATTTTAAATCTAACCAACTTTTTTTAGAAAACCCATGACATCTAAGATTCTTTTGTTACACATATATGCTCATAAAAATTTTATTTACATAAGGTGTAAAAACAAATTTCCCCCAAAAAAAAATTTATACATATGCCTGCTCAAAAAAATAAATTGAAATACATAGTAGGTAAACTTTAAAAAAGTTAACTTAAACTTAACAAAACTTAAAAGAATCAATTACTAACCTTGCTAGTTGTTGGTCATCGTAGACAGTAAAAAATACGTACATTGCACGTAAGGTGTATACTGTCTATATTATAAGATAGTGTCTATCCTCTATCATAATTTAATATTTATACTATTTATAGTTATTCTATTTTGTTTATATTTATTCTAAGTAATAATCGATATCACTATCACTTTAATTTTAGAGCTATGGGTAATAACCGCTCGGGATCATCTATAATTAGACATAGCGTCAATTAAATTAACCCATTGTGTACATTATCTACCATATTTTCTTATCGTTATCCATTGATTATAGATAGTACTATCTATAATCAATGGTTATACTTAAATATTATTTCTCCGAAATTTTTTCCATTCGTTCAAATAAATCAAGAAAATAAATTTCATGTAATATTGTAATATTGTAATAAGTATTATATATTCAATATTGTATTTTAGTGACCAATGCATCCACCCCGACTTTTGGCGACTTAAATTAAATAAGACGCATATACTTACCTTAAATAAGAAGGGGTTCTCCGTCCCCCTACACTTTAACCACTGGGTCCAGGGCACTCGACGTCATTTTGCGGTCGATTAACACGCGCGATGCTAAGGCCGGGGTCATACCATGCGTTTTCTGTCGCACGCGTTTTACCGCGCGCTTATTTGACGCACAGTCCACTACCGTCGTGCTACACGTTTTATAAAACGCTCTACGCATGATCAACGGAACGTCTGTTAAACTATTTTGCTACCGATTTCAATCGCGAACAGTATTATTGTTGCAAATGTTGGCTGCAAACCGGAGCGGCAAAACGCGCAGGGCGAGACTATAGCTTACGTCTAAAACAATACGTTCGCAATGAAAACACGCATGCGATATTCGGGTCGTACGTTTTTTTGACGCGTTCTGCTCGATGGAACGCGGCCGGAACAAGTATAGCACGACCGGTGTTGTCGTTCGTATCCGTGTATAAATGCGGGCGGAAAACGCCTCGGTACGACCACCAGCCTAATCACATTGGCCTGAACCCGGTTTTTCAGGAACGAGGGCGTGCTGGCGACCCGTACGTACGGCCACTGGCACGCGCAGTGCATCACCGAGGACTACACGGACGTGGACTACCATTCGCTGTGCCACGGGCTGGGCTTCAGGCACGCGGTGGGCATCAGGAAAACGGCAGGCACCCAGGTGGACTTCGACAGCTTCACCATCGTCCAGCTGAACAACGGCACGGATGTGGCCGTCAGGTCGGCGACCAACGACATCGTGCAGCACACGGACCGTCCGTGCACCGTCACGTACGTGGTGTGCAGCGCGAGTGCGGCATAGACACCAACCTAACCTAACCCCCCCCCCCCGTCGCGCCCGGCGTGATCGTCGATCGTGCCTATCGCGCATCCCCGACCCCTTTCCCGCACACCAATCCACCCAACCCCCTACGACCGCAACCTGTTCCAACGCCGTGTAGTGTGTAAGACTCGTCGTCAACGGTTGTTTCGCGATCGTTTGACGCCCTCTCTCCGGATGACCCGTTCGTTTCGGACTTTCGGTCCCGCGCGCGGTGTCGATGACGGGGTGCGAGAAAACAGAAAAAACTAATGTGTAGATAAATGTTATGCGTTTAATAGAAAACCGTTTTCCGAGAGATCGTTCATTCTTCCGCAACCCTAGGGATTATCATTGCGCGCGGTGTTACGAGATTCACGCGGTCGGTTTTTTGACGTTCGGACGCGTTGTCGTGTGATCGTACACTGCATACACGACCGCTGACCGTAGGATTTGCTTAAGTGTAACAATATATCATTTTATATTATAATAATTAAATTTAATCCACTGAATATTGACGTAATATTATAATATTACAATACTATTACTGTTGTTGTACCAAGAATAATTATTAGATGACGAATAACTAAATAAAAACATTATTATTTATTTTTAATTGAATAAAATTTACTGTACCTACATGTATTATATATTATTTTATTGAATCAAAATTTAACGACCAAAGCATTATAGAAAAACTGATAATAGCCATTCATGTGCATGAGCAAGATTTTGACTTCATACAGCAGGCTGATGTACAAAGTTTTCAATCAATACACCCATATTAGAGTTAAATGATCAAATTATTGATTACTTTGTCCACAGGGCTTTGATTAAATACTTAAGGGAAAAGTCAAAAAGAGAAACTATTTGTGGCAAAATTAAAACGATACAGATATAGATACAATAATGATGCAATTGTGATTTATTTTTTATCTGAAAAATTGGCTTTAATAAACATTTAAAAAAAATTAATTTGTTGGCATAAATAAAGTAATTAAAAATTAATTCAACAATACTTTAATTTAATGATTAAAAATTATTTTCAAATATTTTTAAATATTAGTGTAAAAATATAAAATCCAATTCTTATTTTATCAAATAGTTTGCTGAATAAAACTTTTGGTGCTAGTTTACAAGTCAATATTTGAAAATAATAATAAATATATGTAATCCTATATGATTGGAACCTAATCTTGCTTCACTAAATCTTCAAAAACTATTAAAACTCTAATTTAAAGAAAATATATTCTTCTCTACATTTCAGTATGTTATGAATTATTTGTACATTATTAATATATTAGTATAACTAACAATGCCAAAAACAATAACAGAAAACTGAACAATTTTAATAAATTAAATATGAATACTCAAAATGTTACGAAAATAAATAAATGTATTTAATAGAATTTATATAAAAATAAAATGTACTAATTTTTAACCCCAAAATTAAATCTAGACAAAATCATGTATAAAGCATAACAATAAAAAAGTCCGTTTAATTTTTTTTAAAAAAAATTAAACATGAGTTTTTTAGGCTCAAAGCACTAACATTTTAGTTGTAGTTTTGTAGTTTTTTTATCTAATTCAAATATAAATACATTTTTAAATAAAAAGAAAATTTTTAAACTGTAAATGGATATATAAATGGATACAAAATATTTTGTTTAAAAATATTTATTTATGAACAAATTAAAAAAAAGCTATTTTTTTTATTAAATATCAATCAATACTTTACATAAAAAATTTTTAATAAATACAATAAAATAAACAATAGGATCATAAAAATAAAACAGTATTCTTTTTTATCATGAATTTTAATAAAGTTTTATATGAGTATTAATATTTTTCAAGGTTTTAAAACTAAACTATGCTCAAAGTCCAAACAATAAAAATTATTTTTTACAAACATAATATAAAAATTAATTATGAACACAACATACAAAAATTCACGTAGGTTTAACAGACGGATTATTATTATTATTTTTTTTTTTTTGACAGTTTAAAATGTAAAAACAGAAAGAAAACCTGCCATAAAAAATAGGAAATAAATGTATTACTCCATTACTGTTTCAATAAGAATACTTTACAGTCAATTTAATTACAAATCAATACAATTAAATGCAAATACAGAATAAGTTATTGAAGATAAAACTTTAAAATATTCAATGATGCAATTCTTAATCATTATAATGGATGATGAATAAACATTTATGATGAAGTACCAGGCACAATAGATGCTTCAGCTTGTAATTTTTCACATTTAGTTAAATGTTTGATAATCATTTCAACAGATTTTATTCCTCTGGTACCAGGCTAAATTAAAATGACATAAAGAAATCAATGAGAAATTAATTTATAAATATAAAAACTAGTATCAATAATATAACTTACAGCAGCAGTGAGCTTCATAAAATTTAAGTATTTATCCAAAACAGCTAACATTGCTGTAAATCGACCATCAGGTAACTGCTTTCCAACAAATTCTAGGTACTCCTATTAATAAATATAAATAATTATTTCACAAAAATAATGAAAAATTGTATTAATTACCTTGTCGTCCATAGTAATGTAACCAAGTAAAATAGCAATGTATGATGCTATTACTGTATGTTGCATGTTTTGTCCTGCCTTTTCGACAACTAAGAATTTAAGATAAATTTAAAATTATTATTATTGATAAAACAAGTCACTCATAATTAACAATAAATACTAATAATAGATGTAATAAATGACATGTAAAACAGAATTTTTTTAAAAACTATACTAACGTAGTGCAATTGTTTCTTCAATGTATTGTGTATGTGCTTTTAATGGAGCATCTTTAGCTGGTTTCTCTGTCTGCTTATTTTCACCATCCAGTATTTCATCAGTCTTTTTTTCCTCAGTCTTCGCTAATTCTTCTTGTTGGAAGAACATTTTCACCAATGCTTCAATCGCAAAAGATTTAGTTGCTGCAAATTAAAAAAAAATTTGAATACAATAAAAAATATTGTCCCAAATAACACTGAAATAATTAAACATACACTCATGAAGACTATCACTCTTAGAAGGAGCCTGAGCTTCTGCTATAAGTTTTCTGTTGTCAACATTAATCTCCACTAAATTAATCAGCAATGTTAGAGTCTAATAAAATAAATAATTTAATTATATAAGATTATATTATTATTAAAATTCATTCAAATGATTTTTTACTTACTAAAAACATTATGTCAAACTTGTCATCATTAGGAACATAATCTGGGACTTTGAGAAGAACGTGTAAGCTTGTATCAATTACACCATCTTTACATCCAATTTTAGAGCCATCTGTTCATTTAAAGTAGTTTTAAACACAATAATTTGTATAGATTAGTATAATTTTTAAATTAATACTTACTAATTTGATTTGAGTCGTGTGACAAATTAATAAGCACTTTTAAATTGGCTGTAAGACATTCTCGCAATACAGCACTTATTGAGTCTTTATCATTTTCATTATAACTCGGATACAAAGGTATCTCATAATCGCACACTTTAAACATTCTAATTAATGTATTGATCAAAATACCATTTTCAAAATGTATTAAATACACATTATTTTCTTCATTTTGAATGGTTACCTAAATAATTAAATACATAAATAATTATCTTACACAATAAACTTACTTATTACTTACATTTTCAAGTATCCTTAAACAACGATCAACTTTCTTAATACGTTCAAGTAATATAGGAGACCACACATTAGTCATTGAATCAACATGCTTACAACATTGAACAACTGTACGCACAATGTGATCTAGACCACCAAGCTGTCGCATTTCTTCTTTGAACCACTCACCAGCTCGAGCACTTGTAAGACTCAAGAGTGTCTCCATGGCTAATTGTCCTACTGTGATATTATCTGTATTTAAATATTTAGCTGCTCCTTGAGACTTGATCTCTGAGCACAATTGAATAACACGTTCTCTTGTCTTTTGTAGTTGATGATCGGTAAGACCACAATCATCAAGAGCTTGATCATGAGTTGTATCATTTTCCAACAAATTTAACATAAGTTCTAGACAATCACGATCTAAATCCATATTCAAACGATCTTGACTTAAAACAAACATGACTGTAGCTGTACACATCCCTAAACTCTAAACAATAATTAAGCATGATATATGTCACTAAATTAGTAAAAAAAAATGTTACTTGATCTTTAGTGGCATCTTGCAATGCACGAAATATTTTAGCAACTGTTCCATGTGCTTTGACATGCATTCGGAAAGCTGGAGTCATACATTTAGTTGCCAATGTTATTGCAGACAGACATCTAAAGTTAATGAGTACTACATAAAATAATGGCTCATTAAATAAAATGATTAATTCCAACAAACCTAGTTCCAATTGGATTATTTGGTTGTAAAGCATCTAAAATATACTCAACATCATCATTGAATTCTTGAAATTCTCCAGATTCTTGAATTTGATGGGCTTTTTTTACATTTCGAACCACAGTATAAAACTATAAGATATAATTTAAAAATTAATTATTTTAAACAATTTTAATCTGCATTTTTATCAATTATTTTTTATCTAACAAAATATATAAGATTTTATATTAGTGATATATATATATATATATATATAAATTTACACAATATAATATTAATCAAATTACCAAAAATTAAAAATACATTAATATAAAATGCTAAAAAATGTATAACAATAACTAATTACCATTACAACAAATTTAAATTTAATTAAAATATAAACAAATTTTAAAGACAAAATGTATGGATAAATAAAATTAATTAGTTTTTAATGGTTAAAATAAACGATGTATACATATATGCATTTGGAAATATAAAAATATTTTTATTAATATTAAATGAAAAAATAACTTACTCCTTTTTCTTTTCTGTCACATTTAACACTAGTAACTGAATCAAAATCATCATCAAACACATCAGTAGTTTTTGTGACTCTCTGTAAAGGTTTTTCTTCAAAACTATTGCTTGGACTAGTATTTGGAATTGATTCTTCTTTTTTCTCTTCATCAATTTTTTTATCTTTATCAGCCCATGAATGTTTATAAAGAAACATACCTTTTTTATTCCTCTCATTCCTAGTTTTAAAAATACTCTTTTTGGCAGGGACAATTGTTTCTGGTTGTTGTTCCAATTCCATTCTTTCAGTTAAGTCATTATCATCAAGCTTTATTGGCTCAGTTTCTACAAAAACTCCTTTATGTTTTGAAGGAAGGATTTCTGGTTGAACCTTTACATCTTCTTTTGTTTCTTTAGTAAAATTTTCATCATCTGACTTGAAATGCACTTCAAGCTGTTTTAGTAAATCATCAGTTTCATCAAGTTTTTCTTCATTTTCAACAGGAGTATCAACAGGAGTATCCATTTTAGGGCTAAATACTGAATCATCACTACCTTCTAATACAGCCAATAATTGATTGCGATCACTTTCCAATTGTTCTATTTTAGATTTATCAACATTTATGTTAGATCTTTCTTTTTCATTTATTTTCTCTCTTAACTCATCATCAGTTTGATTAATAACTGTATGTGTAGATATATTGATTTTTAAAGCAGGAACTGTGAATTTAGCTCTATCATGACGTCTTTTCTTTGGAATATCAATAATAGGAGGAGATTCTTCTGTTTCTTCAGGTTCTGGCTCAGTATATGTAGTTTGTGGATTTCGTCTTCGAAGACTTCTTGTAGTTACTGTAGGAGTAACTTGGTCATTACTTTCAGGTACTTCAATAGCTTGCAAAGGTTTTTGAGTAGAATTTGGCTCATTCACTAATTGTGATTTACCCTTAAATATTCGAAGTACTATAGGTGGCTTACTTGGATCTTTAGTAGGTGTTAATGATGAAAATGATAAATCACTTGTTTCTGGAATTCTATCTTCTTTCTCAGGAGAAGATTCTGGAGTTTTTTGAATAACAGTTCTGGTTTTTTTGGTTGTTTCTGATCCACCATACTTTCGGTCAGATCTATTAGAATCAGCATTACGACTTTTAAAAAACTTTTTAGGTCTCACTACATTTACAGTAGGTTCTGGTACAGTAATTTTTGGAGCAGGACTAGATTCTTGATGTTGCCTTTTCTTCCCAACACTAAAGCGAGATCCTGATGTTTCTTCAGTTTTTCCTAAAGAAAAATTAAATTAAATAATTATATTTTTATTAAAAACCAAAATATATTTCTAGTATTACCTGTATTTGCATTACCTGTGACAAAATTAGTACTTCTAATTGAAGTAAATGAAGTAACACCCCATTTACCAACTGTACCCGCAGATTTAGCCGCTGTAGGCCTATTAGTATTCTCACACAATAATTTATCAAAATTGATGGCCGTTTGTACAACACTGTTAGGATTATTAGAGTACTTAGCACGGCCATAAGATTTCATGTAAGATCGAGGACCTTTTGCAGTACTCTAGAATAAAAATACATTTACACTATAAAAATATTTAAAATTACAATTTTTAAACATAAACATTTTATTAATTTGAAATAATGTCTAAATTGATATGACATTCTACAGGTTTTATAAAAATATAATATAAAATCTTTATCTATAAAACTAAAAATCTTTTATATTTTTAATAAAATTAACACCTATTAGATATTATTTCACATAATTTGAAATAATATAGTTAAAATCAAATTAATTTTGAATCACTGGAAATTAAATAAATGTTTTAATTATGTATTTAATAAAATATAAATTTAAAAAAAGCAACAATATATATACAGAGATATATCTAAAAGTCACAAACACTCATGGTGATTAGTTACGAATTATAAATATATGATAGTAGCCTTAAAGCCAGTGTCTCCATTACTAGGTTTTTAAGTTATAATTTACTACAATGTTAATATACCTAATTAAAAAAAAAACCTTAAGTCCTACCATTCAAAAATCATAAGTACATTATTAATTTAAGTAATGTCATAAAATATGTAATTCTCCACACAAATATTTAAAATGAATATGAAAAACCCAATAAATCACAATGAAGATTGAGAGAGTTCAGATAACCTAAACTCCAAGTTAATAGTTATTGTATCATAATTAAATTCACTGAGTTACTACTAGTTACTCTTTCTTATCTATCATTTATGACTGATTGAATTTTCTTTTTATTCTCCTACTCATTAAATAAACTGTAAATAAATTGAAAATATAGTATAAAACTACTTAGAACTAAAAAATAAAATAGGTACCTATTACTTAACACCACTATTTGGTCCTTCATAAATTCAAGAAAAATATTCTGTAAAATAATATTATAGAACTTACCTAATACTACATTTATTAAATTATACACAACCGATAACTATATTCATTATTTAGCATACACAATAAAGATATCTAATATGAAAGATATGGTGATTGCCTATAAATATTTTAAAACTCTTTATAAAAGGTTTTGACTTAAATACATTCTCAAATGAAGCATGCTATTGCTTTAAACCTAATTAAAAAAAATTTCAAAATATACCTAGATATACATATTTAATTGTAAATATATAATGTACAGTTTGGATCTACAAGTACAAAAATAGTATAATATAAAACAATAATTGAAAAGTTTAATGAAAGAAACCATCCATAGCAACAATTCTTAAATTATCACACAATATTAAAAGAGTACATTTAATAGGAAAAATGCAATATTAATCAACTTATTTAACATAAAAAATTAAAAATTAATTAATTTTATGAAAATATTTTATTATTTTTAACTTTATAATCTAATTTTACTTAAAATATAAGACTTTCAAAAAAATATTTTTTTAGAGACTCTATGAAGCATTACTTTAAAAACAATAATAAATATATACAAATAAATTACAATATTAATATAGAATAACTGTACTTAATGTGTATTTTTTAAAAAATAAATAATTAAAATAGAATATATATTGTTTCAAAATCTAGTACCTATTAATTTTACAAGAATTACATAATACCAACTTCCAAAATTAATCAAACTAACGTAATATTGTGATATTAAAAAAAATTAATTTAATGATTTTTTTTTCTTCCTAAAAAGGAATATATAAGGCATATGCATAATGAGAAAGTAGCTTTATATGCAATGGAATGATAAGAAATGTATATCAAAGACTAAAGGAACAACTTAAATATACATTTTAAATATACCTAATACAATAATTAAGTGTTAAAAGAAATGTAATAAAAACTACCTTAATTATCAGTCTAATTCAAAAGGGAAATCTATATTATTAAAAATCCTATAATACCCATCACTAAACTAGATTATAAACTTAATAAATTACAATTTATTTGGCAATGAAAATAAATTGTAAAAAGTTTAATCCCGAGTTTAGAACACTTGACTATCCAACAGTGCGAACATTACACCATTTAAAAGGAATAATGTACTGAACACAAATGTTAAGAAAACAGTTTCCTTATTATGTAACCATAACTATCTTTATATACCTGCATGTTAATTATGGTAGACGTAATCAACTGCTAAATGCATCTGATCAACTCCAACCGTTTTTTTTCTCACTTCGCGGTGACCGACGTGCGATCAGAGATCAACATCCGACACATTTCGTAATGTTTTCAAAAATATTTTCTAGTTGTCCGGCGAACGGGAGAAATATAACAATTACTTCAACACACCAACAAGCTAAGCGTACGGAACAAGAGATCGTACGCGTTTGACTTAAAGAAAAAAAAAATGTATATTGTAAACAAATCACACTCGCACGCGCGTACACATATACACATTTCCCACACACACGCTCGTATAAATATACACACATACACATGCACAGGTACACAACACGAAAGCAGTGCACACAGGCAAACACGAATACGGACGTAAAGAGCGGCACGAGCGACAGTCGGTAAGAGTGCACAACGGTACCGAAAAATATTACAAAATATGCAACAACGCGCACGCGCACTATACGGTTACCAGTCGATAATGGTATCGATTAATTTAGTGTTCCATGGACGTACGCGATCTTTCCATGATATACATATTTACGGTTCTATGTGTACATTACATTTTTTTTCTCACATAAAAAAAAAAACAATCACTTTACTAAACTACTTAACTATACCTACAAGATTAGACTTGGAAAAAAAACCTACACTGCCTACACAACATTCGAGTGGGCGTGGCTGCAAAGTTCCGGAGACTGCGACTATTATTCATAGTAGTGATGGCGATTCTCAGAAATGAATCGATTTTATGAAACAATCCAAATCGCAATGAAAAGAACAATTCAAAAAAAGAACGATTCACTTTATATATTTGGTTTTTTTGTTTTTTTAATCAATTGATGGCATTAATAGCATTTTTGCCTGTGCTGTAGGTGTAAATTAGATCCGGGCGGCAGTAATGCTAACCCATGTCCCGCCCGGCTCCTGAATTATAAAAAAAAAAAAAAAAAAAAAAAGGTGTAAATTAGATAAGAATATAAAATGAGTAATGACTTAATTTTTATTACATAATTGGATCAACAAATAACAATGAATCACAGTCGCGTATGGGGAGGGTGGTGGGAAGTGCGCTACAACCCCCCACCCGAAATGTTTCAAAAAACTTAAAAATTATTTTAAACGTTTGTTATATTTTGTGCTTTATGCTTATTTAGAAATAATTTTATAAAAAAAATAGAAAAATTATTTTAACCTAGTTACATACATTTATTTTATTCAATTGTACTTCAATAGTTCATTAAAATGTTTTAAGGTTCTCAATTCATGGTTCTCAATTTATTATTAAGAGTTAACTATATAACAAATGCTATATAAATACATTTTATTCATATCATATTTTATTATAGAAATAGTCCAGTAGACATATATATACAGTGAAACCTCCCTTAACGGACACCTCCAAATAACGGACGTTTTTATGGGAACGAGGACATTTTCATTACTTTTATATAGGAAAACCCCTAAATACCGGACACTTATATGGCAATTTAATTTTAATTTTGACAATTTTTATCGTAAATATAGAATAATCGTTGAATGCCAATTCGATCTAATCTTACTACTATGTACTATAAATTATTATTTAATTATAGTTTATCTTATCTGTCCATTGGTTCATCGCGTCGATGAAACATTTTTCTAGATTATGTTCTGTGAAGTTATCGTACTCGTATTTAGTTGTGTTAGTGATTCCATTGTATTCGAATGTGCTAGTGTAACGTAACTTGTTTCGTAAACGTATTGCAATAGCTAGTAAACGAAAGAGTTTATGTTTGAAAGAAAAAATTGAAATTCTTGAATTTTAAGCATTTAATACAAATATAGGTGTACGTGCGATCACAGATAAGTTTAGTGTTAGTAAAACATAAATCGCGGATATCATAGCTTGTAAAGATACGCTTTACAAAAATTGGGGTGAAAATGGAGAAGAGAATCGAAAATGGACAAAACTTCAAAAAACAAAAACCTCTGTCATCGACAATGAAGTTTTACATTGATTTTCAAAACTACGAGAAAAAAATTTACCTGTTTCAGGACCGATGCTTCAAGAAAAAAGTAAGCAAGTCGCTAAGAAACATGGATTGACCGATTTTAAAGGTTCAAATGGTTGGCTGGAAAAATTTCAAAAAAGAAATAACATAACTTTCAAATCTGTTTGTGGTGAAGCAACAAGTGTTGACAAAGAGGCAGTCAATAACTGGAAAGCAAAAATACCCGACATTAATTCCAATTACGCCGAGTGCGATATTTTCAATGCTGATGAAACAGGATTATTTTTTAGAATTCTACCTACCAGATAAAACCGTGGCGTTTAAAAGCGAAACATGCAGTGGAGGAAAAATTTCAAAAAAGCGTTTAACTGTGCTCTTACGTTCCAACATGTTGGGTGAATTTGAACGACAGCTTGTAATAGGAAAAGCAAAACGACCTCGAGCGTTCAAAAAATTGGAAATCAACAACTTCCCCGTCGATTGGTATTGGAACAAAAACGCCTGGATGACAACTGAAATAATGAGCGACTGGCTTATAAAATTTGATAATAAAATGAATAAAAATAAGAGAAAAATGTTACTCTTTTTAGACAATGCTGCTCCTCATCCACATTTAAAAATGAAAAATTTTGAACTTGTGTTCAACATTATGACATCCAGTGCCAACCACTTGACCAAGGGATAATCCAGCATTTTAAGAAGTTGTATCGTACCCAATTACTACGTAAAATTATTGCCAATTTGGATATTGATTTTAATTACTCCAGGTAATGTTTTTTGTGGTCTGACTTTAGGCTCTGTAGTATCAACGTTACTGATGTTGTTACCAATTTACACCAACTAAAGAACTTAGCAATCTCATTAAGCTGATTGACAATAACATTACAGATAAAGAATACATATTACTCGACGATTATGTAAAGACTTCCATTATCAATGATAGTACGAATATGTCCACACTAAATGATGTAGAAAGTTGATGAAGATAAAACCCAAGATCAGGAAAACGATCTAATCATAATCTAATGTAATGTAATATCACTTTCAATAGTTAACAAATACAAACTGTCCAAAAGTTCTTGTGTCATACAAGACCTGAGATGTGTTTTAATTCGTTTTAATGCAGAAAAATATTTTTCACTGGTACAGCTAATACACGGCATTGTCAAGTATATTTGCAATAATATTTTATATTATTGCAATATTATTTTATATTATTAAGAAATGTATTACGTATATCCAGGGCCGGCGAAATCTATGGGCGACCCGGGCGATTGCCCAGGTCGCCAGTACGAAAGGGACGCCAAACTGAAAATATTTTTCATCTAATTTATCTTTTAACACGTATTAACGATCTACAAGAAGTAAGAATATAACAGTTGTGCTTTCTACTTCATATAGTTACTGCATCCATACAGCGTTGGTTTTGATGTAAAAATAATGCATGGAAACATACCATTTGTTTGTGTAAATAAATAGATGGTAGTAATATTTATTTTCATAAAACATTTACCCGTTTACAAATAAATTCATATAACTAGACGATTACGTAAAAAACGCTTTTGGACCTTACGGTGAAAATACCGCGGTGTGTTGCGTAAGTCAAAAAGACACGGTTGCCCGACACACGCGCACAATTAATTGTTTTCAACGACCTCTCGCTACATACGATCTGCTGTGTAATGTCAAATGATTAAACTAACAAGTTACAGTTAACAGGTACCTAATCAATATTCATATTTTTTGTTTTGTTAATTTCTACATAATATTTTGGTTCCTTATTAGTTATTTACAATGAACTCCGTTATCTGGTTGTCTTAATAAATGAGTTGTTAGTGAAACACAGTACCTATTCCTATATTGTATGCAGTAGCGACGTGAAATAATATATTCCCCGAAAAAATTTTTAAAAAGTAAAAAATGCCAAGCTCAAAATTAGAACTATTATATTCTTGCTACGATAAAACAAAAACCTATCTAAAAAATGCATTGATATTGTACTAAGTTATTATACTAAATATGAAGTAATTTTATTTAAATTCACTAGAAAACTTTATTTTACTACTATTCAAACTAAGTGTATTACATCAGGCCAAATTGCAATGTTGTTAAAATATTCCACATAACTTTTTTTACAAACAGTTTCAGAAAATGAAAAATCCAATTAATATTTTTATTCATTAACAGTAAATTATTTTTCTGTAAATGATTAATTGAAATAAGTATCACATTTTTATCATAATAAGAACAAAATTATCAGAAGAATCAATTAGTGTCTATGTAAGAGATGAACGTTCAACAGTTTTATTTAAAATGTAGATGATATACAAATAAATATAAAATAATTCGAAATAAATTCTTAGTTTATTTTAATGTATCGAAGAATAAAATAAATAAACTTAAAATACATCATGTATAGACTTAAAAATTTATTTCTAATCATATACCAAGAATTCAGACTTAAACAAACAAAATAAAAAATCACAGTGGGCAACTTTTTTTTTACAACCATAAACATTAGAAATATTATTAGAAATTATTTTATTAGATTAAATTATATTAAATTATTAGATTAAATTATATTTTTAGAAATATTATTAGAAATTTGAAACCAACAATAAATTATTGTTTTTATAAAAATATGTTGAGTTAATTTTGTTAAAATCTTATGATTTATGGCTAACAATTCATATTAACATTAGGTACTTTAATAATCATATTATATTATATTTTATGTTTTAGTAACCTAGCACTTGCCTAGTATTTTATTAAAGAATTGATGATCGATCCATAGACCCCGACTTTTTTTTTTCGTTCTTCTTTTCCTAATTTAATTTTCCACTTTGCCACCCCGCTTAAATACTGCGTGACATATTAGTTATTGCCTACCAAGCTTTCAAAACAATTATATTTAAAATGCTAAACAGTATTCATGAAAATTGAAAAAACAAATTTCGAATATTAATTATCACATTAATGCTCACCTATTCAAATACACGTGTAAGCGTAGAAATTTATATACCACAGTACTGACAAATATCAATATTTAACTGCCAAAGCATAATATTCATAATAATAAAATAATATAATAATAAAATAACGAGATAATAGTATTACCACAGATTATATAATATAATATATAATTTATGATATTATTTTATTATGGTAAGGCGATCAATGATGTGCGAGCACAACACTAATATAAACGGCAACATTGGATTTTAATAACTATATTAGTTTATTTAAAACATTAATGTTAATGTTTTTTCATATTGATTCACGTGATTAAGATAACTGAATGAAGCATATTATATGTATAATATTTTCAAAATCAAATGAAATATAAACCAGAGGTTCTGAAAATGGTAACAAGGGCGCCCGCAAGGAGGGGCAAGGGGGAACAACTCCCCCTAGCTTTCCAGGCATTTAAAATAATTGTATCCAAATTAAATATCCCAAAATCCTAAAAATCATAATTGGTAGGTACCAAGGTGTATTAATATTTATAGTTGGTTACGTTCAACAATGTATAAGAATCATTTATCCGGATTATGTATGTTAAGTTTACACAGAAAAAAAATCGAAGAACTCCATTTAGCTGAAAAATTTGTGGATGAATTTGGGAAAAATGAAATAAAATTGCAATTTGTGTTCCATTAGTTAATAAAAGTGTTTGATTAGCAATAAAAATTAATGCTGTCCCCCCTTAATTTTCATCAATGGGCGCCCTTGAATGTTAATTATGTGAACAAAATGCTCATAGCGTCACAACGACGGGTAAATCTGTTAATACTGGGTTTGAATAAATCTATAAATAGTTATTTGGTATTAAATATTTCCGATGTTCAAACAATTTTCCATTATTATTATTTTAATATTTTGTGATAGTAACTGATTGGCACTAGGGTGGGAATGACAAAAATAACCAAAATTCAACTGACAATATATACTGAACTCTGAACATTGACAGTTGGTATTACATTTTACAGAATAAATGTTTATGGAATTAATTTAAGAATACAGTTTTCTACAATTTACGGAGATCAGTGGCCCCCAGAAATTGGGGACCAAGTGCAAAGTACTCCATCTGCACTTGCATAAATCAGGGCCTGCTCACGAACTGTAGAGCGTCACCATAAGTACACAATAATTTTCTTTAAAATTTCGTTCTTTCTGAAATAAACAAAAATTAATTAAATTTAATAAAATAATTCATTATTATTTAATATTATTGGGGCGCTAATTTCGATGTTAACAACTGTTTTTTAGCGCTACTTGATTACCAACATATAACTTGTTTCATATGATTATCAAAGAATTCTATAGAGTTTTTTTTTTATTTAGTATTAAGTTTTTATTTTGCCACGCCTTTCGTTAGTTGAAAATTAACAAAGCATTTTTATTTCATTTTAAATGATATTTTTTTGTAGTTTTCTTTTAGCTTTCAAGTCTTTTAAAGAAATATATAAATAATTAAAATGTATCTATGTAACTACTATACAGTAACAGTCTTACAGACCATTAGTATATTCAATTTTGATATGTCACAACTAAATGTATTTCAAAATATTGAAATTTTTTATTTACTTTAGTATTATTGTTTTTTTTTTTTTTACATTATTTTGATATATTTTTATGCATTTGAAGGCATTTTCCAACTTAGTGAAATATTTTTAAAATAATAATTACATTTCTTTTACATCATTACAAATTTATTTTTAAATTCCTCGATCCTCATAAACATTTTCCTATGATTCATTTTCCTAAACCGTAAGCCACAACTAAAGAAAATTAACAGGTAGTTGAAATTCAACCTAACAAAAATAATTTTTACCTAAAAAACAAAAACTGACAATTTTTAACATACACAGATAAATATAATATATTTATAAACAATTATTTATTATTATTTACATTTTAAATAGCTCCAAAATACATCTAACATAAAAAAAAAGCCTTTGATATATTTTTAATTATGACATATATGTAAGAAAACCAATGTTAAATTATAAGCAATGGTTACAATAGGTTATGTGGAACTAGGTAACTACAACCACAAATTAAATATTCTATTAAATAAATAAAATAGCGTTGGTGAAAATAAATTCTATGTATAGTTAAAAATCAATAAATAGCAAATCACTTTTTTATTATTATTTATTTAATTGTTTAGAATTTAATAGAATCTCTAAAATTAAACAATTTACTCTCAGATTTCAATTAAAAGTAGATATGTATAAATTAATTATTTATCAAAGTAACATAACTTTACATTTTTAAATGAGTTATGAATTGATTTTGAATTTTTATAATTATGTACATACTTAATTCAAGGAAAAAATAATAAATAAAATTTCTACCTTAAAATTATTTTTATTTTTATTTATTAAAGTGAATTCACTTAAATGTATTAAAGCAAAAAAAAAAAAAAAAAAAAAAAAAAAAAAAAAAAAAAATAAAAAAAAAAAAAAAAAAAAAAAAAAAAATACATAATGCATAATGTCATAATTACATGTATAAAATAAAAATCAAGGTCAGGATGGTTTGAGTTAAACAATTCAAGTTTCATTAAAATTATTTCAAGACTATTAAAATTACACATAAATAATTTTCTGCAAAAGAGTTAATGAGCTAAATGTAACTAAAGCAATTGAATTCCAAGTTACTAATGATTGGTTTTATTGGGTTTATAAGCTTGTAACAATTTAAAACCAGGAGACCCTTCTGGTTCATTTTTAAGCATATCTAATGCTTTAGACAATAATATTTTAGCTTCATTGCACATTCCTTTACTTTCAGCTTTATTTTCTGATATTCTTGCAGCTGTTTCCAATAAGACCAAATGAAGTTCATATAATACCACTGATGTATAAATATTTAACCGTATGTATAAAGGATCTAAAATATTTAGTACATTGAACATGTCTCTGCATAATTCTACAAAATTACAACAATATATTTTTATTTCTCAACATAAAGTTATTTTAACATAGTCCATACTTAATTTTCTTTTTAATAAATCTTCAGTAAGCATTGAATGTTTGTAACCCATTGAATGACCATACAACTGTATCAATGTATGTTTTAAATTGAAGCATAAATAATGGTTTGAATGGAGATGAGTTTTTAATTTAGAAAGGGCATTTTCTAATGAGTTAATACTCGGATTCTAAAACCAATAAAAATACATTATATCTGTTCATAATTATTAAATTTTACATACTGTAAGAGCTTTTTCAGCAGTATGATTTAAATCCATTAAAATTGCATCAATTTTATTTGATGAAACTGTTGTTGGACACCTATCACATTCCCATTCACTAGAATCATCTAGAGGATATTTTGGGGTAAGATTTCCTTTACAAAAATTTTTGACCTATAAAATACGAATTTATAAATTTATACAACAATAAATGTTTTTGTTTCAATAATAAACATTTATGTTATAGTTCCAAAAAGAAATTGTTGGCCCCCTTTTTTTTTTAACATAACTTAAAGGTATCTTACTATCTAATAAAACAATTATTGTTTTATTAGAGTAAAATAATAATAATTATTATTATTGTGTAAATCAATACTGTATTGTTCATAAAACAGAAAATGTACTATTAAAAATTAAAAACTTACATTACATATTACTGTACTGAAGTTGGTACCCAGTTCGGTAGCATCAGAACATCTATCACAATGACATTCAAAGTATTTAGTTGACAAAAGATGAGCTCTTCTTTCTCGAGTACCCCATAATGCATTTGTATACATAGTACTTAAATGTTCATTCCTATTATTCAATATTTATAACAAATTTTCGATTTATACTATGTATTTTTGAACTTTTTATTTTACTTTTAATCTTTATTATTAATTTACTAACTTAGCTATTTTTCTAGCAGCACTAACAGAAATATGACCAAATTTATCAAATGTTATACTAGTGTTTGGTAAACAATTGTGTTCCATCTTGCTTACATTAGGGTATAAGGCAGTTAATTCCATTCCTGCTACATGAACATCTAAAGCATTTACATCTAAAATACCACATATTTTATGTATAAGGTCTGACGAAGCTTTAATTTTTATTTCACTCAAATAGTTTGTTCTTAAGTAATTACAAATTGAATTAATCTCCCTAAAGTAACATAAATAGTTAAATATGTTTTAATAAGCAAATTATTCACTTGGAAAAAAGTAGCATACTCGTATACTTGAGAATCTGGACCTCTGTGTTTCATATGAGACTCCATTTCCATTAACCTACTCCATTTGTTATCATTAAACTGCAATAAAAGACACTTTAAAGGAGTTAAAATTTCATACATATAATTATTTGTTTTGGCAATTTTGTCTGCTCCTGTTTGCAATATTTTACATTCTTCATTGTGAATATGAGGATTAATTGATATTTTACAACCAAAACCACAAATAGGCCATAAACATTGTTCACACAAAGATTCAACTGTAGACTCTGATCTTTTCAAATATTGTAAACATTTAACGCATATAGGTTCTAAAGTTGGAAATTTAGGACCCAAAACTAATGGTTCCTCTTGGATTATAACGTCAAATTGATTAATATTTCGTTTAGCAATCAGAAAATTGCATAATTTAGAATTGTTTTGTACCTATAACATAGTAAATTGGAAATAGATGCTGTACTTAAAATATTATATTATTTACAATTGAAATTACCTCATAAGATATACATTCTTTTTTATGTTTATTCCAGTGAGCTTTTTGATGTTCTTTAGAACAATAGACAACCAAAGAACATGCTGCACATTTATTACTTGCAACAACACCACAAAATGCACAACAATTAATTCCTAATTTTTTAGAATTCATTGCATCAGTCATCAACATTTGCTATGTTAATAAATAAACTGTTAATAAAAACGTTATTTTCACTTACAAGCATAGGCACTACAAATGGTATAGTACAGGCATTATACAACAGTCTATAATCTATTTTTGAATTCACTATAAATAGTAAATGGCCTGAACAAATGGTTCCCAAACTAGATAGAAAACTAACACTTGAAATAATAAAAAGATACATTTAATTTCTCAAATTACTTAAAAGTTATAACTATTATCATAGAAATTGTAACTAATAAGAATTGATACATAAAAAAAAAAGAAACTTAAATTTAAACATGTACAAAATATTAATTTTACATAGGAAATATTTATACAGATTCAATCAGCATGTTCATGTTGTGCTTCAGCTTCACGCCAAATATTCTTAATGTCTTCAACACATTTTCTCCAGAAATTCATTGTCCTAACATAATATAGCGTCCAAAATATAATAACAAACCAGGCCAACCAAAGAGAGTAGTCATAATCATGATTTCCAAATCCAGGAACAGGCTTCACGAAATCAGCTACAGAAATTTCCACTTTTTCTTTAGGAGGGAGATCTATATAAAAATAGTTTGAATTATACATTGATATATCAATTATTTGTTATATTTATTTTTAAAAAAAAAATATTTATAACTAAACATTAAAAGTATTAAACTATAGTTAAAATGCATTTTATAAAAAATGTTTATAGTCTAATTTTAGTATTCGAATTAATAAACTAGACAGTTCATAATTTTTTAACTTATATTTAAAGTATTTTTCCTACAATTGTTATATCTCCACCCAAAATAAATTAACTACTCTAACAGGATCAAATCACAAAATACTATATAATTTTAATTATAATAGTATACCTGTGGTGTAGGCATAAGGTGATATCATTACTTTTAGAGTTAAAATTAAAACAGTGGCTGGACAAAAAATAATGTTATTCCCCAACAGGTAACTTAGGGTAAATTACTATTACCAAGGTTACTCTAATTCTTATGTGATCATGACCTAGTACACTAGGACACTTACTATTTAATATAATGCAGTCAGTCATAAACTCATAACTATTATACAACAAAACAAGTAAAATTTCATGATTATCAGTCAATAAATCCCCAACACTTCTACACACATTGTTGAAAAATATAATATCAAGCAATTACAAGAAAGGACTTACACAGAGCCACAACAGACGCAGTACAATAAATTACCTACACAATATTTTATCATATATTTATTTTTACTTATTACTATAACTTTTACTTATTTACTTTATATTTAAAATTTTATATTGTCTTATGTCAAATTGTGAATGTTATAATTAATAATGTTATACTAAATTCATATTAAATAATAATAATAATAATTTGGATCTTCAAGCACTCATTTTTTGATAAATATAATTTTAACATATTAAATCTACTGGTGTATGTTTTATAGTAATAACTAGGGTTAGGATTTGTATACAACAGTATGTTTTTTTTTGGGAATTTTGATTATTGATTTTATCAGTAATGTCCACAAATCACCTCATGAGATAAATGGTGGTGTTTTTATTTTGCATGTTTTTGGATAAAATACATATTATTGCATATTTCGATTATAAGAATGCAAAAAATGAATGTTTTATAGTATATTTCATAGTCGATATTTATAATTTAATATTAATATTTCATATTTAATTCTAGCCCAGCTGATTAAAGTATAAACATTGATTTTTTTGTTGAACATACATTTTATTTTATTTTATTTTATTTCTCAATTATATTATATTAAGATAAACAGCTAACCACTGATGTATTTCAATAAATAAATAATTTATTTGTAACTTTATTTTTATGATTATCTTATAATAATTTAAATGCATATTTTACAATTTTTTTTTGAATACAAATCCTAGCTCTGGTAATAACTAACAAAAAATATTATATAAACATAGTATCAAATAAATACAATTATACATAATAAGTGATCATCATACATACCTGTATGTCTAATAACAAATTTGGTAAACTCATAAAGTGAATAGTCGGAACCATTGTATTTAGCAATTGGTTTGCCATTGTGGAACAGAACTAATGATGGCACACCAATTATTCCATACATTGTGTTATACCTTTTATAAGTTAAGTTATTAATATTTTTAATTTAACAAGTATATTTTATATAAATTCTAAATGTTTGTATTATGTACCTTTGTTCTGATATAGCATTAAATGCTACCATTTTAATTTGAGGAAATATTCTTGGTAGTACATTGAAATGAGGAGCAGCTAAAATGCTAAATTGACATGATCTAGCATAAAATAAAACCAATGAACAAACTGCTGGCATTTGACGATTATTTATTTCAGGATCAGATTTTAAGACATAACCAAGTCGAGTTGAATTAACAACCTGAAAAAATAATGATTCAAAATGTCACAAAAGATTTTAAAGAATGGAATTTAATATATTAATATAAACAACTTAAATATATATAAGATTAAGAGTGTTGAAGTAGTCATTCTAAAAATGTTTAAACGGTACTTCAAGATTAATAATGTTGATATTTTAATCTTTAGTACACAATGATAATATGATATTCAAATTATAAACTATACAAAAAATTTTAGAGATTTACACATGTTATAATGTTAGATTATAATAAATTATTTGTTAGGGACTTTGAAAATGGTAGTTTTCTGAATCTGATATCCATATATATATATATATATAACATAGGGATTTAGAAATTTTTTATTTTCAATACACCATATCTATTACCTAGTCAGAGTGAGTGGTTAATTTTAGTTCTTGATAAACCATAGACGATAAAAAAAAATATCAATTATTGACTAATAACTATTTTTAAAACCATTTATTAATATTTTAATATTAATAAAGTATTTAAATTGTAAAATATATTACCTCAACAGAAACTTCAGTCTGATTTAATGGTACAAAACCAGTACAATTTACAATCCTTGAATTGTTAGCAACTGTAACATTAGCTAATGGTTCATTTATTGATGGTAAACTGGTATTTGTATTATCAGTAATTAGTTCTGCGTAAAGAACAGATGACAAAAAGGAACTGAATTTGAAGTCTTTTCCACCATTACTGGCAGTACTAGTAGTTAAATAAGCTTGCATAGTTGGCAGGTAGTTATGCTCTTTTTCCAACTTTTTCTAATAAATTTATTAAAATTAAATTCAAACTCTTATTCAGTAAATAAAAAATAGTTTAATACCTGAAAGTTTTTAATAGCATTGCTTATTGCTAGGATATCAGAAAAATCAGTTACTTGTGGTATAGTAGAAAGATTTTTTGGTGAATCTGGGGCTTCCAGTGGTCCAAATTTACTATCGTCTATGTGTATATTTTCTTCATATTCAGCTAAAAATAAATGTTCAATGTTATATTGGACTTGGAGCAATATTCTAAAATAGTATCTCACCATATACCAGTCCACAATAAGATAAAAATGACAAAATATTAGAAAAATACATAATTTGATTCTAAATAAGACACAAATGTCTAAATGCACATAAAAACAGAGATAAATTGAACCAACAAAAATGATAGGTTATATTTATGAGCTACATTAGACCATTTCAAAGACTTAACAGTTTACCAATTAAGAAAATAATCAACACGTTAGTAGAAAAATGGATACGAACACCTGACCAATACTACTTAATCATATGAAATATATAAAAATATAAAACGAAAAAATGAATTACACTAAATTATCAAAACACAATGGTATATGGTAATTGCTATATGATAGCATAATATAGTCATAGAAACGGTTTAAAATATATATGTATATCTTAAACCGTGGTCATAGACTTCTGTACCAACTAGATAAGCTACTCATGGCATTAATCATTAAAAATGATGCAGTCTGGCGGGAGTGCTCTTATCACACATCTACCATATCTTCGATTGGCAAAAAATTTTAAATACTTGCTGGGTACTATTCTTACTAGTTCTTCAATAAGTCAAATTTAAATAAATGAGAAAACATAAAAGTTAAATATAATTAAGGTGAAAAAATACAATTTTTATCACAAATACTATATTTTTGACGACATTAACGGTTTTAACATATTCGTTTTTAATAAAATCACAATATCTATCACATTTTATTAAATAAAACAAATTTAGTTAATTGATGTCGTTTATTAACAATATTTGAAGTTTTTGCTCTAGCAATAAGATGTAGTCGTATTTTTAAATATTTTTTACAAATTAGTGTTACTAAATCTAATCTGATTTTGTAAAACTATTGTGTTGTGGACCTGATTGATTTTCACTGTGGCATTCTTTTTAACACAAATAATTAAGTTAGATTTGTAAAAAAAAATTCAAACACGAATACTGGAGATGGGTAAATATTTATATTTTATCAATTTTAAACAGTAAGATTTTGACAGAATTCTTGACAAATAGATTAATTGATTTCACATTCGTGAGTTCCAATCAAAGAGTGTCTTATGATAGTTCCCGAGTGTAGTTATATACTAAATTATACCTGAATGTGCGTCAGAGGTGGTCGATTATGTCCACGTTTTTGAAATGTCATTCGTTCTTAAGTGGTTGTTTCTAATCAGCACACCACTCATCGTAATTACTTATTATCTTAGTAATACGTGATACGTTTACAACAATTGGAACACGTTATATTTTGTAAAATATTGAAATTATAATCATAATTTTTAGCTGAGATTATTATTTTTACAGAAAAACCAGATATAATAGAAGTAAAATAGCATGTTAATTTAACTAACAAATTTTCAATGTACCTATTTAACTAATTTCAAAACATTATTCGAATTCTTTAATAATCCTACTCTATTTTTTACATCAATTAATTCTTCTTATTTTCTAGCTAAACAAATTTTTTCCATCTATCTCTGTTCAGAGCTGTTTCAAAAATATTGTCTATCTCAAGTTGGCTTAATTCTTTTTTATTCTTGTCCATCCATTTCTGTTTTAATTTTCCAACCGGCCTCCTTCCCTGAGGAGTCTACCTTAATACATCATTTGCTATTGACTTAGTCCTTAACACATGTCCAAGCCAACTCAGTCTTTTGTGGCGTATTTCTAATAATATGTTTGGTTTTCCGAATAGTTCCTGCAATTCGCTGTTAGACCTAATTTCGTATGTCTGGTCTTCGTTTCTTTTTGATCCGTAGATTCTCCTAAGGAATTTCCTCTCCATGATAGCTAGTCTATTCTCATTTCCTTGGGTCGTGGACCATATCTCACATTATCACTGGTCATTATCACAGGGACGCTGGAACGGGGGGCGTAATAGGGGCAAGTGCCCCTCCAGATTTTTTTGTGAAGGGGCAAAGAGTATGTTTCGCCCCTTCAAATATAGGTACGAACTCAGTTGATACTTCATGTGGAACAGCTTGGAGAAGAATTTGAACTGGGTATACATATATATAATATTTTTGGTAATAATAATAATCTATTATGACTAAAATTATAGATTAAATTAATTAAATTTACCATGGGATTAACAGTTAATCCCATGGTATATTTAACACAGTATTTCTGTCTATAAGTAAAAAATTGATTTGAAGATAAGACTACAGTTCCATACAGAATTTATCTTCACTCGTTCGAGCTATTTATAATAAAGAAAAACAAACGTGTTATCAACATTAATATTTATATTTTGTTGATAACATGTTTGTTGTTTATTTTCGACAAAAGTATTGTTTCTATAGTATTGATACTGTCGTGTGCAGTACGTACAGCTTATACCTAGTCAGTAGTCATTATTGCATATTATTATGTCATTATGATACGTGGTTCTTAGTTGCATGGCTTTTTGAGTGATTTTAAATTACTGATTTATTTACCACTATCTTTTTATAAGGTTGTTGAGTATTTTAAAATAACTTAAATTGTTTTTTTATCCTACCAGGAAAACTATAATTGTTGTATTGAAAAAAAAAATTTAAATTAGTATAGTAATAGTAGTTGATTAGAGGCTACCTTCAGTTTGCCCCCACAAAATATATTATGTTCCGGAGTCCCTGCTGGCTAGTACTATGTAAAGTCGTTCTTTTAATTTTTTTGACGGTAGTTTTGACCCCAATAACCCCTGAGGGCGTACAAACATTTGTTCCCTGATGTAATGCGTTTTTTTATTTCTTCGTGGTTGTCATTTGTGCTACTTAAGTTAGTGCCTAAATATTTCAAATCATTTACCTCTTCAAACATATATCTTCCGACCTGTAGTACAGCAGTATTTTGCACCTGACCATTTTTCCTACCGATTCGCATATATTTTATTTTAGTCTCGTTAATGTTGAGTACCCGTTTTTTCGCACCTTGTATCAGCAATTCTGTTACTTTTTGAATGTCCTGCTCACTTTCGCCTAATATTACAACGTCGTCGGTATATGCTAATAGTCACGGGCGTCACTAAAGTCCACTTTTTGGGGTAGCAAAGTTTATTTTTAGAAAGTTACAAAATACATTTTTAAAGGTTTAATATGATAACTGGCTTACTGGCTTAACTGGCTAACTCTTCTTCTTAAATATTTATAGTTGGATTTGATATGATTTTTTAAATTTATTTTCGGTCAAGTTTCAAAGAAAAACTCATGTTTTTTCAATTATTGTTTCTAGTACTAAAACGAATGAAATAACAAATTATAATAATCAACATCCATAAAAATTATCATCCACAATTGTCATATCTTGTTTAAAATCTGAATGAAAACCACTACCGAATTTTCTTTTAATTTGTTTATTTTTATGTAATTTGTATTTTTACACAAAGTTCAAAATACAGTTTTATCTAGTACTTTTAAATTGATTAAGTCAAAAATATAGATATACTTTGTAATTTCTTTCTAACAAAGTCCAAAATACTATTATACTTTATATTGAATCAAATTCAAAAGATGAATGAATTTTGTGTTTTGATGCTACTTTATTACAAATGTACTGAGGACTACCGAACATTGATACCTACGGGCTATGAAATTAAAAGACACTAACGTCGTTAAATAAAATTGTACAAATACAGATACACTAATTTAAAAATAATTTGAAAGTTTATGAAGATAAAAAAAAAATTAATTTTTTGTTCTAAAATACGTAAGTGAATTTTCTGTGCAAACAAATACTTTTTTTTTTTTTTATTGCAGACGGTAAAATAATACTTCATAAAATACTTTATAAAATAATAAAATATAACATAAAATCAGTTCTTTACACATGATTTATTAAAAAAAAATCAGAATTCGATCATCTTTAACTTAACATCATATAAATATCGCAATATATGAATCATAGTGACAGTGAGACATATTATAAGTACCTAAGACTCCAATTCTTGTTAAATATTCCGCTTTTATACAGTATTATATTGTATAATTGTAAAACTTATACAGTTATAGCTTTAATTATAACTTAGTCATTGGGTGTAAAATATTTATCACATCTCTTAAAGTTTTTTTATTAAAAATTAGTTGATTGAAACTTGTATTTTTAACACTCACAGTTTAATAATTAATATTTTTTTATTTAAAAACTTTCCAAATCAATTATAAAGCCCAAACAATACAATTTTTTATGGTTAATTCAATTATGTATTATTGAATTGTGTAGATGTTTTGGTCCTAATAATAACAGATTAAAATATATAAGGATCAACTTATGTTATTTGATATTAGCCTGTCTAATATATAAAAACAACGAGACTTTGAGAGTAAAAATTATTGCAATGTTTCACTGTCATCAACAAGTTTTGGGATGCAGTGTGTCCTTTAACTCTCTTCCAGCATCTTTAATGTAACTATGGTAGCCCTGAATTTCAGATGAAAATCAATAAGGGTATGTATAACACTATTAATTTTCCTGCTTACCCACAGATAAAGTTTAACATTTTGTACTAAAATAAATTAGTATTTTAATAAAATAAAATGTCAAAAGCCACATCTTTAGACATTGACGGAATGAGTAAGTCTTAAAAATTATAACATTATATAAAATTAAAATCTTAATCCATATGTTATTGTTTACATTTAAATTTAAAAAAATCACAAAAAAAAATGGTTATTAAAGTCTTATTATTAGATAATTACGGAGGTATGTAGGTAATTAATCTAAATAAATCCAATAATTAAATCTGAGATATTGAATTCAATTATTCGTCGTATTAAATTAATTTAGTGCATTTTCTAATGTAAAACAGCAGGTAACAATAAATACTTTTTAAATTAAATATTAAGGATTTTTGTCATTTTTTTTAAATGTTATATCTATACTGTGGATATTGGGTATTTTTAATTTTTATTATTATTACAAGAAAATGAATTTAAATTAATTAACCAAGTTCTTTATTATGATGTTGACAGGTGCTGAAGAGAAAATAGAACAAATTAAAATTATGCGAGAATTAATTCGTCTCAAAGAGAAGGCTGGAAATGGTTGTAGATCTGCTTTCCAAAAGAACGGGAAGAAAAAAAACTTAATCAGTGACACTGTGATGTCCGTTGTATTTGTTACTAGCTTCGTCTTGATTGTGGCAATGGCGGTATACTCATTTCGCACTTTATACCTGGCAATACAAAAAAGATTCCCTTCTTCCCATACAGAATTGTAATAAGTAATGCACACTCAATCATTATTAATACTATTTTTATTTTGTACATTAGATTTGTTTAATAATAATATTTAATCTTAGGATATGTATATGTGTATTCTTTAGATACATAAGTAACATTTATTCATAATTATCTCCATATGACGTGATTATTGTTCTATACATATTTCTTTTTTGTAGTTCTTTTGAATATAATTTGTATAACAAGTGTCTTAATATAACATATGAATACATACTTTGGTAGTACTTTTTACATCAAAAAATTACATTTTTGTTAGTTTTGAACAATTCAATTATATATTCACTTATTTATTTCCGGATTCTATAAGTTTTTTCAAAATGGTCATATTTTCTGACGCCACGGCCTGCCGATAAGTAGTTATGATTTCGGTTTTGTTATTGTTCACTAATATAAAATGTTAATATTATTATTTTAAAAGAAAGTTGTAGATAACATATAACAGTAAAGTACTAAATTAAAACTGGTTTGTGATTTATTATTTTTAACTGATATATTTTATTTTAGAACATAAATAAATAAAATTTGTTGGTTTAAGGTACGGTCTGTGAGTAAATATAAATAATAAGTAATCATTACATTTTTTGCTTTAATCATAATTTAAATTAGTAGATTTATATTGTATAATTTTCTCTACAAAAATTAAATAAACCACAAATCTTACAACTGTTGAGTAAGTTATGCTTCTAAGTTGTAAGTTTTGAATCGTAATCATTTTAGGTTTAGATTCATATTAGTATGACTTATTTGCAGTTATGATCTTACCTCTAATTCGAGACGCATTTTGAATAATTGTATTAATTTTCTTTAAAGTTGCTAATAATTGCTCATGGTTTTCACATGTGACTTGATGATTTTGAATCATTTGTTTATCAATAAGGTAAATCTCATTCAAGCATTTTTCCATATTAAATCTGAATAAAAAAAAAAAAAAACTTAAACTAAGGTTTTATACAATAAATAAATCAGTCTTTTTTTACACATCATTTAAAAGTCGAAAGTCTTCTGCTTGTACAATAAGATTTTTTAACAAAGTTGAACTATCGGCTATTGACGTATTTAATTTAATCGAGTTTTGCTGAAGTGTCTTCACGGTTTGCATATTTCTCCATAAATCATCGAGGACTTTGGGAAATTCTGCTAAAGACTATTTAGAAATAATTGGTAATTAATATAAAATTTAAATAATTTAATAACATTAATAACCTTCCCCGTAACATACATCAATCTGATCAAGGTTTAGATATGATGCTAGCGACTGTATAATATCGGCTGTAAGGTTTATATTCTCAGAGAATATACTCATCATTTCTTTTTCAAATGTGATGCAGGTAAGTGAAGAATCTCTCAAAGACTTGATTGCTATCTTCCAAAAGTGTTGACCATCACTTTTTACAGGAGTTGTTTGTGGCACAATAAAATTTTGACTTAACCATAAATCCAACTTAAAAAGTAATATTATTATAAAAAATTATTGATTGTATGAAATCATAATATCTTACCCTTTGCACTCTTTCAACTAAGCGAAATTTGACATAACTTTGTAAGACATCCTCATTTTCTGGATAATTAACCAATAAATACATTGAAAATTTTGGGAGTTGTCGAGTAAGTTCAAATACATGAAATTGATCAATATCCACACTTGATCCTACAAAAGCCTGATCAAAATTATATTTTATCCATTTGGATATTGATAATTTAGGATAAATTAATAATTAATTGATTTAATTATTAAATTGTTTCTTTAGTTCAATAATATAACTTAATAATAATAATATTGCATAGGTATTATAGAATCGATTTATATAATTAATTCATAGATTTAAGTATAAATGCAAAACTGTTAATTCAAAAACATTCATAAATAGTACTAATCAAAAAATAATTATAATGTATGATTTTCCTCTAAATTATGCTTTTACTATTTATCTACATTTCTATCGAGAATGTGATTTTACCGATTTAGGTACTAGATTATTCCATCATTAAAAAAGAAATGTTTTGAAACATAAATAATTATTATAATCCCATTAAAATATCAAAAGAATTTGTTGTACAAACTTACTCGAATGTGAATATCTAATAATATATCTTTTGGGGGTATCAAAGAAATATTCAATTCAGACGAAACATTATCTCTTTTCGGATGTATAACCTGAGTTTCATCTTCGAAAATGCCTTCAGCAAATATTGTCACTGCTTTTAAAATCATTGAATTGTTAGTTGACAATTTTAATAATACACATGGATCCTAAAGATGAAATATTATCGAATCATTGTGACGACTTTATAAATAAAACTATTAATATAATAGACTTAGTTCTTACAATGGTTTCTTCTGAAACAGACACTTCAGTAATAAGCCGTGTATCTCCCTAAACAATGAAAAAGTTAATATAAAAGTTAATACTATATTTTTACAGGAACGAGTGAGTTATAAATAGGCACTGAATAAAAAAAATTCAATCTTACTGGAATACCATGCCCTTCGTGAGAAGCTTTCGTATAGTTATTTAACTCAGCCATCAATATTTGTCTTTTTTGTAAAAGATCATGAACAACATTAGTTTGAACACCTGATTCCACTTTTAAACTTGTATTATCATATCCTCTGACTAAAAAAAAAACTATCATTAATATCTGTATTATATGAAATAATTATGTATAATATATTACATATCTTATTTTTATTTGAAAATTAAAAATAATCCTACTAGATACCTTCACCGGTAGTTGAAATTACAATCATTTGACACTTTCCTGCCCTTCTATAATCTCCGACAACTATACCAGCTATGCTTGTTGATAATACATCTCTAAAAATTACTTCCCCGGTAATAGAGTTTCGTGCATCTACTTTTCCATTTGACCATCCAGTTATCAGTTCTTCTTTACCATCTCCATCCAAATCATATTTTTCGAGGAAATTCACTGAACTTTTAGACTAAAATTATTCATGTAAAATTAATATGCTATTCCAACAGAATAATTTCAACAGTACATATTATTGACTATGTAATAATTTTTAAACAAAATTATTTTAGTCAATATTTTTTGCATGTATCTAGTTTAAAATACGTATTAATCAAAGTTAACGGCTATGAAACAAAAATTTTAAAAACAATGGGTCATAAAGAGGACATATAACATTCGCAATTATCATGTTATTATTACCTTTACTCTCCATACTCGTCGAAATTTGTCGTACACACCAACAGTGCCATTATCTAATGCGTACGCAAATCTTCCTGGTGAAAAATGAATCAACGAACAAATTGATGAGGTTTCAGATATTTCATTTACAATTATATCATCTTTAAATTCCCTAATTTCATAATCGTCAGAACCAACAAGTATCTGAAATTTAATAAATCAAACTTTAACAATTATTTATTGTATATAAGTATACCGATAACTGTGTGATTAGGAAAATGTATTAACCAAACTACCTTCATTAAAATGTAATTAAAAATATTGTATAGTTATTTACTTTATAAAATTCTCGTATCATTAGCTACCTTGAACTTTCAACTACGTATAAAAACCATCAACCTCAATCATACGTTGAATCTTGTTAGATGTTAGACAATTAACTATTTACATTAATTATAGCTTTCCTCATAGGTTCTCGACATTCACAACCCCGAGTACTCTCCTTGAATTAATAAATTATCACTTTTCCCTAGCCTAGTTACATTAACCATACCTAGACACCTGCATACTTATAATTTCATTTTAGCTTTACAACTGGCATTCATTCTTTTTTTAGGCTTATGAATAATAACGTTATTAAAATATGTAGTTATTAATTTACCTCATTAGATCCATCTAAATCTACATCCATGACAATTATAGATCTGACGTTGTCACCTGTTACCGTCCAAAGGATTTCATTACCTTTATAATCAAACGCTTGAATTGAACAATTACCACCAATAATAATTGCTGGATCTTTCATGGAACTTAATTTACCAATAGAAATTGCTGCAACGCCATCAGGTATCTAATAATGTACAACATGAAACTTACAAAAAATTTAAATTTGTTAACGTTAAAATTTAATGAAGATATTAAATAAAACTCTAAATAAAAAAAAAATTAAATTAAAATTAAAAATTATTAAATAGTTAACACTCGTAAATTAATTCATAAATAAAAAAATAAGTTTATATGTAGAAATAAATAAATAAGTAAATAGATGCTTAGGCTGGAGTGTTATTATATTTGTAAAGTACGACCGGTTTCGAATTAAAAATTCATCATCAATTATATCCAAAGTCAATAATATATTCACTTGCAATTATATTGACTTTACCATACATATACACCTATCGATTATTTTTTTTATTCGAAAGCGGTTATACTTTTATATATAAATTCGAAATAGTTTCGTCTTTGGATACTGAACCTTCTTTAGTCATTACTTGTTATGACTTAAGAACTGTTCAGAATTTTGTATTATTTTTCAGTTTCTTATAAAAGTAATTGATTACAGTTGGAAGTAATAACTTTACGCTTAATATGCTTTGCATTTTAAATATCAGTTTTAATAATATTATAATATTAACAAAATATTTATATTATAACAACTGGAGGTCGAATATTTATGTAAATTATAGTGTACCGAAACGTTCCCAGAAAAGGTCTTGTTCTATTACGTTGAATGATGTTGAATAAAATAATAACTTGTTATTATTAAGAAATATTGATTGTTTTATTTTAATACAAAAGAAATATTAATGTTATTTATTATAATAATAAAATAAAAAAAAACACTGGTAAATTTGAAGAACGAGTTCATAAGCTCGACCCGAGAATCAGAAGTCACGGATTAGCTGGGTAGTGGTTAATATGTCCAACTAGTGTTCACGTTTGTTGTATTGAACTAATTCTAACTTTTCATGAGATCTGTATCGTTTTTTATACTAATGAAATTACATGGTTCGAATAGCAAACATAATAAAAGATGACAACTATTATTTATTGCTAATTTTACCTATTAAATACAATGTTAACATAATATTTTATAATATTTCCTTTCGCCATATAAATATTAAAAAACTATCAAAATTAGTTATATAAAATAATAAAGAAGAAGTGAATATGTAATCTGAATAAATTAGGTGAACCTGATAACTACAACATTCATATATTACTGCACTTCACCGAGAATAATTTTGATTACAAATTTTTACGTCACACACTATATAGATTCATATGGATCATTTTTGTTTTTGTATATTTTTCATATTTGAGTAAAAATGACGATACAATTTACTGTATTTATCTATATACTTGTACAAAAATGAATATTTTATAAATATTAAATAAAATAGTATTTTAATTTGATAAATTAAAAAAAAAAAGAAAGAATAGGATTAGAATTTGCTAAATTAAAACGTAAGTATTGTTTAAAAACTCAGGGTATTCTCAAATTAATACAATTTGTGGAATATTAAACGGAGAAATAAGTAACGAAAATTAAGCTATTGTAGAATTGTTACCTGAAGACATATTCTGTTTTAAATATGCGCTAATAGTGTCTTGTGACGTAAAAATAAGTTTTTTTACGTATAAATATAAACTATGTGACAACCGTAAAAGCTTCAATATTAAAAATCTGAAATTATATTTGTTTATTCTAACTTTGTGTTGGTATTTTTTCCAATATTAATATTTTTTGTTGTTAATTCTGAATTTATATAATTTATTAATAAGTACTTATTCCGTAATTATTAAATATTAGCCAATTTTAATAGTTTATACGATATTATTTACCTATTTGTAATGATTTTTTTAGCAAATTATAAGGAATTTTTTTTATATTTTTGAATTTTCGTGTATACAAACATGTGCATATTCAAAAATATTTTTACATACAAATTTGAGTTTTAATTATAACCAACAATTCATTTCATGTGGGTCGTGAAACAACCAATCTGTCGTTAACGTGATAAAAGTATTTTAGTAATCAAAATCTTAAGTTCTTTGAGTTGAACTTTTGTTTATCTTGAGCTAACTAGTCACGGATAGAGAATGAGATGATTACCGGATTATATATTAGTTTCAAAAATTTGTTCAAAAATTTTCACTTATGTGATTATATCTAACATTATAGGCTATTGATAGTTGGTTATTCCGAATAACAATATTTTATTCAATTTTGTTTTATAATAAATTATATTATATGTATAATAATCTATAATAAATCATAATAATAAATTGATAATATAATAATATAATATAAATTGAAAAAATTGTTGATAAATTTATAAAAAGTATTGAATTTTTGTCTTAAGTGTCCTAAAGCTGTATAATTAAACCATGATCACACTCGAACACTTTTCAAATCGTGCCGTCTAGACATGCAACATGAATAGTAATAGCAAGTAATAATAATAATAATAATAATAATACGTTAACAACTATGCAAACGATGTATACAATACTATTGATAATACAATAATTACATACAATACATAATAAGTGATTATAAGTAAATAATATTTGTCCCATTTGTGAATAATTGTAAGAATAATTGCCGTTGATTCGATAATATTAGAGTCATATAAATAGCATGAAAATATAATAGGAATGCAGTTGTACATGAGTACAGTTGTATATGAGGCGTCCGTCTATGCCGTTCTTCAAGGTCTAATAAAATAGCCGATCAAGTTGGCACAACGATTTTACCGGTGAACCACGATGTGAGGTGGGCATGACGTTATCTTTTACAGTTTTACCCGCATTTCCGTAGTGAGTGTACATTAAGTATTAAACGTGTTGTGACAACACTTTTTCCTCAAGTATGATATTACCGAAGGGCTCTCTGCGCAACACGTGTTCAGTTATCGGTCTGTAAATTTCTTCTTTCAGTCAATTTTGTATTGTTTTAAGTTTAAATTTCAAACATGGCGATTGATCAACGTTCATTAATTGTTAATTTGCATGATGTAAAAGCATTAAAGTTTGGCTCATTTAAATTGAAATCCGGCGAATTATCAAAATATTACCTGGACCTAAGAGTGATCGTATCGTACCCGTACTTGCTTGTCAGTATTAATGTTGAGTTTTTCTTCATTTTTTTAGATTTTAATTTTAATTTTTTATTGTAGAAAGAAATTTGTTCGCTAGTTACCGCAGCCATTCTTGAAGATTCCTCCGATTTTTCTAAAAATCAAGTACGATTATGTGGTGTACCTTATACTGCTTTGCCTATAGCCACTGGCGTGTCTTTAGATACAAATTTACCCATGTTGATCCGCAGAAAAGAACAAAAAAAATATGGTACTAAAAAATTAATTGATGGTGAATATTGTTGTGGTGATAATGTAATTGTTATTGAAGATGTCATCACAAGTGGAGACAGTATCTTAGAAACAGTTGTGGTGAGTATTACTTTTTAAATTTATAGATAATGTTAATTATCACATTAATACATAATTTAAGACATTTAACTTACTTTAGTTTTCAATTTTTTTTTTTTTTTAGGATTTAGAGACTAGCAATTTAAATGTAGAAAATGTAATTGTTCTAGTGGATAGACAACAAGGAGGAGTACAGCGTTTAATTAAACGAGGACTTAAAATCAAAAGTCTTTTTAACATTACCGAAGTAAATATTAATTTATTAGTATACTTATTTAGGCTTTTTTATATTTTAATTATTTCTAACATATTGAAACTTATAATCTTAACTTTTTTGATTTCTGAGTAAAGATTTCCTAATTCATACTAATATTTAATTTTCTCCCTGCAATTATGAGTAAGAATACTATTGAAATCAATTTTGAATTGAAATCTTATTTAATTTTTAATATTAAAAATTCTAATGCTATTTTAAGATTAAATTGAAAATATATTGTTATGATATTATTAATTTCACTATGCAAGCAGTTCTATTTTTATTTAAACAGTAATTTTGTGTAATAGATAAAATATTGAACAAGAATCTAATTATAATCTTAAGTTTTTTAGAATGTAAATTGTAATTTAATACATTAATATTATCTTGTATCAAATATGTGCTTTTAAGTTAATTGACTAAAACAGATTCTTAGTTTGTGTAGTTCTATATTAAAAAGATTTTCTCATTCTTTTTATTTTTTATGCAAGTTTATCAAGTTTATATTTTTAGATAAATAGCTATAACAAAACTTTATGTGCAGAGTATTTCATTATTTAAAAATATAGATATGTTGTTTTTAAGATAAATAATAAATTATATAGAATGTTTTATTCTCATTCTCCAAAAATTGTACAGAATTGTACACGGTAATCCTATGATAGTTTTTTCATAACTATGTTAGTGTTTGTTTACAGTTATTTATATTTTATCAATAAAATGACAAATTAGTGTTGTTAGTGTATCTAAAACAAATATATTATTTAATATTGGGTCAAAAATGTTATTTCTAGAGCTTTTGCTTTTGTAGCATGTTCCTTAGAAAATTTGTCTCAGTTGAGTATCACGGATGCACAATGATTAAGAAAATTATAATTGAAATGAGAGTAAGAAAAAAAGTATTGAATAGAAACATATTTAAAATGAAGTGAGAGATAGTATTTTTATGTAATTATATAGTTTCAAAATGTTTGTATACACGTAAGAGAATAAGATTAATTTAACCTAACTTGAATGTTAATTTTGCTATGAATTTGCATGACTTGACTGGTTTGTGATTGGTAGAAGTTAATATTTTAATTTGATTTGACATTAGTTGTAAAAACTTTCCTTTTATAATAAGCTTTTAATTGATAATGAATGAGATAAATATTATTTTATATTGCATTGTAACATATTTATTTTGTGAATATTATCAAGTGTTAATGTTCCTTTTTATTCATTTTATCTAATTTAGCTTGTATTTGAATATACATTTCTAATTTAAACCTTGAATATTTTAAATTTTAAGTTGATATATATGAAAATCTGTTTTGGTGAATTATACTTATTTTTTACTAAATTTATACTATTTTACTGATTATCATTAGTTGAACAATTTTAAAAATATTGTTCATTCTTGATTAATTTCTTCTATAATTCTGCATAATATACGGAAATTATTTACTGTAAGTTAAAACATTCTTTTGTTGTTTGATTTTGAATTACTGCTCACTAAATTTTGAATTATTATGTTAGTCTACTCAATTTATAAGTGGTAATAAATAAGTAGTAAATATTGAGGAATAATTTTTTAAAATTAATATGTTGCAAACGTTCAATAATTATAATTCATATTCTTTATTTGAAACTACAAACATTATATTTTGGATATTAAAACATTGTTTAGATTGTGACAATACTAAAAGAAGAAGCAAAAATAAGCAAGGAAGAATATCAAGATGTTATTGATTATGTTGAAAATAATCAAGTTGAACGAGTGACAATTTGTAGAAGTAATCATTTTTTAGTGTAAAATATATGACCTTCAATAATCAGACCTTTAATCCCATTTTAAAAACAGTGTTATAATGAATTATTTTAAATTATTTTTTTATTACTTTTATAGAAAATCCATCAAGAACAAAAATGGGATTTAATGAAAGATCAGAATTATTGGAAACCTCCAAAATAACTCAGAAAATCTTTAAATTAACTTTAGAAAAGAAAAGCAACTTATGTGTTGCTGTTGATGTTGATACCGCTGACAAACTTTTAGATATTACTGAAAAAGTAGGACCCTACATTTGCATTTTAAAAACTCATATTGATGCTATTAGTGGTGTCACAGAAGCTACTCTAAATAGTTTAAAACTAATGGCAAAGCAATACAATTTCCTTATAATGGAGGATAGGTAAATAAAGTGTAAAGTAGAATCATAAAATAATACTATTATAAGTTTAATTTTAATAATAAATTTATAAATTAACTTCTTTAATTATAGAAAAATGGCAGATATTGGTAACACAGTAAAACTACAATATAATAAAATAGTGAAATGGGCAGATCTAGTGACGGTACACAGTATTTCTGGTGGAATGATGTTAAAGGGCCTACAAGAAGTAATCAATGAAGATAAAGATTTATTAGGTAATCGAGGTGTATTTATCATTGCAGAATTAAGTTGTGATGGAAATTTAATATCACAACAATATATTAAAGGTAAGTTTGACTAACTTAATATTTATCCATATATTAATATTAATTTTAAATAACAATTATAGAAACTGTTAAGATATCTGAAGAATATAAAGATATTGTTGTTGGTTTGGTATGCCAATCAGATGATGTAATTCCATCACCAAGCTTAATTCAACTTACACCTGGTGTGAATATGAAAAATTCTGAAGATTCACTTGGTCAAAAATATCAAAATCCTAGCGATGTTATTTTAACCAAAGGTGCTGATATTGCTGTCGTTGGTAGAGGCATTGTTCAAGATGACAATCCTGCTGAGGCTGCTAAATTATACAAAGAATGGTTATGGAATACATATATAGAACGTGTTTCAAATTCATAAAATGAAAAATATCAAATATCTGTGTAACTTATACTTTAAGTTATAAATTGATAAATACTTTGAATTTTGTGTAATATCACACATTCCATTTTATTTTAGAACACTTTTAATGTATTTTTTTGTAAATGTATTCAACAAATTTTGTTACCCAATAGTTATACGATAGGTTTTGTGCTTTTCATTGTTCTAAAATATTATTGTTACTAATGTTATTTAAAGTAATAATAATATATTTTATTTTCAGTTAAATATTTTTTTATATTAAACTTTAGCATGAGTTAACTACAACTATTAAAATTTTTATGTAACATATATAAAGCAATAAATATTAAAAGTGTCTACTAATATTTATTTTGTCAGTTGAATTTCGTATAGGGTTAAAGTAATTTAATATTTCAGTATACAAGCTGGCAACATTTTAGTGTATGTATAGTGGTCATCATATTTTATTACCAGTATAAAACTAAATCTCAATTAAAATTGTTAAAATACCAATAAACTTAAATACAAAGTTATGATTATAAATAATTTTAAACAATTTTTTATTCATTACATTTATATTTTTCAAGAAGTTTTTTGTTTTGGTTTTTTTTTTAAATCAAAACTATTTTTATCACCTTTTTGTACTGTAATTAATTTTACTTGTTTGAATTTTAACATATTCCAGAAATATTACAATGTCAATAATTTTAATTTATTGTACATTTTAGTTTAATTTTCTTGCAACTATATAAGATAATGGTCATTACATAATCTTATAATGGATACTATTATTTTATGGAGACTTAATTTTTCATTTTTAATAGTTAGGCATTAAAAAAGCATATTACTTTACATTGGAAACCATAATACATTCTAAAAAATAATCCATTACTAAGAAAATTGAGAAATTAAATTTTATTACAGTAAATTTAAATTAATTTTGTATATTTTTGCATTGTCAGAATACAATTTTCTTACACAGACACCATAATGACTAGTTCTGGACTAACAATTGATACTTGAGTACTGAATATTAAATTTAACCAATTACTTAACTTAAAAATTAAATATAACTAAAATCTAAATACTGCTAAAATAATATAACTCACCTCTTTATAGAATAAATCACTGTTAAGATCTACATTATAAGCCAACACGCTACCAACAGTACCTACAACAAGAATGTCTTTTTCATCATTTGGAATAGCTTTTCCTGCTAATAAGGCTGTAATCTTTTGATTAATATTCAAATAAGAAATGTCCTTCTCTGGCTTGTGTGGACTATGAATTAAAATCTATAATTACACAATTTATAACAATTATTATTACCCTAATTCTCATTATTTTAAAGTATAATAAAATAAATGCAACAACTAATTAGTCTTGAGACATTCTAAATACATAATCTATTACAATAATTATTTAATATACTTAAATATAATTATATTATACATTTCAATTTAATAAAATTAATTGATGTATAATATATAAGTGGCTTGGCTAATTTTTAGGTTCAATAATTTTCTAATAAGCATAATTACAAATGTACCTACTTAATCTATCGTGACAAATGTTAATTACTATTCTAAGTATGATTAAAATTGTGTAATAACAATAATATCTGCAGTAACAACAGTATTAATTGAATAGACATCACTATAGACAGGTTGTAGCTTATAAAATATATTGTATATTATTTTAAATTTTCTACTCTATAGAATATTATAGGCACTAACTTTTGTTTGAAGAGTAAAACAGAAATTGAGTAAAAATAGAGAATTTTCACTTTTAAACCATTACAGTAATTTAAGTTTAGTGGAATTTACATAATTTTGTTTAAAATTTAAGAAATATAACGCTCGTAAGTCGTAAAATTAATATGTATAAGTTCAAGCCATTGCAAAGTATCGTGGCCTTAACCATTAATAAAAATTATAATTTCTCACGTTAAATACCTCTATGTAATTATACAACTACACTCATTCCAAGTGTAATCAAGTTTAGGCACTAATAAAAAGTAATTAGAGACGTCCAGTTAATACGGTCAGTTACGACAGTTAATAAATTATATCATCAGTATCTACGATATGGGAACAGAGAAAATGGGTACTAATCAAAATAGATCTAACATTCTCTGTTTATCGAACAGATGAAATTGGTGAGATTGCAATATTGTTATTTATTCCAAGAAGTTAACAAATATGCAATACGGTATAAATTAAGTAATTGATAAAAACGTATTAAAACTTGTACAGGTACCTATAATTGTTACCCACCTTATTTTCAGACGTTGCTGCTGTTACGCAATAATGCGATCCATCATATTTACCAATTGTAACTAAACGTGGTATTATACTATGTCTCAACTGTAATGAAAATAAAGGAACAGCCATTTCTCATCGAAAGAGTACATACACCACGAAACAATTAAAAATTTAATTTTAATAATTATCATAAATTAAATTAAACTCCTCTCATATAGTATAGCTAGGTGTATACGTGTAACACTAAATTAAATGATAGATAATAGGATATTCAATATATTACCCTTTTTATTTTATTTTCATAGTAATACACAACGCACGTCTACAAGAGTATACCTACTTATAATATATTTCGGTAACCATAGTAACTTTATTAGTAAATATTGTTAGAGTTATCAGTAGCACATAACGGCTTGTATAGTAATACAAATTTCACCAGCTGTCAGTAACGTAGTTAAAACTCAACTAAGGAGGAGAGGGTCAATTTAAAAATATCAGTATAAATATTATATTATTTTATTACCTATAATCTTTAACCGCGTTTAAAACATCATCAATTAAAAATATAAAGATGGTCGTCGTTTCATACATCACCCTTCCCTCAGTTACGCCACTTCCTGCTGTATACTGGATCGGAACTAGGGGAATGAAGATGGGGATTCATCCTCAGACATGAAATTTTAGAGGATATAATTTTTGTAGTTTATAATTTATTATTGAATATTAGTTTGGTATTTCTAAATTTATTACTAATAATGTGGTTAAAACTCAATAAATATGATTGTATACTAATTATTAGAAAAAAATTGTAAAAAGTGTATTTGATTCTTGTTCTATGATAGGGCGTAGTTTTAACATTTTCCCTGGGCTTAAAAATTCCTAGTCCACCTCTGACTCTCACACTCGAATACAAGGGGACTCCATGGGAGCGATTTCCCCCCCTGCTAAATGTCACGAAACAAAACGAAAAAAAAATTATAATATTATACGTCAAGCAATGATAAAAATTATATTTTTTCTATAGCAACTATGTATTAGAGATCAGCACGGGCTGGGCTAGCCCGACCCGGCCCGACCCACACCGGGCTTGGTCCGAACCGGGCCATAATTTTAATATTACAGGTTGGTTATAGGTGGGATCGTAATATTATTCATTGGGCCGGGTCGGTCAAACCAAAACTTATTAATTTAATTTGTAGCATTATATATTCTATATCTATAAATAATTTTATATTTAAATAATTAATAAAATATAATTAATAAAATTTAGCATATTTTTTTTTTTGTAATACATTTATTGTCTTAATAAAATGTTTTTGTCTGCTAAGTCAATACTAGAAGGAAATTACAGTTGATGCATATTTTTATTTACAAACGGGCCTGGTCGGACTAGACTTAAAAAAAATAAAATATGGACCGAGCCTGGACGATGGCAATTTATAAGTTTAAGTTTTGGGCCGGATCGGGTTGATCTACCGGATCTACTATGTATTGACATGTTTTCAAAACCCAAAAGAAAATTAGATTTTGCTCTAAAATTTTTAATTTAATTTCATACTTAATATTTTTTTTATTGTTCTTAAATAAAAAGTTTTCTTTTCAATGTACCTACCTATTTTTTTTAAAACTTTTAGTTGAAAGTTTATTCCTTTACAATGTTAAGAAATATTTATGGTAAATGGTAATACTTATAATATTATAGAATTATTTAATTTCATATATTAATAAATAATAATAATAATAATAATAATAAATAAATTATGTTCACAATATAAAATGACCCTCCCCTAATAATTTCTCTGGATCCGGGCCTGGACTGTCTAGACGGGGAATGGTAAACTCCTACAAAAGATAGTGTTAACTCCTACAAAAATTAATACCGCTCGTGTTGCTGTAAAAAATATCAGGCTTGCAATATATTAACAAATAAAATAAAAATTGATTGAAAAATATAATATAAATGTTAATAAAACAATAGTCAAAATCACATACGTTAAAAACAAAATTTTTTGAAAAAAATAATAAAAATTTCAGTAAAGCAATACTAAGTCATAATCATTTATGTATATTTTTACTTTGGAGATTAACACTAAACGTGAAATTTCTCTTCGAATATATTTATCTTTTTGATTAAGTAAAAATTTATATTTAGAAATAGTTTTTGTCTGTCTGCGTTGTGTTGTATGACTGCTTCTAATATGAATGTATGTTTCGGTCTGTATATCTTTCAAAACTTTCACGAATAAATAGATATTTGGATGATAATGATAAAAACTACTATTAAATCTATTAAATGATTCACATGCATTAGTAGCATCATTAGAAGACCACAATTTTGGAGGAAATAATGAAAACTTCAATATTGAGAATTTAAATACCCAATTTTATAAAGGGAAAAATTTTATGTAGGAGATTACAATATCTTTGATTTTCAGGTAAACATTTTAAAAGATTATTAGTGTAGGAGTTTACATTTGACCGTCTAGACTGCTTTCTAGTTAGCAGAGTAGTATTGATTTTAGAAGTAGGTAGTTAGGTATTTATTGTCAGCAGAACAACAATCAAACATTGAGAAACTAAAAAAAACTTTAAAATATTTGTTCAGCTTTTTCTGAGAATTTGCACGGTCGGAAATTATTATTTATGATTTTGTGTTTGGACCACTTCCAAGTCAATTATTCATCAACGTGCCAATATGATATTATAGTGTCAGACAGTATTTTAATAGTATCACTAATTTATGTTTACCAATGTGTAAATTAATAGAGTTGAATTAGTGTCCCGAGTTTTTTATTTATTTTTATTTTTCTATGTTAAATATTCAATTAAGTTGGTCAGAAATGTATATTAAGTATAGGTGTTGTGGGTAGGCATGTACACAAGGAGTTCAAACCCCTCCCAAAATTCACGAAAATGAATAGGTAAATATGTTTTTTTATAGTAAAATTGGTAATAATATTATATAATTATGAAAATGCACAGTTTAAAACCCTTCCCAAAATATTGTTTTGTGTACGTGCCTGGGTTATAAACATCCCGTCAGTGACCAGTGACGCCGAACTCTAAAAAAAAGTAAAATTGTCAAATATATTTTTCAAAAGATACTGTACAACAAAAATATTCCAACCAAACCCGTGGGGGATATAAATTAACATTTCTAGCCACTGTAGGTCCCTAGATGATCATAATGACCATTAGAGAGAAGGTCCAAGATCACCCAACCCATTTAAACTATTGTTTTAACATTGCTTATTAGGGAGATAGGGTGCCACTGTTTGTGACACTTATAGACTTGAGTTAAAGAGTTTTAAAGAGAAAATTAAATGTTTAGATCAACAGATCACAATACCATTTTTTTTTTTTTTTGAGTCCTCAAGGATTAAAATTATTTTTAAGGTTTTTGTTTCATTAGTTTATGATTTCCGAGTCCCGGAAACTGGAATTCTGTTACTTTCAATGTTTTCTTGATTGTTGGACATAATTAATAAAATGTAATATACATGCAATTTATTCATATGGGAAATGTTAGAAGGAAACCTATTTTTACAAATTACAATCTGGGATTCAAATAGACATTGAATTATGTTTGGATTGTTTACTCCGATTAGCGTTTTTTCAATATTTTATGTACAAACAGATTACATTATTTATGTTTTAGTTAAGTCTTAACCGTCAAAACTATAGGATAACTGAAAATAAGTTAAATGATCATGTTGAGTAAATTATGTTACATTTAGGTAACATAGGTCCGCGGTAAAAAGTTTTTGAAATATTTATGGGCGTAAAAAGTATTGCGAGACGATATACATAATGTTTTGTCGAAACTGTATTGTAGTATAAGGTTTAATAAATGTAAGATATTTTTCTAGTCTGCGTGATATTTTATATTTTTTGTATAGGTTATTAAAATTGTACTTTGATATCGATTATAAAATATGACACGTGGTGCCACAGATATATATCTGTGCGTGGTGCAGGCAATAATCGATTATAAAATTGAAATAACTAAATAACTCTTAACTTTGATTTCCAAAAACGACAGAAATAACTTAGTAGTAGATATTCTGTAATTCTGTATTTTTGTAATAATTTTAAATTAAGGAACGATATGAAAGAATGGAGGTCCACAAATTTACAAAATGTGCATTTTAATAATAATTATAATATGATAACGTCTTTAAGTTATATCAAATTTTCGAGTTATCAGATAATATCGCTAAGAATTAATAGGTCCTTTTAGAGTCCGGATAACATTTTTATAAATTTCGTTTCGATTAAAGAATGCATAACTATTTTACATTTCAATATCTACTACTTAGTGAATAAGTAATTTATGATCTCATTAATTCGTTGTAACAATATTTTAATCATAATTAATTAGTACAGTGTTGGAAAATAATTATTTACAACAATGATTCATAGTTTATTTATTATAAACTCGGCTTGGTAAGTACATTTAATAATTACAGTTACGAGCTACCTATACATTAATCTCATTTACTTTGTAATGGTTCTGTATACAGTGATGTGTTCATTGAAAAACATTGGAAAAGTATTATTTCACGATCAGTATGTGATTATTTTTTTGATCAACATAGGAAAGCTATCAATCCAGAAGACATTCCTCCAGTTATAGCTACACCACATCATTATCTGATCAGTATCTACCGATGTGGTCTTTATTTTGTTGCTGTTTGCATGACTGAAGGTTTGTTAATCTCAAAAGCAATAATAATTTCATTTGTAATAAAATTAAATAATATTTTTTGCTGTAGTACCACCATTATTTGTCATTGAATTTCTTCACAGAGTAGTTGATACATTTGAGGATTACTTTTCAGAATGTTCTGAAAATGTTGTAAAAGACAATTATGTAGTTGTATATGAAGTAAGTTACCTTTGTCATGTTGTTAAATTTTTACTTAATTGCTATTGATTTTTGATTATTATTAGCTTTTGGATGAAATGTTAGATAATGGTTTCCCATTAGCTACGGAATCAAACATTCTAAAAGAGCTTATTAAACCTCCAAATATTCTGCGGACAATTGCTAATTCTGTCACAGGAAAATCAAAGTAATAATTTATGCTGTAATTAATCCAAAAATTAAGTAAATAAATTTATTTATGTTTTTCAGTGTTAGTGCTATATTACCAAGTGGTCAGTTATCCAATGTTCCATGGAGAAGATCAGGTGTAAAGTATACAAATAATGAAGCTTACTTTGATGTAATAGAAGAAGTAGACGCTATTATTGATAAAGGTGGAGCTACAGTATTTGCTGAAATTCAAGGATATGTAAGATATTTTAAATTTTAAATAATTTTGTACCAACGATGGTTAAAATATTATTTGTATAGAAAAACTAAAATAGTTATATCAAAAATATTAAAGTATTTTACTATACGATAATAATTTATTTTAAAAGTTGATAAATTAAAATTTTAAAATTTTAATAGAGTAAGTATGATATTATTATTCCATAAATAATATCTTATGAAGTATAGTTTAATTATATAAATGTATAAGTATAAAATTTACCTTTTTAAAGTACTTAGAGAAAATATTTTAATGATACTAACAATCATTTTCATGAAAATATTGAAATACTAGAAAATAGGGGAATGGAACAATTCAGTGATGCCGTTTCAGTGATAAATCATTTAGCCAATTTATCGATCTGTTGATTCGGTGAATGGTCGTGTATAAAATTGTATCAAAATAAACCTTGAATCATCAAATGTTATTGATTTTTACAATATGATTATTATATGTTTGAACTTTTAACTTATACGTTTTTTATTTCAAAATGTTGTATAAAATAAATATTAAGACAAATAAAGATAGAGAAATTTTTATACAATAATTTTATTTACTATGTACTTGAACATTTAGGTGATGCTAATGTAAAGATAGATATTCAATTTGTTTACACACAGATATTGATGATCTTGAGATAAAATTTTAAATCATAATAGCATGTCGCTGAAATGGTTTATTGCTAAAATGGCATTGTTGAAATGTTCTAGACAAAAAGTAGAGATTATGATTATAGCTATTTCAATTTGTTAAAGATCTTTGTGAAAAATTCTTATTATGAAAATATTTTTATTTTTAATTTATAATTTAACATAATTGTAATGTATAAATAATAAGCAAAAATGTATTAATTTATTAAGTATTTAAAAAATCTACTAACAATAAGTTGTATATATTTTTTCAAGATTGATTGCAGCATTAAACTAACTGGCATGCCAGACCTCTCATTATCATTCATGAATCCTCGACTTTTTGATGATGTGAGCTTCCATCCATGTGTTAGGTTTAAAAGATGGGAGGTAAAGATGATAGAAATTATTATAAATTATGATATTCATACCATAATTTATAGAGTAATGTAATAATAATTTTTATGTAATAATATTTTTGTTTTCTTATTAGTCAGAAAGAATTTTATCATTCATTCCTCCAGATGGTAATTTCCGTTTAATGTCATACCATATTGGGTCACAAGGAATAGTGGCCATTCCAATTTATATACGACACACACTTGCATTAAAAGAAACTACTACTGGTAGTGGTCGTCTTGATATTACTGTTGGACCAAAACAAACATTAGGAAGAACAGTAAATACTTTAATTATAGTTAAAATATTAATTGTATTTATGTTCAATAAATATTTTTAGATTGAAAATGTAGTAATAGAGGTACCTATGCCAAAAAGTGTATTAAATTGTACACTTATTCCCAATCAGGGTAAACATTCATTTGATCCAGTTTCTAAAGTATTGACATGGGAAGTTGGACGAATTGAAACTACTAAGCTTCCAAATATAAGAGGAACTGTAAGAATATTTGCCTAAATCATTGTTATTACTAATAAATATTTAATTTTTTTTTTCTTCAGATAAGTCTACCAGTCAGTCCAGTTGTTACGGATTCAAATCCAGTTATTAATGTATGTATTATTGAACTTAATAAAAATTTAACAATAGTTTTTACATGTTTTTTTTTTAATTTTTTTAGGTAAAATTTACCATAAATCAATTAGCATTATCTGGATTAAAAGTTAATCGCCTTGATATGTATGGAGAAAAATACAAGCCGTTTAAAGGCGTTAAATACATTACAAAAGCAGGAAAATTTCAAGTTAGGATGTAATTTGTACACCAATGAAATATATTTTTTTATGCAAATATTTGTATATTTGTGTTTTTAAAAATTAAGTATATAAAAACATATTATACTGTTATTATGGCTTTCCATTATGTATTTAATGTGTTAATAATAATTTTAAAAATTGTTCAAGCAAATACCATATAACCTTGATTGTTTATGTTTTAAAATTGTTTTTTAATTCTAATTTTAATTAAATACTTTGAATCTTATGTCAATTATAAACATTGATTATTTAATTATTCATTAATAGTTAATAGTGAAATTATGTCATATAAATAAATAATTAAAAAATATTCTATGTAACATACAATTTTTATTTTATTTTGTTTAATAAATTATTTATTAAAATATATAGTTGTTACTTTTGGATTCTCTAAATTGTATTGTTTTTGTTTTTTACATTGATTTTTATGTTATGGTTTAAAAATTAACTTGATTATCTTAATGATATTCATTATTAACATAACATTTACTTGTTTAAATAGGTACTGAAAATGTTTTCATCCTATTAATGTATTAAGTAAATGCAAGTTTTATAACTTGCATATATTTAAGGGAAGCTTTAATATGTGAAGTTAAATGAGGAAACAAGCTCTATCAGCATTTTAATAAAATAAAATATTTAAAAAAAAATAAGTACCTCACAAATATCTATAGGAATTATGATAATAGCAATATATCATTTAGCAATAACAATAAATACGAAATTTATTAAAAATTTAAAAATAGATTTGGATGTTGACGTAAATGCTTATAAACTTAATGGAATTCTACATAAGTATTATGTTTTCTAATATCATTATTAACTGAACTACACTAATCAGTTTGGTAAATTATAAAACATCTTAATATATTTAAACACAAAAAAAAATTAATTATTTAATCTATATTTAAATACCCAAAACCTTGCTGATTTCATGCAATTGACGTTTTTAAATCATTATGACAACCATAGACGTAATAGGGGTGGCTGGGAGGCTTAGCCCCAGAGCCGCGTTTAATGGGGGGCAAGAAGGGGCAATTGCCCAGGGTGGCAAATTTTTGAGGATTAACATCAAATAAAAAATATATAATTATAATTTTCTTAAGGGTGGCATATTTTAAAATGCTTCAAGGAAGCTACATAGCTTAAGACGGTACTGTTTAGCCCCCAAAAATTAATGATTTCACTAGGGGTTTTGACAAAATAGCATCCAATATAGACCTGAGCCCCCTAAAATTGCAAACACTATTTGCACTTATATTGATTATCGAATTCACAAATTCATCATTTGTTGGCAATCCCTCAACGTATTTATTAGAGCAGTATAATGCATAAATCTGAAGTTGTTTAGTTAATAGGTCTTTGGTATAACGAGTATCATCTTAGATTTTTATTTTGGTTCGAAAAATTGGAAAATGTGGTAGATATTGAGGCGATAAAATACCGAGATTTGGTGATTTTTTTTCAAAAGTATTTAAATTTAATGTCATCAAAAAGCGAGGAATTTTACCATGACTTCGTACAAAGAAATTGAAAATATGGTTATAATCTCTTTGTAACATGCCATAAATGTTATCATTTAACTTATCTAATTAAAATTATTATTTGAAATAGTTATGTGTCTTCGTGGATTCCTTAATCCGATTATATTACGAATAGTGGTTATACACTAAACAAATAGGTATTCTATGAAAAAGAAAAATAAGTTATTGTGATGGACAAGCCACCGATTGATAAGACAAGAGAAGAGGTTGAGGCCGAACGAAAAGCTAAGCGAGCAGCTAAACAAGAACGAAAGAAAGCTGCACTTGAAAAACAAAAATCTGATGGTTTCGATCAAGAAAATCAACATAAAAACAAAAATTCATCTTCTGAACAATCTAAATATACTAATGCTAATGAACCTGCTAAAATACCAAAACCGAAAACAGTGAGTACATTATAAGAAAATGTAAGTTTCTATTGATCTGAATAACCTATATATTTAAACTGTTTTATTAAATAATGATACAGCAACAACTTAGTATTATATATTTGTAACATTATGAACTTTTTTTTGTATTGGTTTCAATATTGTTGAAACCTAAATAACAGAATTATATCTGCACATCATGATACATAGTGTTGTTTAGAAGTGTTTTATTTGTTTGAGCTGAAGTTTAAGCTTATTGTTAAAATTGATTAAAATTATCCTCTTATACTAGAAAAAAAATTATAATTTTTATATAAAAATATATATATCAACAATATAAAATTAATTTTATCACATTATTAATATGTACTTGTTTCATTATAATTTAAAGTAATTTAAATAATATCAATCTTTTATAGTTTTATTATTAATAATTTTTATATAACAATGTGATATCTATAAAGTATATACCCTAAAATTTAAATACAGCTAATTTGAATGATTGTGTTCTCATAATTATAATTTAATTTATTTTATGTAAATTCTTTTTATTTTATTTTTTAGTAGAGAAATTTTCCACTCTGTTGGTGTCATGGTTGCGCGATTATTTTACTATTGTACAATGAATTATTACCTTTGAAAATTAATTTTTATCAATTAATCTTTATATATCTTAGAATCTTCCTAAGGCAGTACCCAAGAAACAACTTACTCAAAAAACAGAAGCTTCTAAAAAAACAATTAACATTAAAAATAAGGAAAATAATATTGATAAAAAAGTACTTAAACAAGTTTAATTTACTAATCAATTTTATAATTATTTTGTATATTTTCTCTTAAGGTTGAAGAAGTAAAAGATATTAAATCAGTAAATCTAGCAAAAAAACCTTTAGGAACAATGACACATAAAGTTAAACTTTTCAACCATCTTTATACTGATTCAGTGTCTTTGCTGATGGAAAATAAATTAAAGTATATTTTAAACATTGTTTACTTATTAAAAAAATTTTATAATGTTTATTTTTATAGGATAAATTCTGGCAAAGTACATCCTTCTTTTATAAAGCTGGGGGTTCAAATGAGGAATTGTGTGGTAGCCGGTTCAAATGCTAGATGTCTTGCCTTCTTGTACGCACTTAGACAAGTATGTTGAAATTACTATCCTTTAACACTTCATATTTTACTTACATATTTGCTGTAGACAATATCAGATTTTCTTACACCTGAACACAAACAGTTTTCTCGATCATTCGAAGAACACTTGGGTCCAGCCATTGATCATCTTATGGCTTGTCGGCCATTTTCTGTATCCATGAGTAATGCACATAAATATATTATGTGGCATGTAAAGAGATTACCAACTAATATTTCGGATGGACATGTATGGTTATTTTGAGTTTCATTATTACATGATTTTATTATTTTATAAGAATACATTAAAAATGTTGTTATTTCAGGCTAAAGATAAATTAGAAAATATTATAAATAATTATATTTATGTTCAAATTCATATGGCTGGAAAGGCAATTTGTATTGCAGCTCAAAATAAAATTGCTGATGAAGATGTTATACTAACTTATGGATAGTAAGAAAAAACAAGTTTATTTAGTACATTATTTTTCCATTTTCCACAATTTCCACAATTAATAATTTTTTTATTTTTTTGTCTAAATAATTGTATATAAAATTAATTTTTTAAAAATTAAATTAATTTGCTTTTAGTTCTTCTTTAATTGAACGGATATTGACGGAAGCTTACTCTAATAACAAAAAGTTCAGTGTAATTGTGGTTGACTCTGCACCATGGTATGAAGGTCGTCAATTGTTACATCGTCTTGTACATAACAATATTAAATGCACTTATGTACTACTTTCGGCGACTAGTTTTATTATGACTAGAGCAACAAAGGTACTGTTAGGTGCACATGCACTACTAGCTAATGGCTACGTCATGGGCCGAGCGGGTAGTTCTCAAATAGCTTTGATTGCCAAGTATTTCAATGTGCCTGTATTAGTTTGTTGTGAAACATATAAGTTTACGGAACGTGTACAAACAGATTCAATTGTTTTTAATGAACTTGGTATGTTCTCTTTCTATACAGAAATCATTAAGTATGAATTACCATGTTAAAGTTTGATTGTTTTTTAATTAAATTTAGGTAATGAAAATGATGTTATGCCCAAAGAACAATGGTTAAACAATCGATATTTAATTCCGTTATGTCTAAGATACGATGTGACTACTTCAGATCTAGTAACAGCTGTAGTCACAGAAATCGCTATATTACCATGTACTAGTGTTCCAGTTGTTTTGAGGGTACGACCAAATGATTATGGAATACTTAACAAATGAAAAGTCTGACTAACATGAACAGCAAAAAATAAATAAGAATATGTATATATTTTTTCAACTTATATTGATTTTTAATAAGATTACAAATATAATTTGTTTTTGTTGTACAATATTCAGAGTATAAATGTTATTGACCTTTTTGACAATCAGTTGACCCCAAATACTATTTTAATGCAATGTAATAAGCTAAATATTCTGTTTTGAAATAACAGTAAATTTCGGGTAACAATTTTTGGTTTGGAACAATCTAATAGTAATAATAATAATTCAATGAATACGAGTCATATAATATATATAATTAAAAAAAAGGTAATTTTTACAAAAGTAAGAAATATTAGAATCGATTCTTAAACTAAATTGTATAATACAAGTTATTAAAAATTTGTTCATAATGTAGGTATATTATTTCTTTGTTGTCTTATTTACTACATTCTGGCATTGGTGATATTGAAAAAAAAAATAATAAATACACCAATGTACCAAAAATATGCTAGATTTATTTAATTTCACAAATTATAGTATACAAAATTTAAAACTAGATTTTTAATAAAATCTGTTTTATACAATCCTCAAAATGAAATAAAAATTAACTCCCAGGAACTAAAAACTGGTACTATTTTAATTTTACATGGAAAATATATTACTTTATACAGGGCAAATTCGTGTTTCTTATGAAAACATTAAAAATCCAAAAAAAAAAAAAAGGACTAATAATAAATTGATATGAAAAACAACGAAAATATATTCTTAATTTAATGCTGATTTTTTTTTTTTACATTATTATACACATACACCAGACAATCTATTTTACTATAATATTAACTTAATGAAATAATATAACCAACTGCGATCTTTGATTAATAAACATATGTCATCACCCTAATCATGCACTCAGATTACAAAAAAAAAAAAAAAAAAAACATTCACAAAATATAGGGTTACGGTGTAACAATAATTTATAGTAAATATATAAATATTTTCAATTGCCTCACTTGATTTCTCTGGTTGTTGTTCCACAAATAATATTATTTATGAATAATTTAAACAACAGTTCTAGTCTGTAACTCTATGTCTATATTTATATTTGTATAAATATACTTTATACATACATAAAACACACAAGCCTAATTTTTATTTAATATACATGTAGACATAAATTTAATTGTAAATATTGCATCAAATTTACAAAGCACTTTTGAAATATCGTACATAGTTTTCCAAGCACATTCACTTTTTTTTTTAAGATTATGTAAATTTAATACTAATCATTTATAATTCCTATATTCTCGACGTTTTATTGCCAATTATTTTCAATTAGAATTCTACAAATATTAAAAAAAAATATGATTTCAATAATAATTATTTATTATACTCTTAAAAAGATTTTATCAGGAACCTAGTAAACATTATGCTTAAAATAATATTATAAATTAATTTCTTCTTTTTAATTTATGTTTTTGGTAATAATATTTGTTTTGTGTTTATCTTTCTAATAATACTTCAATAATATATAATAGTAATTGTGAAATTTCTAAGAAAATTAAATTTGCTTTTAATATATAAAAATATATCTAACCTGTATTTAATTTGATCGTAGTAAATCTAATTATTGATCTAGGCCACTAAAATTATGTGACACAAATATTCTTCTATAATAAATTAAATGAATACAAAAATATGTAAAAGAAAAAGAAAAGAAACTCAATTACTAAATTATAACAATTAAGTATAAATTAGTTATGTAATTGCAAATTTTGAATTTTATCTTAGAATGTATTATTATGGCATAATTTTGTACATAGAATGCCTCTTGGGTAGCAACGGCAAGAATAATTAGGAATATAATATAATTTTCAAAATAAACAAAAAAAGAAGCGAGATTTCATCACAAAAAACTTTGGGATTATAAAAAAAAAGTTATCATAATAAAAATATATAAGCAAATATAAATTGACAGTATTTATTCTTCTAAATGAATGCCTAAAATTATGTTAAGACTAGGCAAAACATATAAGAATGACTCATCAAATTTAATCAAAAAAATACATATTTTAAATTAAGTTATTAATTTAAAAGTAATATTCTTTTGTTTTTATTGCACTATGGGCAAATATTTTTATCAAATAATATTTGAAATTACAAAGTCCACATATACAAAGATTTATCTTTACATATCATTTTAATGTAAAATTATATAATCTGTATATACATATAATTTAATAAAAAAAATATTTTGTGTTATTAAACAAGTATGAAGAATCAATTACCACAAAAGTGATGACATTATTAATGTTTGAAGATGTTTAATAACTTAATTGTAAATCTAATACTTAATACCTAATAAAACAAGACTAATATTAACACTTTCTAATATTTTTTAAAAGTACCTACTAATTAAATATAGAAGAAATAGGTTTATGCCCGTGTGTTCTGCGGTGGACCCAACATCATGGGAGTCAGGTGAGTTAATGGTGGTGGACCATCTGTATTATGCGGTGGAGGCCCCAAAAAACGAGGTCCATTCTTGGTAGTTGGTAATATACTGATTTCACGAGGATCAAATCTAGAAACGTTTTGAACTATCATAAAATGTTTATTAGTGTACTAAAATAATATAGGCTTTTTACTCAATTCACTTTTTAAATATTTAAAATAAAAATATTTTATTGGAAGTACAAAATAAATGTTTAATTTAATATTATTAAACACAGATGTATGTGTTAATGGGTACTTTTTATGTGAATTATATTTACTATTTATTAATATTTATATTTACTCATTTTTAAGTATATCTTCACATTAACATCAATTACTATTCATCATGGTAATAATTTTTGTTTTAAAGGAATCATTTTATTATTAATTTAATTTAGTTGATACATTTTATTTATAATACAATATTATTAATTATCATTTATAATTGTCAGTATATTATATAGTATAAATTATTTATTATAACTAATTTTAACACTAACAAACTGATAAACTGTTAAAAATGATATTATTTTATTTTCAAGCATTATAAATTAGTAAATTATTAAATACACAACGAAAATAAATAAAATTCTTGTAAATTTAACATTTTAAATTTCTGATGTTAAATTTACATATATATTTAGTTTATTTTAAATTTCTGATAAACTATAGCTGGAAAAAATAAAATAAAAAACAATCAAAGAATTAGCTACTAATCAATCTTACACAAAATGCAACAATTGTAACAATTTATCTTTAATTTTAAAATTTACTTCAAATAATCTACATTATTATATGTGTCTTTCAGAAATTATTTACTTGATTATGATGGATTTATATAAAAAAAAAAAATTCTGTATTATTTTTAATTAAGTGTGTTATTATAGTTGTTTAAAATTAATTTTAAAATTTACTTAAAACAACAGCATTAATCTCTCTTTTTTTTTTAAATTAAATAATTTTCTTTTATAAGTAAATTAGAAGCCTTAATATATTTGCCTGAAATTCCATGGTAATCATAAATTAATACCTTATGCTAGAATAGTTAGTTTCTGATTGCATGTAGGAACTATGTACTGGCTCATGGTCAGTAGCTGCTGCAGCTGCAGCGACATTGAATCGGTGGACTTTATTGATGTGTCTGACTAAAAAGCATCCTTTCACAAAAGCTTTACCACAAAATTGACAACAATGTGCAGGCCCCAAGTCATGAGATCTAAGGTGCGTTACGAATTGGATCTTAGAATTAAATGATAACTGACATTGCTCACATACAAATGGTTTTTCAGTCATATGACTCCATCTAATTTCATTAAATAATAATTATAGTCAAAAAATATTAATCACTGTAAAATTATATTAAAATACATACTTATGAGAAATAACATAGCTTTTAACTGCAAATGTTTTCTTACAAATGTCACATGAATAGGGACGCTCGCCTGTATGAACTCTTTTATGAATGTTGAGACTACTCTTTTGAGAGAACTTCTTTAGGCACAAATTACATTGATAAGGTCGCTCACCAGTATGAGTTCTCATATGGACCTAGAAAAATAGTACACATGGTTTGGAAATTTAAAAATGACAAAATAAATTCAGGTTATAGCTTATTACTAAACAATACATTATATATTAATTATTTAAATTACTTTATATGATAAAAGTACTTATACTATATACTTATGGTAATGCTATAGATATTTAAAAACAAATAACAAAACAATACTAAAATGTAGTTAGACATGTTTTATATTATAAATTAATATTTATAATTTTAAATTCATTACATATTATATAAGTAATGCAAAAATTCAGTTGGTTTAGTTAATGATATTTTGTAATATGGTTATATATTCTGATTTTGACATAAAACATACCAAATAAAATAAATAAAATAGAAAAAATATATATATATATATATATATATATATATAATATGTTTAGTACTTTTTTTTACCATTGATTTATTTCCACACCTAAATATTTGTCCAAGGTAATAATAAGTTATTAAATAATTATTTGTTTGATGCTATATATTAAAATCAAAGAAACGCTATAAATTGTATAAGATGTACTTACTTCTAAATATGGTTTACGACAAAAACACGCTTCACACTGTGTGCAACGATAAGGTTTGTTGTTTGAATGTGATTTGAGATGTACATAATAAGATGAAGTAGAAGCTAGAACACGTCCGCATATTCGACAAGCTTGAGGTTTAGATCGTGATACTGATGTAGATGTGGGTACTGGAGTACTAGACCCATGTTGTTCATCACCATTAACAACAATGGATAAAGGTGGACTACCACAACTGCTATTTTGATCACTAATCACATTATCGGCAACTAAGCAGGGTCTTATCTGTAACAGCAATATGACATAGAATTAAATGTTACCCATAACTATAAAAAAAATGCTAAGAGAGTGAAGTGTTTAGAAACCAAGTTGCACACCTCAGAATCAACTTTGATGTTCTGCTTGTGGAGTCCAAGTTGTTGCATGTACTTGACAGCAGCATCATGTTTTCCTAAGTACTGCGGCTGTTGCTGTTGTAATTCGTATTCTGTAGCCGAGAAGTGTTGTTGTGTTTGCTGCATGTCGTAGGGTAGTAAGCCGTCTAACTCACAAACATGATTTAATGTCCTAAAGGGATGAACAGACAACCAAACGAATAATGACGAAAATCATAACAAAAACCAGATATAAGCGGCTAGTAATAATGGAATCCTGATTAAACCGGAAAAACCATTTGACTTCGGCGGCATATTTTTAATCGTAAACAGTGCTCGGACGATAGTCATTATTATCAACCGTCGACAACGAAGACAACTACTGAACATACTCTAGAATAGCACATAAATCCACTCACCTGCAGCTGTGTTATTGTGATCGCATACAGTAGTCTGCTGTTCGATTGGAAGCCCGTTCGGATTAGAAACTAATCAACAAGATACATTCTATAATAATAATATAATATTATACGGTTTCAACAATTTTACAACAATAATAATAATAGTAATAATAATGATATAATGTGTGCAATAACGAAAAAAAAAAAAACACTAATCGCGGTTTACCGTCATAAAAAAATATTTATACTTTGATATATACATGTATACATATCATACATATGTAATGTATATATACATATATATTACACTCGGAACGTTAACGTGATATGAGGTGTACAGGTATAAACATTATCGTAATATATGTTATAAATGAATATATGTATGTAGCGGCGGCGGCGGCGGCGATCTGCAGTGGTGTAGTGAAGTATGTATATGTGTGTACGTATGGATAACTAAAGAAGAAAGGAATGCAGTGGCGGCACGGCGGCGGTCACGGTGGCAAGGCAGGGGGTCGGTGGCGGAGGCGGTGGCGGTGGCGACGGCGGCGGCACCAGTGTAGACTGTGGTACCTATATAGTTTATGATGGTTTCCGAACGGGAAGAGAAAAAAAAAGAAAGAGAAAGAGAGAAAAAGATGCCGATCGACGACGCCTGCTCGCGAGCGCCGTGACCCTCGCCGATAACGTCTCCGAATCGGATCGTTACCGTCGTGTTCCCGCAGAATATAATACTTATTATTACGACCGTTCCATTATTGTTCGCGTATTTATATGGTTAAAATCGGTTCTCAGCAGAACGATGGAAAACGCAAGATTAAACCCAACGATAAATGACCGTTTTTCATAATATTATTAAAGTGCAGTCGGCATGTCGTGTACTCTAAAACCCATTTTATCGTACCGTACGACGGTTTAATCTATAGTATAAATATAATTATTATTAAATTATTCGTATTTGTCGGGATATATTTTTAAATTTTCCAAAATACTCGATCACGAATGACCGAGGACAGGTCATTTTTACGCTCATTTGGGTTACGAATTGAAAATCAGACTTCGATTAATGGCGTCATCTATTACCGTTCATTGTGTTACACTTATTATTTCGAACAATGAAAATATCGGAGTGAAATCGAAAATGATTGTATCCCCGCGCGGAGACGCTTATTGCTTATTCGCATTGTCAATTGCCTTGGAAGAAACGATTACCATGGAATGCAATTGTCGTTTTTAAGGTTATGATGACAATAATAAAGCGGGATTTAAATTGTTTTCATTTGAAAACGATGAACGAATGTATATAATATTGTGCTTTATAATTAATTTATTTCTTTTTAATAATGATTAAACTTATATTTATATAAAGTTCAAATATTAATATAAAGATTCTAAATTCCTAAGATTTAGTAGTGATTTTTTTTTTTTTAATAAGTTTATTTAATACATTTCATGGATTAATATTGGAAAAAATTGTCACTTTAAATACAATATATTCATAAATTATTGATGTCATATGATAGTTATAATTTGAGGAAGTTTTACCATGTGATATTTTCTTTTAATAGTTTATTAATTTTAATTGTTTTTATATATTACATATTTTTTCATGTGAATTTAGTATTTGAAAATATATATTATTTAAATTGTAGGGAACAACGAAATGATACCTATTAACTGTATTGTGTATATTTGTGAAATCAGTTATTTTTCACCTAAGAGTATTAATACATCTGCAACGAATTAGCAGGTAATAAAATTAATAGGTATTTAAAGACAAAAAAAAAATATCACGTAAATACCAGTTTTTAAGCCAGCTGTGTTAGTGGGATGTTCATGGTGTTGTCGATTATACTGGTTCGTATGTGGTATATCAGTTGTAAACAGAAGATGATACGGTTGGTGGATCACTGGTGCTCGAGTCCTTTGTTCGTTTTTTGTCGATTAGAAGGTGTTAAATGATCAATGAACTATGAAAAAAATCTCGACCATTAGTAACGATTTGAATATGCTGGTTATATATAAAAATCCATTTGCCTTCCAGACGTCTCTGATTGGTTGTAGCCATCAACATTTTGACGACGTAAAATTACATGATTTATATATACTTAGTATTATTTTGTAAAATTATAATGTTAACCTTTTTACAAATAAAACTATATAAAAATAAAAATATAATGATAGTTTTATTAAATTGTTTAAGTATACATTATTTTTCAGTAACAATTGCACGAATAATTTTTTTACTATTTTACATACTTAATACATGTATTATATAAATTACAATTTATTTTTAAAACATGCGTGTTCGTATAATATTGATTTAAATGTATTATTTTCATTACTAATTATAATTAACTTTGTTTTCATGTGTTTTTTTAACCTTTCAGAATACTAAGTTGCTTAAATAAAAAAAAACTCTAGAACATAAGTTTTTGAAATTTTATATCATTGTTTGAGGGGAAAAATTAACAGTTTGTATGGTACTCCGTAAAATGTAAGCTAAAATACCAACCAAATGTTTATTTAGTTGCCTATATTTTAATTCAAACGGTAGTTGCTTTAAAAATTAAAAAGCTGAAGCATCTCTTTCTTGTGTAAATGCATGTTTAAAAGTAAACGCATATTACCATCACCAAATTTCTTTTTTCTCCAAAACTTAAGATCAATCACTTTACCTGTGCTGTATCTGTGTGTCATGGTTATTTTTATTTTGCTTTTATCCGAATTAGTACCTATTATGATTATCATCTAGTAAATGATTGCAGATCTGCGAGACTGTAGTAGGGCAAAAACAAAATATCTAATACGGATATCTACCAGCTTGTAAAATCTAAGTGTAGTTGAAAAATGCATGGCTAATATTGGAGACAACCCCGCAGCTTACAGGATAACCACCTTATTTAAAAATAGGTTTTAGGGTTCCTATTGTGGTTATATATATTCAAAAACTCTAAAATTTAAAATGAAAATTATAAATATAAAAAAACATAATAATGTAAATAAAGAAGAAGTTTTAAACAATATAGACACTTTCATTCCACAGAATATTATCTACGACAAGTAATTTAAAGATACTGCGCACAAATATTATTCTTACAAAAATACTCAATATAAAATAATAACATTTTGCTTAATACATAAACATTAATGTGGTCCAAAAAATCCAAGATTAATAATGTTAACCTCCTACCACTTTAAGTTGTTATCTTTTTCATCCCTAAAAAAAAAAAAAATATTTATTTTTATATTAAAAAAATCACAATGATAGGAATATTTTTTAATTAAGACCAATAAACATTAAAACCATTGATGTGTCAAAACAATAAAAATATATTTAAAACTAAAATAAAAACATATAAATAATACTACTGTAATATACTCGTTATGTTGCGATATGTTGATACTGTTGGTACAAACCACACGACCTATTAATTTATAATTGTCCTTCCCAATTATTACAGGCTTAAGACTGTCAACAAATTATCATCGTTGGCATATATTTTTACTTTACTCTACTTTCAGCTGACTTATAGGCAGACATTTGATTTAATTTTGGGGGGGGGGCTATAATAATTCAATGTAAAATAATCCGCAGGAGCTTCGTCCCCAAACCCTCTTCTCACGCACAAGTAAAACTTATTACTACTAAAAATATAGATATATTTAAATTGTATTAAAAAAACACTAAATTACGTATATTTAAAAATAATTAATATTTTATTTTAATAACAAATATCTATGTGTATCAGCAAAGATATTCAAAATATCATCGCTTTTTATATTTTTTGATATATCTTTTTCAATATATAGTATTAAAAGATCGCTGAACCTATTATGAACCAACGATGTCCTTAGCCAAGTTTTTATTTTTTTTTATTGCACTGAAACTTCTTTCGCAAGTAGCCGAACTAATTGGTATTGTTAATGCAATTGTAAATAGATTTTTACTATTTCTTATTTTACGATTTTCAAAAAAACGAACAGATAAAAACAATGAATAACATTCCTAACGAAGTTTCGATTTTGAGGGGGTTATTAAAATATTTGGGGGACTAAGCCCCCCTGATTCTGAAAAGAGTCAGTTCGAAATAGACTTGTTATATTCCATGTCGCAATCTTTAGCTCCATAGTCCATTTTCCATGTCCTAATTTATACCCAATTCTCTGTGTCCGAGGCTGAATTTTTGATGTTATCATAATACATATATTTTTACAAGGTGAGGTTGTTAGCCCCACGCTTAACCCCCAACCTGGATGACCAGTCTACTCCAGATAATTAAGATTAGTATAGGGAGAACTGAATCAACTAGTTAAAGTCAGTTCAGTTCAGAGTTTGGGGCTCCGAGTTCGTTATTCACGTCGCACTATTAGTGCTCCCTTGAGGGATAATTCTTTCGATGCTCAGAAATTACTTGAAATATTTAAAAATTGTTACCTATATTAATTTTACAAATATTATGACTTCTGTGTAGTTCCTGTAAAATTGGTGGAGGATAATGTGAGTTTTTACTATTTTATGATAAAAATAGCAAAGAAGATGTCTGCAATATGTTTGATATTTTAAAAAAAAAAAATAAAAATATTGTTCAGGAGAATGATCGTTTTCATATGCAACTACCCCTCTGAAAATTCATTCTTGCACTGGTTCTCCAATAAATTATTACATCCGTTAATATTCTTTATAGTTTTATACATCAATAAATGGGTCAAGGTCTAGTTCAGTATTTTAACCTAGTTCAAATTGTTATCATTTTACCGTTATAATTAATTGGTAAATATTAAATATCACAATTCAAAAGATTAAATAAGCAGAGTTGGACAAAAACAAATCAAAATAAAAAATAAAAAATAAAAGCATGAATAACTAATTTATTTATGAATAAAGAATAATTTTTTATTCTGAATAATTGTGGTGTACTAAATAAAGAATACAATTATTCTGAATAGTTTTATTTGTGAATAAAACAATTATTCAGAATACATTTATTCGTTAAAATCATGAATGATATTAATTTTTTTTTAACTTGTGTATTGTATTAATCGCAATCATATGAGCGTGAATTGTGCCGATCAAGACCTAAATTTTGGTAACTAAACAGGTTACTAGCAGAAAACTATTATAAAAATGTTATCACCTTTGACGTTTTTACATACATCTTTGTAGATATATCGGTAAATTACCAATCAAATTTTTACGTAAATTTCACATAATTTAACACTTAAATAATAATTAATGATTAAATAATAATTCAAGTCATTGTAGTAATAATTATAACAATTATCATTATAGTAACTATAACAACGTATATGTATCAAGAATAATAACATTTTTATATATATTATATATATTATTTAAGTTAAAATAATAAGTCTATTATTATTAAATATCGTTATTTAGGATTTAAATTTATTATTTATATGATAATAGGGAATAACGAATAAAGATTAATGAATAACGAATAACTGAATAATAAATAAAATATAGTAAATAAAAATCTCTAAATAATAATACAAATTAAAATAATAAATAAAAATAATAATCAATAAAGAATAATTTTTTATTCAAATAATCAATCGAATAATATTTTATTCGACTAATGCCCAACTCTGTAAACAGGACAACATTTATTTTTATGCTCAGTATTTTTATTCGATTACAGCCTGTGATAAGATTAATAAGTGTTGATTAATTTATTTGCATCAAAACGTTACATGTTATTTAATCCATTATTATCAATAAATAAATAATATTATTAATTGATAAATCCAGTTTTTGGGAATATATCAAAATCGATAAATACTAGAAGACTTTAAAATTATTATCGATCACTAGTTGGGCATGTTAGTCTATAGTGGTCAATGCTATCAAAAATAATTATTCTGCTATGTTAATTCCCATTAAACAAATCACATATAATACTAAGCAATAAGATGCAAGGGCCAATGAATTTGTTATCATTAATCAAATGGGAAGTTTTGAGTTCATTTTCACCATGCAAATGCTAGATCCAATTTTAAATTGAATATTATACGTGAGCTTAGTTTTGTATTCATCGAACATAAATTTGTTAACAGAAATTAACTTTATTAGGACATAAAAAAAATCACTAGAATCTATGAAAAATGATGGAAATTATTATAAAAATATTTATAAAAAACATTAAACAACTGTCTTAAAAAGATTATTCCTGCTGATAAAAAAAATAAAAGTATCATTTCAAATAGATATTATGAACAATCAACATTTTATGTTTAGTAAAATAAAAGAAATGAGAGTAAATGGATATTATTAAACCTTAGATCAGTTGATAGTTGGAATAAATGTAAGATTTATTTAAGAAATAAATGTTGATGATAGAAAATATGGGACATTTATTAGAATTAGAAACCAGTATTGATGATAATTTTCATCTTTCATCTGTATTCGATTTATATGTTACCAATTAAGCTTGAAATTCGGTTACTTATACAATTAAAATATTTATCAAAAAATAATAAAACATACTGTGAAAAATGGGTGGATTGTTTTGATGTGTTTGGAACTAACAAAGAAGTTATATTTTGTAATGTACTTAAAGCTATAAAATCATTCATATCCATCTGTGTGACGACGTGTTCATGTGAAAAATTATTTTCGAAATTAAGCATAGTAAAAACTAAATTTATAAGTGCCATGTTACAAAAACGTTTAGATAACCTTTTGTCGATGTTCATAGAACAGGAACTAGCATACAATTTCAATCTTGACGGAGTTATCGAAACTTTCAATATAATAAAATCAACTAAGCGATGCACGGAGCTTCAAAACATGTACGATAATGTAAATAATAAAAATAATTTACTTTTAAATTTTTAAAATGCATGTTCCAATTTTCAAAAATGAAAAAAGTAATAAGTTAAAATATTTAAAAATAAAACTTCGTCTTAATAAAAATCTCTCCTTAAGATTTGGACAAAATAGTGTTAATACTTAACTTAAAATATTTCCTGATCCCCTCTTGCCAAGAGGGTCTGGTACCAATTAAATGTAACGATAAAATTTAAAATTTATTTTAGTTAATATTAAAGTATATGGATTATCAAACAAACAATTTTAATTATTGATTATCTTTTATTTTAGGCTCATGAATGTTGTATATAAACAAAGAAGTAAGCACACTAATTCTAGAGAATTTTATGGATTTCTTCATAAATATTTTTTTTTAGTAGATTTATATAGTTTCAAAAATTTTAAATTAAAATACTCATTGAATATTTATATTTAATATTTAAAAATATTTAAAATTTGCCTTCAGGTAAGCGTTCATAGGTTCCCTCGTGCATATCAAACGGATCGGATTATTTATTTATAAAAACTGTACTTAAAATTGTGTTTAAGCTTATTTTCCACCTAATTATTAGAGCACGATAAAACCAATCATTTTTGACGGCTTCCACAAATTGTATTTTTAACCATGTGAAATTTATATGCGTAACAGTAATAATGTTCTCTAACGTAGTTCAAATCCGAATGTTGGTTTTAACCGTTTGAAATAATATTAAAATAATTAGGATGCAAATTCAATATCAGATTTTTTAAACTTATTTTTGTCCCGGAGTACCAAAAATCATAAGATACTTGGACCTTTCCCCCCTCTCCCCAAGGTTATACCGAACGAGTTTTTTTTTATTCTTTAACTCATTGCCACCGCATCACGATTTTATATATTCGTCATGATGGAAAATGGCTGATAAAAACGTATGGACCGTCGGGCACGATGCGATCGTTGCTCATAATTAATGATTAACCTATCTGACGGTAATCGAAACCAACAACCGACTACAATAGTATTTCCGTCGCGCGCTGCAATAAATCGGATCGCGCTTGCAGACCGACTAGTCCGTGTTGGAGGGAGTAAAACTTACGGGTAAAGGTACCGCACGACCGGCACCATTATGGCCGGACGCAATTTATGCTTATTATATAATATGTAACGTGCGCCGAACGGGACGACGTTCGGGTGATGGTCAGACGGCAGCAGTGCAGCGACCGCAACAGCAGCACACCCGTCACGGCGAGCGCATCGCACCGATCGTGGAGAATCGACCACGTCCCTGGCTAACTTTTAGTACCTACACCATCATTAACCGTACGTTCGGTCGACCACAGCAATGGATCAAGACCATGTTCCGGAAATCAAAACTGTAGCGTACACCCGGTCGGCTGCATCGATGGATCGCGGCGATGAGGTGTCCGCTGAGAGGACCACGCGCGTTGTCACTGCCGGGTTAAGAGGATGGTCGCGCGCCAAAGCCCAGCGTCAGCATCTGTTCCGAGTGTCCCGGTTGTTCATCTCGTGCTACTACGTGTACGTGTCCTACTATGGATTGTTCATATTGGACTTGAACGACATCGAATTTCCCACGTTGGGTGATCACGGTTCCAATTGGCGGTGGAAATGCGTGTCCGTGTGGAATCTGGTAAGAGGCTCCGAGGTGTGAGGAGGTGTCGGCGAATGATTATAATAATAATAAAAATAATAATACTCGTCGATCGCGTTTGAATATTTTCCTACGCTACATTGCTGTGATTGTGTGCAGGATGTGGTGCTAAATAATCCCTACAATCGTTTATCCCGTGTTGTTTTTAACGTCGAATCCCCACGATTTGTCATATTTTCAGTCGTTATGAAAAATCTTCATCCTTATTTCAATAGTGCCATAGTATAATATGTTTATATGACACCGTCCTGTGTACATATAAATGTACGTGCTTATTTCGATAAATTCAAGGAAATATTATAACTGTTAACTTTTAAGTTGTTATTTACCATCTATGTGTCAACGGTATTTCAATAGTATTTGCTAATTTTTAACAATCTTAAACTTAAATTTTAGCCTTAATAGTTTTATAATTTAAATATTAAATTATATACATTTTCTTTATAATTATTTATTACATATGTTGGCTCAACGGAAAAATTAGTATAATTATATTATTTGTCCCAACTAAGAAAAAAAAATTGTGTGTTTAAAAATATAACTTAACTTAATTTTTAAAATAATAATTTTAAAGCAATAACTAATAAATATTACTGATCGCCTGTTATAGTTCTTTCAATGTTTATAGTCTGACATAACTACAATATATATATGTTAATGTAACGTAATTTCGACATAATGTACATATACTTAAAAAATATGCAAGCTACTCCTATTTCCATTAAATGATTATTCGCTGACTATACGTCCGGCTAGTTATACTTGTTAAAGTAGGCGAATAAATGGAATGAAAATAAAATGAAACCAAGCTATATCAGCAAATTCGATTTTATATATACAATAAGAGGGTTGAAATTTGTATTACATGGTTTCGTTCCGCAGAAGATTATAAATAATCTGCCCGTGGTTAATCGAGAGTACAATATATGTATATAAAGTATTTAAATAGTAAAAAATAAATATATAAAGCTATTCATTTCTACTTAAATCTGGTATTTTAATGAAATTGAGTGAAAAACTATCATTATTATTATCATTATTATTGTTTCTTTTGTCGGTCATGACTTAATTCATTTAAATACATTTTTACTCATTAACGTAACAATTATTTATTATATTATTAAAAAATTATAAATTTTTTCCAATATTTCAGATCTTGCAAATTTCTTACTTCATTTATTGCACAGTTTTCGTAGATTTTGCAAACTCAGGTCCTGGAAAGTTATGGATCAAACCACACTTACGACAGAATAAAAAAATAAGAGATTTTGTATTTATCAGTCTCGTTTTTCCGGTTTCAATAGTAAGTTTTATTTATTTTGCTACTATTTAGCCAAAAGTATGAAAATTTCTTTAAAATCCATTTAAAATTATTAATTGATATTAACCTCTGACAGTTTTCTAATGAGAATAAATGTTATAAGTTAACTTAGATTATGATAGTTCCATTTTTGATTTTTAGAAATAAATAGAAATTATTATTGTTCAATTTATAAATAATATATTATATTTCAATTCAACCTAAGAATTTTATTTTGTCTAATTATTTTTATAATTATGTTATTTTAAATTATAACAAATCAATATAAATTATCGTTAAATTGTATTTTTTATAATGATGTTCAAGGCTATTTATACTAATAATAGTAACATGTTTTTAAAAAAAAAAATTTATTGGATTACATTATTTAATTACAACTTTCAGTATTTCATTAAATAGATGTATTAATTAGGTATTTTAATAAAACATTTGAAACAATAATATGAAATATTTTTATTCATCAATTTTAAACATTATTTATTTGAAAATTCTCTTATCAAAATTTCCAACTAAAAAATTATATCTATTTTATTATATTCATGGTTAAGTAATTGTTCTGATAATGACTAATTTAAAGGAAATCAATTAAATGTTGAAACACCAAAACAACAAAAATTAATTATGTAATTTTAATTTTATAATATTTGCTATTATATTAGGTTATATATATATATATATAGTTATAAGTTAATAGAAGTTTTGTGATTATTATTGAAAATTGTATAAATGAACACAAAATATAATTTACATTCGCGTTTTTTCACGTATAAATATTATTGTGCCATGTAGGTAGTATGTGTAATGTTCTGGATAATTTGCGCAATAAACAAACCGTTGTTATTTCCGAATGAAATGAGCAAATGGATACCGGATTGGTACAACCACGCCGTGCACACAAATCCAATCGCTCTAACACTATTTGATATGGCTACCACCAAACATCAGCTGCCTAAAAAGATAGACTCCACGGCAGGGCTTTTCTTACTGTCCGGCTCCTACGTCATATGGTAAAACCATACTGACAGGCAACCATGCAATAATTTATTATATTACTAACAGTCACATTGAATTTACCAATAAATATTATTGTTTTGAAAATCGCATTGCTTATATCATTGCTTATATCATAAAATAAAATAAATACATAATTAAATAATATCATTGCAGTACTATAAAATTTTCACCGACAAATTATTAATGTTAAACAGGTGCATGCTAGTTTTCAAGGTTAAATACAATTTACAAATGCATTTCAGATTAATGCAGTTTTAATTTCTGTTTCTATATTAATTGACACTTTTGAACGACAATCGTGTCATCAAATTAAAGATAATAACATATAATTATAGCTATATATATAATATAATTATATTTATTTATATTTTCTTCCCATACATAAGAAATATTTTCCGATTTAAATGAAACGTGTTAATTTTATAAGAGCGAGATGAAAATCATAATCTTGATTTTACAATTTTTTTTAAATCTGTGTAGTTTAAATTTGATAATATTACGATATTTTTTGAATAGTCCATGTAAAAAAATAATTCCACTATAATGAAATAAAAAATTAAAAAATTTGTGCATATTGCATTTTATGATTAAAACATTATTTTATAAATATTTATTTAATATATGTATTTAGATAAAATTATTAATTTATCATTTTAGATAATTTTTAAATAGTTACTATTAAAATTACTAATACTACAACCTTGATACATAAAACTTTGATAACTTTGATAACTTAATACGTTTATTATTATTATTCTATAACATAATTGTTAATTACTCATATAAAATGTTTTATATCATAGAAATAATAATGGTGAAAAATAGCAATGTATTGAATTAATTTTTTCACGAATGACGATTATGAACTAAAAAACAACAATAAAATATTTTGGTTTTACTCTTGATTTTGATAACTAAATAATCTATTATCCCAACATGAAAATATTGATAATTCATAAAGCTTTTATACGATAAACATGCGATCAAAAAATCTAATTTAGACGTATTATAAACAAAATGGTTTATTATAGTTTTAATTTATTTTGTACATTAATTTGATTTGGGTGCTTAAAACTTTTCAAGATTTTTTTGAGATTATTATTTTAATTTGATAAATTAATTTTTATGACTCTGATAAAGACTGTAAATATATATTATTAATTACTAGGGTAGAAGGCTGAGCACTTAGATTATCTAACTAGCCTCCCACATTCAACCATTATTTTCGATATTTAAGTAATATTAAATTTTGTAACTTAGCATAGTATTATTGCATGGTACTGTGGTATACTTATTGTTATTATTTTATCTTTCAATTATTTATTTTTTTAAGTTGAGTTAGTTTCAAAAATTATTTTATTTTACTATTCAATTCCTCTCTACCCATCTTGGTGGTAGATTTTAGCCTTTCAGTCTATGATCTTTATTGCTTCTACAGTATATGAATATGATTTTTAATTTGTTCATATACTATATTAAGCCTCTTTTTAATTATAGTTTACTTTATAATAAATTCATGACTGGAAGATGGGTGTATCTAATCATTGGTGAAATCGTATCAAGTTTAATGGAAGTCATTATGTACTTTGCAGTAACGGCTTTTGTCATTCCTTTTATATGTATGATGATTGGATATAAATTGTGCTCATGGTTTTCAAGTATGTAATTAATCATATAAATATTTTACACGCATTATACTATAAATTAATAAAATAAAAATGCTTTTTTAGATCAACGAATTAAAGAAGAACAAAAAATGATATAGGAATGATACAAGTGGTATCCACCATCAAGGTGAATGTTATACATACAAGTATATCTGTTAATGATTTTTTGAGGGTACGTATACATATAATCAATAACTTTTATAAAAATAAATATTTTTGGTTTTGTTTACTGTAAAAACATAATTAGGTATTGGTTGTAACTCATTAAATGTACTGAATTTACTATTTGTGTAGTGAATATATATTATAATATATAATAAGTGCATATAATAAAAGTGTATGTGAAAATAACCATAATATATAATATACTTAATTATTAGAAACTGTTACAAATAAGAATTTTTAATGTAATAATTTTGCATAAATATTGTAGAATTCCAACAGAATTTAAAACGCGCAAAAGAGTCATTCTTAAGAGTACTATTTGAATTATGGTACTGTTAATAAAATATTTGCTATGGTAATTTGAATTAATAAATTAATCTAAACATTTAGATTGTTTATATTAAATATGTTCGTAAAATTATTATTCTAATAAAGTCATATATAAATTTGGTATTAGTTTCCTATATAATACAATAAGAAGATCGGTAATATTTTAATACAATTTTTAAATACAAGTGGATAGATAAAATAAATGTATTATAATTTTTTTTTTTTTTTAAGTAAGTTGTAGATATAGTTATATATCATCATCAGCTTGTCAGCCTATTAAGAGCCATAGCTGCCATCACATAACCTCTCTATTTCTCCCTATGATATGCGTCGTCAAAAACCTAGTTCTCTTTATATATTTGATGTCTTGAGCCACGACATCCACCCATCGGGTCCTTGGTCTTCCTAATGGACGTTGTTTGTTTATTTTGTTAACTAGAACTTCTTTCAACATTTCTCAGTTTGCCCTCCATACGTGACCAAAACATTCTATTCTTTTTCATTTTATAGTTATACATAGTGTATATTATTATATACAGTCTACATATAGTATAGATATAATTAATTTAAAATTATATGGATAGGATATATTTATATAAAATATATATTAAAATACTATTATTGATGATTTTTGAATATTTAAATTGAAATTTATAATTATATATTATGAGAGATATTTATTTATTAATAATTTGATTATTGTTAATTTTGTTATTATTTGTATAAATTGTTTAATGTTCTCATGTATTTATTGAATTAATTGTATATTTTTAATGTATATGTTTTAGACTTACAATAATTATTAATCATATTTATTTTGTACCTAACGTTGTGTACAATGTATAATATATTATATTTTCATAATATTTAGTTCAAAAAACATTCTGTAAAATTAATTCTGTAGTCTTTTTCCCCTGTAATTGTTCTGGTTGCTCTTTACTGATATCCACCGGACTAACATCACAGGTTGTGAAGTTCACACACGTGATAATTGTCTACTTAGAGAAAGGAGTAAAATTGTTTCAGTAAACTTACCTCTCCCAAGTGAAAAGTATATCGACAAAGATCTCCGACGGTTTTTTAGAAAAAAAGAAATGTTGATAAAATAATGTTATACTAAGTATATAATGTTCTCAAAGAAAATTTATAATTTATAATAATATATATTGTTTTTACTGTTCAGATTTAAATGATTCTTTATCCCCGATAACCGAGTAACCTGATAAATCTGGTTTTTACATCGAAGTGCACATTTATTTCACTCACCTCATATTTCGCAATTTATAAGCCATTGTTAAAATATATTTTATTTTGTTATTTTAACAGTATGATTTATGATTAATAATATTAATATATAATTAATATTATTAACATACTGTTTTATGTAGTATAATTTTTTTTAAAACTTAAATTTTTGAAAAAAAAACTTTGATTCAAAACATAATGCTTAGAATTATATAACAAGTTTAATTAAACTAATAAAGTTATGTTTTTGAGCAATTCAATTAATATCCAAATTTGTAACTTTGAATGAGAAATGTCATTGACTGAGTAAATACAGTAGTCACTCGATAATTCGAACCTCGATAATTCGAAAAACTCCATAAATTGAACTAAACGCTAAGTCCCATGAGAAAACCTTTATAATTAGAAAAAAATACATGTATTCCGGTCCCCTCGATAATTCGAAATGTCTGTCGGTGAGGCACACTCTACAATTCGAATTTTTTTTCATGAGTCTCTATAATTCGAATTTCTTTAAACACGATTATATGTACGTTCATATGTATAAAGATTATGTACAATCTATTTAACGTACTCGTAATGAAACTAATAACGACGGTGGTTAAATATTATCGTAGTTTAATGTTATCGTATCTTACCTACCTAATCTATACCAAAATAAACCAAATTAAATAATAATTTTAAAATGTACATAATTATATTTATAATAAGTTAATGTCAAAATAAACGTTATATATATATATATGTATATACAATGTATTTTATTTATTAATTTTTTTCCTTCGATTATTCGAACATTCGGTAAATCGAAAACCTCTATAAATCGAATTTTTAACTCGGTCCCCTGAATATCGAATTATCGAGTGACTACTATACAATTGTTAGTCTAATATGCATTTTTTTTAATAATTTTTTTTAATTCTAATATGCATGTTTTTTAACGATTACAATAGTTAGTTAAATCTTTCCAATCGATAGTACTGCGAAAGAAGTGTATTTTCAGTAGATTATGAAATAGTATTGTTAAATGTAAACAGCTCTTTCTAAGAACTTTTTATAATTGTATTTATTATTTAATCATAGCCGGAAGATTTTTTTACTTAATACATTATTATCATGTAATTCTTGTTGATCGGTTACATTTTTCCTATCGTAGCTTTGTATATGATTTCCCAGAAAACAGCTTTTTAGTATTACTGGAGTTATCGTGTATTTTTTTTATTTTATGAATATTTTTTCAAGTTGCATGGTTAGCTTTGTTTTAATTATTAAATTGTTTTTGATTTAGATGATTTCTCTCTGTTCTTTTTTTGTAATCCAAGTATTCGGATTATATGCTTATAAGGTACACATTTTGTTTTTATCAGAATTGTTGTGTAATGTTTTAGTAATATAATCCTTAATAACTAATAACGGAATGATTATTGTTAAACCAATTTAAAATATGTATTTTTATGATAAATATCAATATTTTAGTGATTTAAGAATTTAAGGTATTTAGTAGATTTCAATTATGAATTATATCGTAAATGTGGAGCAGAGGTAAATTATTTATATTGCTTCTATGATTTCAATTGTAATTACGAGTAAGAGGATATTAACATAGTTTCTTCGGGTGACAATAAAAAATGGGGAGTGAACATGATTTTGCTTATTTATGTAAGAGATAGCGCTATACTACAACCTAAGTGCTTAAGCTTTATTTTTCTATTTAGTCGAGATTTTAGCGAGTGCTGTGTCTGGTGAATCGTTGTTTATAGGTTATACATTAATATAGTACCCAGGCATGTTTACTAAACACTACCTATGCTGATAAACATGGAGCGAAGTATTTGTTTATTAAATAATAGAAATTTTAAAATATTTAATATGTATAACTATATTATAATATTCAACATATTAAAAAATATCCTTAAATCGATAATAAGTATATGTATAAATAATAAATTAGTGATGACAATATTTTTGTTTTATCTCCAATTGTTTGGTTTTGATGACGATATGTTAACAGCAATTGCTTGGATTAACTTATGCAGATTATAATCTTCGTTATTCCATTCATTCACTTGAACTTTGTGTACTTGAGGATTTAGGTTGTTTAGGTTCGGAGTCTGTGAATACTTTAAACACATTACTTTGTAGGTTAAGTAGAACCATTTAACAAACTGTATGTATAACTTCTAACACTCATGCGAACAAAATATAAATACAAAATTACTTACCTTCTTTTTAGTACAGCAACCTGCATATTCTTTCCAAGCCCATAGATCCATATGCGGTAATATATGACCTTTACAAGAAACTCTGATATTTCTGTAAAAAAAAAAAAAAAAAATTTAGCTATAAATGATAAGTCAAAACAAATATGTATAGAAAATGTACTTGTGTTGTGACGGCAACTCCATAGCAAATGGTTGAATCGTTAAAATGTTGTCACTGTTATCACATAAGATCCGAGATAATCGTACTTTTTTGATTTCAGTCAGTTGCTCTGTAATAAAATATAATTTGTGATCAAAATTATTGTCATAAATAATATTTTATTTATGAAATACATGTATAAATTACTACTGTATAATAAAATACATTTATGCTAATAACTGATACAAAAACTGTCAGTCCTTTCCGAACTCAGTATTTAAAATCAGAGGGATACCAAAAGGAATAATGGATCGTACGAAAAATTACCTAGAGTGAATGAGTTTGGGAGACCGGGATTTTCATACCAAAACCTGTCTCCTTTTTTCAAATCGCTGAACGTTTTGGCAATGATGCAGCCAAACGTCGGTCCCACAATGCTGTCGTCGTTCGACCGTTCCGATACACCTGCCGACCACAGATCCACATCTTCCGGGGTTGTGTACAAGTCGTAGTAAGCCTTTACCGTAGCGTTACTGATGTCCGTTAACATGGAACTCCATGTTTTGATCGATGGAAGTTTGCAGTATTGTCGCCAGGCCGAATAACTTGGTATTCCGTGTTCCCTGGCCCGTTGAATGTTGATTGATGCCAGATCTTTGCCGTAGTCATTGGCCGGTTCTTGGAATAAGTGATTTGTCACCTACGTCACAGTTAACGATTAAAATTGTTATTAATTAATTTATTAAATCATAATATTAAAATAGATAAATTTTATAAAGGTAAAGTAAATGAATAAAGAATAATTAATAAGAACCAACTGATACGGGACATGAATATGGTGGAACATTGCAATAGCATATAAAACAATTTATTATGATTAATCCATACGAATGATAATATATCATTATAACCTAACATCGGCATGAACCGTTCAGCACAATAACTTATTATTCAATATATGCATATTATCTCATCGTTCAATGTTTAAAAAATGGAAAAAAATGTGTTTTGTTTTAGTCACAAAATCGTCATCATTGAAATGTGATATATACTCGTATAATATATATTCATTTTTTTATTTTATTACTAGTCTATTATTATAAATAAATACAAATAATATTTAATTTGTACACTGTTTTATGTTTTAAATCGATTGTGCTATGGTCTTGGTCAACAGATTTTCGATATTTGTCTTTTTTTTTTGTCCCTCCACCATTATTTATATTACCAATCTATTCTACCACATATTTTCTATTACCTTATTGTTAACTTTGTTAAGAAAACGATAGTCATGATTAGAGAACAATGAGGTATTGAGACTTCATCAGCGCTCACAAACTTTTTAAGTTGTGTGTGTGTGTGTGTGTGTGTACATGTGGAGTGGAGGTAACAAGGAAGAAAAAAAAATATATATATAAAAAATAAATATAATGTTTCCTCTTACTTGAGATGTGACCGCGTCGTCCATAGCTTGTGACGCTTGGTTTAACATGCCCAAGAGGTATTGGTCCAGCCAACCGGGCTTGTGGAGATCGTATGGTTGCTGGAAAATTTCACTGAATCGCCTAGAACCCAGGAACTTGTGACTGGCGCTCCATCGTTCCATAGCATCGGGCAACAACGAATGGCCAAACCGGAAAGCCGCGGCGCCAAATGCGGCTGGTATCGTTATATCCGTATCTTGATCGTAGCTATTCGAATATCCTTGCGGTGACAGTTCTAGGCCATACTTTTTCATCGTAAAGCTACCCAAAAGCTTTGGTAGAAACTCGTTGTAAGTAATGTGTTGAATCATTGCACCGACAATTTTCCGCGATTCCTATTTACGGTAAAGAAAAAAAAAGTATTATTAAATTCTTTACAAAACGCTCTAATCTGCATTGTTCCTCGGAACCGTTATAATACATTTGGTTGTAAGATCTGGAGTCAGGAAATAAAACAAAGTTCAATTCCAGCCAATTAAAACTATTCTTGCTGTTTGATTTCTTTTAGTAGGCTTATAACGCACTCGTGTTGAAAAGTTAAGGAAAGTTAGAGTAATGATAAAACGACAATATTGAACTCCAAATATAACTTTATTGGTAATTATTGATATTTGTCGTACCATATGGTTCATTAATATAATCATTAAAAATTAACATTTTTTAAATGATGTAGGTAGAGTATTAAGTAATTACCAGGCCCGGCTCAAGTGTTTAAACAAACATAGGCGAAATTTAGTTTTTGCCACCCCTTAAGTGTGAATATTTTAATAAATATTTTATTTTTTATGCATAAAAATTGTCCAGGAAAAATGCGTGGGCCTATGTCGCCTACCCCTTGAGCCGGGTCTGGTAATTACTGAACGACTGATATTATTTTACTTCTGTTTTTTATTATAATTAGTAGCTATGATAAGCCAGTTAGATATTGTAGAAAACTATCTAATAAATTGTAATAATGGTAAACAATAGTAGGTATTTTAAATTATTTCGTCATTACCTGGTAAAGTCGTTCATCGTCCCAATGTGGATTAATCGTACAGAGTTCGTCAGCTATTCTATTATGTTCTCGAACGAAAATAGTGTGAAGTACACCAAGAGCTAATTGCTCATTCACTCGATTGTCACCTGATGACGTTTCAAAGCCCAATTAAAACAATATTATAGAGTTATATGCATTGCGAGCGTCTGTAATTAATAGTATGTAGTATTACCTGCTAAGAAGCAAAATAGATCCGGATGGGGTCTAATGCATCCATCGTCCGGTTGGTGTTTCTTTGGAGGCAGTATTGGCTTAAGCCTGTGACCCGGTAAGATTGGAACCAAAGTTAATTTGCCATTCTCGAAGGATCGAAGTTTTTTGGCCAAGTCCTCGTTAGAACCGTATATAAAGTTGCCATCGATAGGCGATGTTAAAGCATTCGTTTGAACCCGAGGACCTATATAGATCGAGTGCAAAGTATCGATTACAAATCGACGATCGATAAAATGATTATAATACGTAATATGAGCAAGTTTTGCTCGTTGTAATACTAGTTTTTTAATTAAACACTACTTTTATTGAAGAGTTTGATTATTATGCCTAGTATATAATTATTTGACACGATTTTAACATGAGAAACTGTATGGAAAAAGTGCAGAGAATCGATTAAATATCGACGATCGATAAAATGATTATAATGCGTAGTAAAATCAAGTTTCGTTCGTAGTAACACAAGTTTTTATATTAAACACTACTGTTGTCAAATAGTTTGATTATGATACTTAGTATATAATTATTTGAAACACGGTTTTTCTTACACGATTAATATTTTTAAGTGCGCTTTCGGATTAATTTTGTTATCGTCGAATCGGAATTACTTTAAAGTCATCCAGTCCCGGATGAATACAGAAAAACGAAAGTAGTCGTATGTAAATCTAAAAATAAAAATATTTTGGAAATCAGGAAAGTTAATGTACATTAAAAAAAAAACTGCGCAACGGTAGTACGAATTATCTCATGGACGGTAGGTAAAAAATAATCATCAGAAACGCGCAAAACGTAATGACGATCAAGACATACGCCATAGATCATATAGAAACCCTACTTATGTGTGTTGGTCATAAAATGTTTTATAAAATAAGTCAATCATTAAAAATCATTTATATGCCGACTAATTTTTTTAATTTTAGTTTTAAGAATTGCATGTTATACGGATCCTAATAATATTAAGAACCGAGAGTTTCTAAAATGGTTATGGACAAACAGCTGCAGAATCAATCATGCTTGGAATGTACGGCAGCGTTCACGGGGCTAGGATATACATATATATATATATATACGTCAATACAGCCGATCCCTTTTTGCCAAGGTGAAAAAAACCGATTTGTTGGCATCACGACTGGCGGGACAAGACACTCTGTCCTTTATTAAAATCTCTCTTTCTCTATCGTTCTTTCGCCCCTCGCTCGTTCTCATTCAAACCGTTCTCCCTTGTTCACGCCTTCCCTCTTTCTAGCGATGATGTCATGCGAAAAAAAAAAGAAAAAGAGCAAACAAAAATCTATTGGTCTTGGAATTAATAACGACGATGCCGCCGCTTTAAAAATCGCAGAGGGTGGTGCGCTCGCGCTATAGTCGTCCGAGACGTTTATATTGCCTCGTCTTACGTGACCGCTGGTTTCTTAAAACGGTCGTGAATGTTGCACCATCGCAAAACAACGCAAACGGGTCGTCTTGGGCGACCAGGGTCGCAGGAATACCGATGGGGATGAACCGACCAGTGCACTACAGGTTTGCGCGCGAATACCACACTGTACCCGTTTCGCTCGCGGACGGTGTCAAGGGACTCGGTCGAGCGAGGACAAAGAACCACGATCGCCGTGACGTGTGCTCGCAAAAAGGGACTGCAATCGCTTGCCAGCAACGGGATCCCATGTGCAACCATGACCAAAGCCGAGGGTGGTTTAAAACGAACGCCGAACCCTGCGAAAAGGTCTCCGGTACTAGGGTCCCAGCCGACGGTAGTGCGAAGGTGACTGTGTAATATCAACCCCCGATTTGCGCATGCACGCCCCGTAATGGCGGTGATATACGATAACCTCACGTTTTGTGTATCGCGGGCGTGTATATAACGGAGATTATATAACATATTTGGCGGCAGTGGTAGCATTGGTTTTTGCACCTGCCTCCATTACCCCCTCTCCACGTGTCGGTCAATTAATATCCTACCCCTCCCCGTTATGGTCATTTAATTATTGATCTACCTAACTCTCTCATGGTGTTTCGTTGTTCGATGACTATCCTCAAACAAAACGAAGTAATGTACCTAAAAATATTCAATACGTGTTAACAGATTTATGTAATAACCCATAAAATCATGTCACTTTTAAAGTATCGAATTTGATTGAAATTTTGTTTGACATTCACTGAAATTTATAGTATATAACTTGTAGATTATAAAAAAGAATAATTTATTAATATTGATGGTTAGGTTCAACCAAATAAATGCAATTTTTTGGCTTGTTAATTAATTATTATTGGAAGGTTTTGTGTTATTTTTCAATCATTTATACGCATAAAAATCATATTATATGTTTTAAATATTTATAAATTAATAAAGTATTAATAGTAGTAAAATAATAATATTTAAATTTGTGATATTGTTAAAGGAAATAATAAAAAATAAAGAAAATAATTATACTACAAAAATGAAATATGGCTCAAATGAAAAACCAAAAAAGTGAAATAATCCCTACAACTCCAATATTGGGGTTTTTTTATTACATAGGAAACCAATTTATATGATTACAAAAGAGAAACTTTATTAGTTATTAGTTTTAACTTACTGGAATCAATACCAATGAAAGAATATTATTAATATGACTAAATAGATTCTAAATTAATTTAAAATAATATATTAGTGAACAGTCGGAAAATATTATCAATGCATTTTATTGAACTCGAGCAGTTATGACTGAGATTGTTTTAAATTGTATACAATTAAAATATATACAATATCTATAAATAGATATTTTTATAAGTATAGTTATTATATTATTATATTATTTATATTATTTATGTGGCTAAATATTGCTTTTAATTAAAAAAAGTCACTAAAAAAACAAAAATTGAATAAAAGTAGGAATAAAAGAAATAATGAACATTATAGTTTTTATTTGGGATGAAGAAATCTAGCTATTAGTGAATAACTTTGATGAGTTAAGCATACAAGAAATTTAAAAAAAAAACCAAGTACACAATCACTTAAAGTCCTGTAATGTGTACATATTAATCACGTTCGATGAATTATAAATTATTTTTGAAATCATGACCTTTTAGGTTACTGATATAATTACCTAAGGGACAATCAGTGTTTACACCAGCCAGTGATCTTATCATATCAATACACCTTTGACGATGACTTCCAACGAAAAATTGGTCATCGATTGGTACGTTAACTGGTATACAGTATGGATGATTGGCTCCTGAGCAGCATTTAATTTCTTGTCTAGTGATTGGATCTATGCACATAAAGAAGTAATATAAATTAATTCCAAATAATGTAATAACGATAATAATAACTCATTGGATAAGGTACCTTTGGTTTCAGCTGTGAGTGTGAGGTCGTGATCGATTAGTTGTCCAAAAGCAGCGAACAAAAACGTAACATCAGTGCGATGCGGTCTAGCTACGTCCTTATGTACTCGTGCAGAGACAGACCTAGGATTGGGCAACGGAAATCCAGTTATACTTGTTCTGATGGATTTTATACCTGAAATAAAACGTTCAAATCAATTATACTATTATTAAAATATTATTATATATTATTTTAGTATTCAGGCATTTTCATTAGACACGGGCGTGATAGATAAGTTACTTAAATCAAAATTATTCATTATTGTAATGTAGTGTTTATAAAATGAAACAACAATTTATAGTTTGGTTATATCAATTTGTATAGGATTTCCGTATTACAACGTTCATGTACTACTATGTGAATATTAATAGTTTATAACATATACTCACCATCTCCGTAATCAGGTGGAAGAAGTCTTTTGAAAGGTAATTTTGCCGCGCCCCACTGTGGATGAACAAAATTATTACACCTTCCGTCGATTGAGCGGAATTCAATTCCATTTCCGCAGTCATTTCCCGGGTACGTCTTTAACTCTTTTGGACAGTATCCACCTATATCCGTGTTCTCTGTATTTATAATCGGTAACAGACTTCGCACTTGATCTTTTGTCAGTCCAAACCTGAAACGAAATTCTTCAGTTAAGATTGCTTGTTTTATAAAATATATTTTATAAGAAATAATAAAATCATTATTTTGATGAAATATAATTATTTATATTTTACTGAATTCAGTCCTTGTGGATGATTACAAGTTTAAATTCAAACTTAAAAATAGTAAATTCTTAAGTATTTAATAGTTATGGTAAAAACATTTTTTTTTTTAATTAAAATTGAAATTTCTAGTGAACCTCACAATTTAAATATTAATTTTTTAAGTTATTTTATATCAAATATAAAACTAAAATATATTTAATTAAAATTTATTAAATATATTAAATATATTTGAATTAAATAATAAAAAAATATTGATCCTAAAATATTTGATAGTCATACATAATTATTAAATACTGACCATTCACATAAAATTCTTGTTGTTTCCTGTATCACATCTCCTAAATTATCCAACTGAATATCCGTCAAATCGTTAGTTCCAGGTTCTATGTTTAAGACGCCTCTGCATGCTTCGCGAAAAGCTTCCGAAACATTATTATACGTTATACATTTTTCGCCATAACCAGCTGGCCTGCAATCAAAATGTATTAGGGAAAATTAATTTAAATAGTTTTATTCTTTATAAAGATTATGGGTGTAATAAAGTATAGATAATTACTATTCATAAATATTTAAATTTTTATGAAAAAATTACATTTTAATTTCACTGGATTTCTAAACCAGAATTAAATAATATAAAATAAATTTAAAAGTATACCTATTCATGAAAATTATAGTTCTTGGCAATAAAAAAAAAAAATTTAAATTTGTTTTTATAGAAATTAAATAACAAACAAAAAATTATATTCAATTTATACATTGGATGTGTAGTTCTGCTTTAGAATATACAAAACACTTTCTCTTTCATGTTCCAAGTTCGAAAGAAAATTTCTAACTTTCCACGCTCGTAATGATCACCCAATATATGTATGCGGAAATCTTAGAAAAAATCTCTATTGTTTTAGAATAGTACAATGTATAAAAACAGTTCCAATATGATTTTATTGTCGAATTTAATTGTTGCTAATCGATTTTATTTTAAAATTAAACGGGATGATAGTGCGGTTTTTTCTTAAATACATCTAGCGAAGTCATAACAGATTAATGTCGCAAGGTGTTCCTAGTAAGTGAAATGCTTTTAAACTTTCTCCCATTCGATAAAGTTTTTTCATCTATCACAATAATGAAATATATTTATTTTTATTGGTAATCATTGCCAATAATAACGATACATACACCATAATAATAATAGAATAAAATAATTATTTGTTTACCATGGAAATAAACACTTATGTATTGAATGACATCAAATCATATTTTAATATTTTAATTAAATGTGTGTATCACTCATATAATATCCGTTACAAAGAAAATATCAGTTAATATTATGTATCAGTTTTTAAAAAACAACTTGATCTAAAAAGCCTTTTATTTGTAGCAACTCAAATATGTAGGCAACTTACTATTAGTATTTATAATATTATAAAAGTCTTAATAATTATTTAGATTTCACGACTATTGATTTGATATAAGAACGTTAAAAAATGTAAAATTATAATTATATTTTTTGTTAAATCCATACATATTTATTAATGTTGTAATTATACTGTTCAATTTATCTTAATCTTCGTATTGTACTGAACTCAAACTTATATATTCCAATAATTAGCTTCATGTTTAAAGGGGAGTTGCAAATATGTATTCTATATACTTTTATTTATCAGTATATAATTGTATATTGTTTTGCTAAATAAAATTATTAGTTATTATTATTATTATAAATAGATACAACGAGATATATAGTATATATTTTAATAAGAATTATAAGTGGTATTTTTCAAAATTTAAATTTATGTATTTGTATGGAATAATGTTAGTTATATAACAAATTATCATATACGATATGATATACGTATGATCTTAATGTCATTTTTTTCGAGTAAAAATTAGATTGAGGTGTCATTGCTTCAATAATTAAATACAAAAACCCATATTTTAAATAATATCCAATATAAAAAAACAAAAATTGCCATGATCACCGACATCATATTTGTGTACAATACAATAATGAAGTAAGTTTGCACGGTTTTAATACGATTGTGATGTAGGCATATATTTTTTTACTTTATATATTTATATGAAGTTTATTTTTATTTGAGTGATAGAAGACTTAAGGGTATCCATAATTCGTAGTTTGACATAAATAAAATCTGAAATAGTCGAGAACTGATACTTTAATACGCATATTAGTTTTTTTTACATCGATAAATGAGGATAGACAAAAGGTTCCATAGAGTTACCGAATTTTTTTTTAAATTATCTATTGAGAATATAATATTAAGCTAACCTGTAATTTATAGCATTTTTTAATTTAAATATTTTTTTTTAAATATTAATAGATAATATTATTATAGAAAAATATCGGTTCATTAAATGAATCGACCAATTAAAATAGTTATTTAATATTATTTATCAATTCTAAACATAAAATAGAAGTAACTGAATTGTTTATACTTGTTTATGAAGTAATAAAGTATATATTATAGGATAATTTCATGATAGCTTATTATTTTAAAAATAAAATATAGTTTATTGGGTAGTTTTTCTGTCAAAATTATCACTAATTTACATATAAATAAATAATACTAAAAAAAAAAAAACAGTTATTTCCTGTTTCAAAAATTAAAACTCTTTTAAATTTTTTTTACAAATCAATTATCTGTATGTATAATAATTATATGTTATATAATATATTGTATTTTATAAATATTAAAAATATAACACTTTAAATCAAATATCAATAAGCCTATGACTTATATAAATATTATTTATACATTATTATTATTATCATGATTTGAATAAATACATAAATAGATGGAAGGTATAATGAAGATTATGTTCATTAATTTTTCAATAGATTCTATTGATTTTGGACATTAAGTATCTTATAATATTTTTAAGCTGTCTAAATTTTATCAATCATTTACAAATTCAATTTTATCAAACAAATTGGAATAAACTTTAATTTTTATTATTATTTTAAAATAGATAAAAATTTATATTAAATATAATCAAAAAATATAATAAATATATTAATTAATATTAATATGATGTAAATAATAATAATTTATTTTTTATTTTAATTGAAAACAATTAATATGAGAACGCATTTAAAAATGAATCCATTAACCGTATTTTCTAGAAAAAAACTCTTAACTACTCATACTTACGATATATATTTGAAGTGTTTTAAAGGCAAAGCGCATTCTTCATTGTCTGATCTCCAAGCATATCCCTGAGCCAACAAGGCCGATAGGAGGATGTGCCACAATATTGGAGTTCTAAAATAAAAATAATCACTATTTTTATTATACTCAAAACAGACAGTAAAAAATAATCATATGAAATTAAGCATAGCAATGCAAATCTATGATAAATATGGCAGAACTTACTTCATTTTGCAATAGTTACAATATGTATGATGAGCAGTCCGTTGGGTTGCAGTCTTTTATAAAAGGTGTCCCCGCTGCCATGGGACGCCATACGGAGAGGCGGCCCAAACGAAAGTCGATTTCGTTTTCAATGTGTTGTTGAAGTAATTTATTCATAAAACATACACCAATCAGCGTATATGTAGATGGATGACGTTTCAATCCTTAAAATTTGGGAAACTTTATTGATGTGTCAAGTTGGTATAGACTTGAAAACATAAAAATCAAGTCAAACGATGGTAAAGTTGGGTGTCCCCATTGTTTTCAATTAAAATTTTTTTTTCACAAAATTAGTTTTTCATTTATTTCATTAAAAACATAAAATAATGTTATAATTATGTGTAGTATAATTACAAATAATATTGTATTTTTTCAATTTTAATTTATCAAAATAATCATCATTTTTTATTGATTGAGTTTGAAAAACCTATCATTACAAACTGTGTTAAAAATTAAAATTTAAAAAACACATTTTATTTAAAATTGTATTTCGTATAGAATTATTTTTATTTAAATCAGCTTTCTTTATACAGGTATGTAACATACCATTATCACAATAATAGATAGTTTATGTTCGTACTCGCTTGAATAATAAACTTTGTATATATTTTTAAAATCTATAATTTTTTATGGGGTAGCAAAGATACCCCTCGATACCCCTTAGCGACACCTGTAGGTATGTTTATAAGACGTTTTACTATGTATTATGCATTTCATTTTTCATTCTATCTCATGGGTACCAGTATAATATTAAACAAATTTATAAATTGTTAAATGTTATATCAATGTTTTCAAAATGTCTCCTTCTTTAACGAGTTCACAAATATCGAGGACACCTACTATTTCGGCTATTTATTTTTAAGAATTAATTTATTGTTGAACAGGTAATTTGTATTTTAATCGTTGAATAACAAATATATTCTACATACGAGTACTACTTATAAAGAAATTCTTCGTAAATTTGTATTTATTAATTTTTTCTACCGATTTAATTATATTGTAGTCCGTATTCATTCATGGTATAGCGACACGATTAGCCATTATTCTAGGGTGTAATTTTATATAGAAATATTTTAATCTTATAAAATAACGATATCAATGTATGATTGTACATTCAAAGTCAATATAGCTAATATTTAAACGAATACATTTCAGATATTGAAACATAAATAGTTTAAATAATACATAGGTATATTTCAAAGACAATATTTTTATTATCATTTATAATTGTACTAAAATAATTTGTGTTTAAATTAATAGTTAATATAGGCATATAATTTAAGGTTCCTTATTATCCTTACATTTACTTAAAACAATACGATAATGATTAAACCATTTTCGAGTAAAGACAATGCAATCATTTGCATTCAACACAATCAGGTGCAAAGTTATTTTTCATACTAAAAACTGAAATTTATTTATTGAGAACTTATGAGTGATATTTTATTTATATTTTATGCAAATATTAATTTGGTTCGTCTTTTTTTAGTTCACTTTTTATTGTTATATAATAATAATAAGCTAAGTGATGTTGACCGATTAGCTGAAGACTATATCGAATCCATCCTATTCTAAATAATTTAGTAGTTTTTAATATATTAACAAATAGCAGTTAAATGAATTAATAAAACTATATATACGTGAAAGTTTCTACTTACTATATCGTCCAATAAAAACGCATTTTCAATTAAATTTTTATACAGTAGACAACAAGTATATGTTTGAGTAATCTTCCGTTATTTGGAACCTCAAATGAAAATTAACTGATCTTTCTTGTGTTAAACTAAATTGTGTATGAAGATTAATATTTTATTTTTTTTTTAATTATATATGCTTACAAGTTATTAAGTAATTGAAAAGTAGAAATTAAAAAATAAAATATCATATCTTCAGATGTATCCGATACATCTTGATCACGTAAATTATTATTTTATAAGTGGTTTTAAAACAAAATGGTCGATATGTTAGTACTATATTAGTGTTATCATAAATTAATAAAATAAGGAAGAAAAAGGTTTTTAAAAAGTGAGATTAGAAGAATAATGCACAATTTGTAATTTGTTCAATACTAGATTAAAAGATTTTAAATTTTTTAAAAATGTGTTAAGTTTTCTTATTTTTAAAGATTAAAAAATGATTTTATTATTTTATACCATAAATAGGTAACTTACATCAAATAGAATACCATTATTACCAACAGTACTAGTTGATGTTTGGTGGCGTTCACATAGGAACATGATGATGTGTAAGTTTATGTAATTCACTACAATAAAGTCATGCTGTGAATATTATGTATAATTTCTTCTGTAGAGTACTAAAAATTGATATGTAATTTTGTGAGTATTTCGTCCAGTACATAAACGGTTAAAGATTTTCTATTTAATTAATAGCTAAGTATCAAAAAGTGTATAGAAATTAAAAATAAAATGAAAAGTTTAGTTACTTTCGCTGATACTTAAGGCTATTCTAACGATTTTATCGTGAAATTTACCAAGAGTAATCTAAACAAACTACGGATATATATTTAATAACAGTAATTTGACTTCAATAAACCGCTAGCACATTGTTTTAACTAAACCTTTCCAATTTATAATCGTGTAGATTATAGGTTTATACAGTTTTAGACCTGTTTTTTAAATTGACTTCAAATAACGGTTTCAATTATGAAATTACATATTATTTTTTTCTACGATTTTCATACAAAAATACTGTTTTTGAAGACCGTGGTGAAAAAATCAAAAACGATTATCAATAAACAAATTACTTTAAAATTGATCTATGAATAATTTTTTTTGCAATCTCCGATAATATTTGTGTTTAACAAAATTTTCAGTCTACAAGATTGAGTTGAAAAGCATCAATATATGAATTTATATTATTATTATTACTATACATTTATGTTATATAAATAGGTTTTTTTGTAAAGTTTATTTCTTTTCGACTTTTTTCATCGTATTTCAATACATATTATTTCTTATATATGATGAAATCGAAATATTTTCTATGACGTTACAAATGTTTGTGTCACAATCTGCTGATGTTAATGTTATAATATAATGCATAGCTACAGCTCCATTAACTTATTTATTCGAGTGTTCAATATTTCATGAATATACATATTAACTACTTATTTTAATTTCGGATGTATCTATTGGTAATCATAGTATTGCTTTACTCGTTATGAATAAACTGTATTTATTTGCTTTCATTGAATGGCTTAGCAGTTCCAAATAGACCCGATAAATTATCACGTTCAACTTAGAATGTGTCTTATTGATGAATCGTTTTTAATAATTATAGAAAAACGATAGAACTTTTAAGTATTCTTTTTGATTGATAACATTTCATGTATGATAGTGTATATATATATAATAATAAGGCAATCATTTTTTTTCTAACGAAAACAGAATATGACATAACATAGGTAAATGTAAATAATTTATTAAAAACAATCATTTGAGACCAATAGACCACTATAGTAACAATATATAACCAATAGTAGCCAATATATAACTTAGTATATGTGAAATATCTAATACAAAATATCTATCCGGCAGTCAAGGTTTTAAATATTTATTATATAAAAGTATATGTCTTACATTTAAATGTAAATATGGAGATAATTTTGTAACGCCAAATGGCACCCGACTTTGAACTGTTCCAATAAATTACTATATTTAATTTTTTATTTATAAAATAATAACTTAACAATACCTAGTTTGCTTAATAAATAATTAGTTTTTACGGATCAATATGATTTGGTTTTTTTTCTAATTCATACTTTATCCACATTGGATAATGTACAAATTATATATACTTAAGGTAGATAATGTATATGTTATACGGTTAATATGGATCAGGTGTAAATTACCTGGACAATGTGGACATTACCTATAATATATACATTATAAACATTTTAATAACATGTTTTTTGGACTGTATTAAAAATCAAATTAAAAAATAAACTATTATTTTAATACAATATATGATTAACGAACATAAAATGCATCGATCAAGAATTAAAAGTTATGATAAATATTCAAAAGAGTTAACAAATAAAAAAAATAATTGGTTTAAAAACCATATTTTTGTTACACATGTTTATATATAACTATATTTTCATGTTATTTTTTTATTGCGTTGAAGTGAATCATTTTCTGTATCATATTGATTTATTCTAAAACCTGTAAAATTGAAAAGAAATTTAAGTTAATAGGCTTAATAGTTGAATGACTATAAACTTACCCCAAACGAAATTATTGAGTCTGAGACAAGTAACCAAGAAAATAGTAGGTATAATGTAACTAAGGAATGAAAACACTACGATAAATTTCAGAATCGTATCTAAATAAATGTCGATTAATAGGTACACCCATCTTCCGGTTTGAACTCGTAACACGATCATCCTGATAAATAATATTGTCACAGTTATTTTAATAACATATTACTACGAAGAAATCTATAGCGTTTTCTGTATCTATATTATGTGGTCATGAACATAATATTGCAATTGACAAAAGATAGTAGCGCATTTTTTAAGGTTATTTGTTGTTATTTTAAATTTAAAAATATAATTATCATACATAAATAGCATTTTAAATGCAAGTCGATTACCAATATACTTATCAAGGCTTCGTTAAAAGTTAGTAATTATTTTTATTTTGTTTACGTTCATCAAATTAAAATTTATTATTAATGAGTTATAAGTTCCTGTGAGCTAGTGATATACATTTAAAAAAGAATATAATTGTACTAGAAGTAATTGTAGCTACAATTATTTAGTCGTTTTTATATTTCAGAAATTGAAAATGAAATAAAACTTGTATAATTATTAGCATATAATCGTGTATGATGAATAACTTACGTAGCTAAATAAATAGTTTCAACAGTGAGGAGACTAGCAATAGCTGGTTTTATTCTTGGCGATGGATGGTAAATGAGCAGTAGTTCAATGAATGCAACGAACATAGGTGTTGAATGTGACACATGATTAATAAATACTGGGATAATGTTGTTTATCTCTGACGGATAAACAGCATTACCAAACAATATCCAAGCAGCCCAAAATCCGCCGCAGACGCACTAAAACACATTCAAATATGATTTTTGATATAAAATTAGTTTAAAAAGTATGTTTATTTAAATAATTTATATGCAATAACTATTTATTTTATTTTGATCGTATCAATTGTAAAATGTTATTTTTGTTAAGTAGATGATTATCATTGTGTTATTGTTATTATCCTTGTATAGTTGGTTTTATTTATTGATGGCCGAACAAAAAAAGTTTTTAGATAATTAAAGAATAATACTGTATTAATTTTGATAAAAAATGCAGATCCATTAACTCTTTTCCTTGACGTTTTAAAATTTCACTATGTTTAATATAAAAAACAAATATAAAAAGGAAAAATAATATTTTTTATGTATGAAATTCAAAAATATTCTTAACATTTTATTCGATTTTGTTATCGATTTGATCGCAAACACAAATATTTTTTAAGCACTCCGTTGACTAATGAGTATCTATATAAGTGCTATAAATAATGATGCAAGATGGTTTTGTTGCCTATATATTCCATAAAATTAAAAAAATTTTATACGTTATATATGTTACCTATTTATTGTCATAGTTTATTACTTGTATATAAATCGTATATTTGTATTTGTATGATTGTTTTTATTTTTTAAAAGTTGTTTACATAGAACTATAAATTATATTCTAATATTTTTTTATTGAAAACACAAAATTATGTATATTACGCATTAATCAATTAAAATTGTTTTATTTCTCTTCACTAAGAAAGGTCATTTTGATAATATTAAAATTCTTAAGCAACATTTTATTATTAATTAAAATTTAAAAAATAATCATGCAATTTGATTTAAGATATAAAATTTATCATAAATTATCACTATTTGTAAGTTCAAGAATTTTTAATTAATTAATATATAATGTTTATGAAAAGGTTATAAAAAGGTTTATGAAAAATTAGGTTAAGTAGGTTTTGAAATATTGGCCAAATCGGAAATTCAGTATAACATGTGATATTAGTCTTTTGTATTTTTAAAAACTTGTCAATTCATTATATAAATTTCCTTTTAAGTATATATGATTTATGTATATTAATGAAGGATGTAATTTGATAAATTTTCCAATATTTTCTTAATAATTACAAAAAAAAACTGATGAAAAGTTTTTAAAAGAACGGCTACATTTACGTTACACCGGTTTTCAACAAAATCAAATTCTTTTCATCATCATTCAAAAATCTATTTTCGTAAAACTTGAAATTTGTACTAAATGATTATATCATGTTTTTCTGTATATTGTATGATTTCCAAAAGATTTTGTTATGCTATTTATAAATAATTAAAAATTTCATGTTTTCTTAGCTTTTCTCGAAAATTGGTTTGATAAAAAGTTTTGAAAATGTAACATAAGGCTTTTTTTACATATTTCATACTGATTAATAAAAATAGAAAAGATAACTAATGTTTGAATTTTACATTTTGACAAAACGATAAAAATTATGAAAGTCTGCTACATTTTGGTAGTTATTATTATTTATTTCGTATGACTATTTTAGTAGTACGAAAGGCTTAAATATATGTTTCAATTTTTCATAATGTTTTCTTTCTAGCAAAACAAAAAATTAGTGAAAAGACACAAAAAAGTTATATAAGTGTTAAAAAATGAAATTTTAATGAATTTTCATTAAATAATATTAGTTAAATAATTGTTTTCCTTTAAATATTGATCGTAGATACTTTAAACATTTATTTAGTACTCATAATAGTACTTGAAAAAAATTTCTAGTTTTTATTCGGTTGTAGTTTGGTTACACAGGGGAACATAATAATATTTTAATATCATTTACTCACCTACCTAGCTTTTTCTTGCAAAAATTATACATTGAAATTGTAGTCTGCTATATTTAAAATGTAGATTCTACTACTATAATAACCATCTCTAAAAATATAAATCAATTCACAATATCTCTTTCACTCAGAATAGTATTTTTGAGAGAAATAGCACATTATTTTAAGCTTATAAGACCAATACAAAAATATTATTCAACCATTCTTGTATGGCATTCAACCTTAAAGTCGCATCTTATATATATAATTGTTATTGTTACATATTTATTATATAGTATATATTGATACACTAACGCATAATAAAGCTCATTTTAGAAATTTGTATACTAATTATCGTACATATTATATACATGATCAATTGCATAATAGACGATTTGATACTATTTGTACTGAAAAATAATTTCTTCGGGGGTAGAAAAACGCGAAGTGGACAAAAAAAAAAACCAAGGAAGTGAGTAAATAACTCATATACATGTGCATGTGCATGGTAGTGTACAAGAAATAATAACAATATATAAATAGATACAGTATTTGTAATACTTTACAAATATAATAATACTTCAGGCTAAGCATTTATTTATTTATATATTAATTTGCGAGTGTTAAAAATTTATTTCATTTTTAACTTTTATTTTATTATAAATATTAATCAAAAAACACAATATGTATAAAATATCCATTGGCTGTGGTTTTTTTTAATTATTTTAATATTCCAGTTTATTTACAAGTTGGAGCATTGTTTTAATTAATAATCATCGTAGGAGTATTTGTTTCTTATTAATACAATGTATTTGACGCAAGAATTTAAAAAAATATTTACCAATGATAATGGCACCATAACGGTCATGAAAAAAAAGTCATTTATCTCTCGAATTGCATTGTTAATTTTTCTAATAATGACAGGCAGTGACAGTAGTTCAAAAAAGTCCAATACAGTAGCTATTGAAAAAAATCCCAAATGCATACACTAAAAAAAACAAAAAAAACATTATTTTTTTTTTTTAATATTCAATATTTTTACTAATATTCTCATGATGTATGTAATATTTGTTCTATATTTATGTCAAAGTATTTATTGTTCTTTGATGTTAATTAATTAAAATTAAATACAAATATTAAGAATATTAGTACTTTATACAACAAATTAACTGTATATATAGGTACTTAAATAATAAAAATATATTCAATAAAATAAAATATAAATCACGATATAATAAAATCTTAATTATTAATACATTAATTATTATTAATTATCATTAATTATTATTATTACATTATTTAATATTTGTACTATACAAAAAAAAAAAAAAAATGGAATATAAATCATTTTTATAATAAATATGGCTATACTATAACTATAATATATAGAATTAAATGTAACTTTAAATCATTTTTATATAAATCGGTTTCAGAATAAGTGAGAATTAATTATCAAATCCTAATCGCGTGAATATTATTCTTTATTAAATTTAATTAGTAGTGTAATCCTATCTAGAAATCCAGATTTTACACCCAATATGATATAAATAGAATAAAATAAAAAAATTAATGTGTGTTTATATATAAAAATAAAAATACTTAAGAAGAAAGCAAAATGTGTTTTTCTATCAAGAATGTATTTTTTATTATCAATGGTGATTATTTATTATAAAAAATCAAATGCGCATAAAGCGTATAGCAATAATATAATCCGATAAGAATGATTTATATTAGATGAAAATACATAAAATAACATACAAATAATATGTACGAAGACATATATTTAAAGATAAAGTGTTTTTATAGAAAAAAATCAAAAACAGAAGTAATATTATAATATGAACATTAATAGTAGTTATAAAGTCTGACAACCGAATTAGGTACCTATCGTGGTACAGAAATCATAGTTAATATTATTATTTTATTATATTTATCATTGTAATACAGAATTTTACCCTAAATAGCTAGGTTTATTAATCCATCAATATTAGATGTTTTTTAAACTCTATACTAGAAAATTAAATTTGGCTAGTTTAAACAATATATAATAAATATTATATTATGAAACGTATTTGTTTTGTATTCTGCTATTTCAGTTCCTGTGCAAAACAAATTTTCAAATACTTCAAGTTCTCTACCCTACTAATGATCAATAATTTAATTTAATTATATTTTTTTTTTTTTTATTTAAATAAATATTAATACATTAATTTTAAGTAAATATTAAAACATAAAAGTTGTTTATATAGATAAATAAGTATTGTTATTCTGATAATTAATAAATGAAAACATTTTTGTTCATATTAAATTTGTGTTTTAAATTAGTTAAAAGAAAATATTTCATTATACCCAAAAGTATTCTATTAATTCTTATAAAATGTTACCCTAGATTTTTATTTAGTGTTCAATAATCAGCATTACGGATATAACTTATCGACTGATAATTAAAAAAATAATGCGTCTATAATTCATTTTAGTTGATTGTTTTCATCCAAGAAGTTGATGTATACCGCCGTCCAAGGTTAACTATATTTATTATGTGTTGTTTTACACCCGATGATGATTTTTTAAATTGAAACCTGTCATATTTATTAGCATTTATTATACAATAATGCTCCAATCATGAACTTTCGATTTCATATTTTATATATATACATATATATATATTGATAGTGTGATTAAAAAATATTTAGAATAATGTAATAATTTCTTATACTTATATTCTTAAATTTTGTTATTATTTTCGTTTAAAAATTTTTGCAATACAAGGATTAAGAAACTATGAAGATAATACAGCATTATTAAAGGTTAGAAGCTAAAAAGTAACTTTAGGAATGCAGAAATGTCCAAAAAATGATGTACTAGCAGATATTCTATTTTAAAATTAAGATTTTACAAAGATAGGTCGAGAAAAATATAGGTGTATCAGTGGTGTATTTACGGGGGGGAGGATATGGGGGATGAATCTCCCTTAACCTTAATTTTTTTTATGGATAGTTAAGTTGTCTCATTTTGTGTATTTTTCAATATCATGTTACTTTTAAATATGTCTGCTTTCTTAAAAATACTCACAAGTCACAGCTATTTTACAGAGATTTTTATTCGAGTGGAATGTGCAAGTAAACTTGAAAGTGATTATAAGATGTAAAAAAATGAAGAACCCTTGCTTAAATATGTTTTTAAATAAAAATTGCTGTAAATAAGTATAATATATTTGTTAAGTCCTAGTGAATAAAAAAAAAGTACATGGTTTAAAAGTGTTAAACGATCTTAGAGTTACCATATATCATATACATAATGTTTAATGCATTGTAATAAATTTAATTTATTTTTAAGTGTTATGGTGGGAGTGAGAGGGAGTGGAGTCCCCCGCTTAAATGTGTCTGGAAAATTAATTGGACCCCCCCCATAAAAAAATTCTAAATACACCATTGAGGTGCATTCGGTATGTTTCTGTTAGTGGTGGATATATATTATAGGCATGTGGCGTAAATTATCATCGCCCTATATACAATGTAAGAAATATTTGGGCTTTGAAAATTATAAACATTAACTTCCCTTATTGACTAGTTATAATAATATTACAATGACTGGTCTATATTATATATCTATTAGCAGTGACGTAGCCAAGGGGAGGGGGGCTAAGGGGGCTATAGCTCCCCCAAGGGCCGTGTTTATATGTATAATGTATCTTGACTATTTAATAGAATCAATGGATGCTCGTTTTAATCAAAGGCTTATTGATGTTATGCCACTTGAAGGACTTATTCTCGCCAATTTAAATATGTATGACGATAAAAATATTATAAAAACTGCTAAAATATATGTCCAAGATCTCCATGATGATACCTCATCTACAATCAGAGCTAACCTGTTTATATGGAGGCAACAATGGAGTCAAAAAACTATTCCAAAACCGAATTCTGCTCTTGATTCACTCTCTCATCACACCAATCTTCGACCTAACATTAAAATACTTTTACAATTATTCGCCATGTTACCAGTTACCTCTTTCACTCCGGAAAGAACGTTTTCAGCACTTAATCGCTTAAAAATTTATTTAAGAAACACCATGTCGGAAAACAGACTGAATGGGTTAGCTATGGCTAATATAAATAAAAAAGAGCAATTCGATGAAAGTGAAATAATAACTGAATTTGCCAGAAATTCGCCGAAGAGGATGCAGCTGTCAGAGTGGAGCAAGTGACTGAACACTGAAACCAAAATTATTATTGTTATAAATTATATATTAATAAATATTTTTAAAACTATACTAAAATGCTTGAATTACGCTCAGAAACTTGATGGTAGATGGGGGGGGGGGTTAAGGCTGAATTCTCATATCCTCTCTTACCTTACTTATCCAAAAAAGTAGTTAGCCCCTCCCATTTAAAAATCCTGGCTACGTCACTGTCTATTAGTATATATTATTTATATTATTATATATTATATATATACTATAGATATATATGTAATGTATATTATATTATAATGTTAGACTGTTTACGGTCACTATGTATAATTTATATCACACGTTAAACCTATAAGTTTATTCCGGTATCCTACATTCGATTATCACTCAAAGAAGTAGCTGAACGGTTTTCAAATCTAGGAGGTCAAGTTTATGACCGTTCCGCTTGTGTTAAAAAATGTGATACGAGGAAATACAATTGTAAAGTTTCTGGAATATTATGCATTTCCAAACTCCGTAATTACGTATCAAAATACTCGTATATAAGTATCAATGTATTACGATATTATTTTTTAATGTTCACAACAATTCTTTTTTTTTTTTTATTGAATTATTTAATATTTTTCAAATGAGTAACAAAAAAATAAATAAATATTTAAGCTTAAACATAATATTTTTATTATTATTATTATGTAAAGCATTTTTTTGTTCACTTGACACTGTCAGTACTGGCCATTTTTTGGACAATACTTAGTCCATGTATATAATATTATTCACGTATCTCGAAAAACACGGGGATTGTATATAATGCCCAGTCAGTGTTCACTATGGCAATTTCTCCACTTGGACCGTGTCGGTATATACATTACTATAATGGACAGACCGTGGGAATATGTCGGTATTTGTTGGGAAAACTTCGTTGTATGATCGCTGGCAGGTACCTATCGTGCCTGGACGGTAGGTCGAAAAATGCCGGAAAATATAAAGTTGAAAAGAACAAATCCCGTACCGTGATTACGCAACTTTAAACCGTTCTTGCTCGGAACGTATAACATCGGCATTACACAGTCGTTATACCCCCTTCAGTGGATATGACTATCCTATTTTATCCCCCCACCAGAAAAATATTCCTATGTTCTAAAAACACAGCACAAATACAATAAAATATTAACAAATATACAATACAATAAATTATTTTTTTAAGCTATCTGTTTTTTAATGTAAAGACAATTGTGTAAGTATATACGTTAATTTATTAATGAAATTGGTTTTTTCTCCTTCCTGTTATATACTTCAAATAATTTTTAATAAAAAAATCATATGCAATTTTAGATTTCAGGACCACAATTTTGCTAATTTTCTAAATTTTATGATTTTTTGGTAACTGGCGTAATATACATGTAAAAAAGTTCGCTGTAGTCGATAACGGGTGGAACCATTTTCGGCCAAAATGAACCTTTCCCTTTTCGGCCAATTCACTTTTTGGCTATTCTGGAATGTCCGTTTTCGGCCAGTACACTATTTTGGCTACCAATTAAAAATATTTTACACGGTTTTTTCTGTAATACTATACCGATTATTTTTTGTATAATAATCTTATAATATTATTTAGTAAAATACGTTAGTCAAATGATATATAGAAAGTATAAAGTCATAATTTTCATAATTTACAATTTATTTTAAAATCTCATATTATGTCAATTAACCCTTTGATGCCCACTATATGAATACCTTTTAGAAATTTTTTTTTTTGAAACTAGATTAAAGAAGCATCAAATAAGAAAAATTTTGATTTTTTAATTTTCACAACTTTTGAAGTTTTTGAAGTAATGATTCTGTATGGAGTCATTGGGTCGATACGGTTGTAATTTGATCCATTTTATAATATATACCTAAATACCAATTTGTATTTTCAATTTTAAAACTTCATATATACATATTTTCTTATAATAAACCTTTTTTTGAAAAAATTGAAAATAAATAATTTTTATCAAATATCAGTCAGTTTTATTTAACACTGATATAAACTTACTTTGAGGAACTTAATTATTTTTAATATAATTCATTCTATATAATAAATTATTGTACATAGATATTATAGGTAAGCATTTATAAAAATATTAATATATATAGATTTTTTTTAATAGTAAATAAATTAATAACTTGTTAACTTTGGTAAAATGTTAAAAAATTAAAATCTCGTATTATGTAAAGTAAAATAATATCTAAAAATTAAAATTATGAGTTTTGCTTATGATAAATTGATAAAAGAAAATTCCCAATATAAGTTTAATATATAGAACGATGATAATGATGAAAGATATTCTATAGGTATAGATAGTTGTTAATTATTACTTTTATCGACCGTTAACGTATAGATGTTGAATTCCCCATAATATAATCAGTAATCCCTAATAAGTCTTAATATAGAGGAATATAGAGGATATGTGTGCATGTGCTACAGTTATTAAAAAAATTAAATTTTCCTAGTTTTATTTTTTTTTTTTTTGTGTAAATTTATAATATAATGTAACTTAATATTTTTTATTAAGATATGATTCACTATACAAAAAATAATTGGTATAGTATTACAGAAAAAACCGTGTAGAATATTTTTAATTGGTGGCCAAAATAGTGTACTGGCCGAAAATGGACATTCCAGAATGGCCGAAAAGGGAAAGGTTCATTTTGGCCGAAAAGTGTCCCGCCCGTCGATAACGCCTTACAAATAATTTCCAAGAATACTATGATTTTGGTGAAATCGATAAACATCTGGTTGTCACAGTACTATTACCAATCTAAGGAAACCCATGGTCAATAATTAGATACCAGACATTTGTAACACACGTATACACGATAGTATACTAATCAAAGGTTCGTTTTTATTGGCCCGACCGGGTCAGCTAGATCATTGTATGCATTGCGACTATTGTGACAATAACAACGACTATATGAGGTAATTATGTATAAATGTAGGCACGTATCAAATAATGTAGATAACTATAAATAATAACTATGCTATAGTTCAAGGGTGGTCAACTCAAAGTTACTATCGGACCAATTTTTAGAAAATTAAAATCTAGAAGGACAGAGGGCTATGTAACATAAGCGCCAAAGGTACAAAATTTACCTATAATTTACGCCAAAATATGTAATAACATAAGCGCCAGAAGCGTATTTTAGGGGGTGGTGAAGGGGGCGACTCCCCCTCTTGAATCCGTATTTAAGGAATCGATTATTTTTGTGATATATGATGTATGTGAGATAAACATTTCAAATTTATTTAATGTGGATCATTTTATAACGATACTTAGTGTCCATACCAGGACACCAAAACGTTTTTATAACGTTATAAGTATAACATAAACTCTTCAAAAAGCGATTGAAATCGATAACAGAACGAAACAGAAACGAAAAACGATTAAAATTAATATCGAATAACATAACAGAAAACGATTAACGATTGAAACATAAAAGAAATTTCCATGTAAAAATATTTATAACTATCAGTAAAAATGATTTGAAACATAGTTATTTTTGTAAAATTGACTTAAATTACTAGGTAATCTAAATAATATATATATAAAAAGGATGTTTAAAACAGCATACATTTTTTAACTAATAATATATAAATAAGCATCATCAGTTATAATTTAATTGTAGTGAACAGTGGCGTATCCAGGATTTTTTTTCGGGAGGGGTTATAGAAAATGTAACATTCAATTTTTTTTGAATTTTGTGTGTTTTTATTATAATCAATAGACAATATACATACATTAAACATTTTCGAGGGGGGGGGGGGTTATTACCCCTAACCCCACCCCTGGATACGCCACTGGTAGTGAATAACATTGAATAAAATAGTATGAAGTGTGAATATTCAACCCATGGTTCTTAAATCTGCATCATATATTTTATAACGCACTGCAAATGTTATCTTGTGGTGTTATATTTTATAGTCTTAATAGAAGTTATAAACATGTAGTTACACAAGATTAATTACATTTTTTCGAATGTATCGAGAGAAAATAACTGTCGAGCGAAGCAAGAAAATTTATTTTAGGATTAATAGCCATATTTTTTTAGTCCATATACCCACAAATATATTTACCAATACACCACTGGTTAAAGGTAATATATATATATATATATGTAGTACAATATTTAAAATATGTAATGCTATTTTACATAGTATTGATTGCTAAGTATTGCATTTGAAAACGTTTCAAATTTAATACTAATTTAAATAACACAAAACGCTAAATTGTTCATAACGTTTTAATTTTCAATAACGGTACAAGGAAATGTTTTTAAAATTTAAATTTGTATAACGTTTATTCGCTTAAATTTAATAACGCTTAAATTATTTATAGCGTTAAACGTTCAACTGCTTGTAACGTTTAAATATCCCATAACAGTAAACAATATATTTTATTTTGATTAAAGCCCTGGTCTATATATGGGCTAACCTAACCTAACCAAGTATAATTAGTGAAATATTAAATAAATCACAAGTGAAACTTTCAAAACACAGATAAGTGTTAAAAAAGAACTACACAAGAGACCATTCTAAGTGAATCCAGCATTAGATTAAAAAAAAAAAAAAGAACCACAAATATTAAGGATTCACCTGATTTTAAATATAATCCAAAATTTTGTTTATAAATTTTGAACCTGAATTAAAGAAAAAATTTGAGTTCCCCCTCTCCTAAAAGCAAGTCTAAATACGCCCCTGATAAGCACCAATCTAATATTGTATACCTGTTATACCTAACATTTAATATAAGCACCAAAATTACTGTTTTATCTAAGTAGTTATTTAATAATTGCGGTTTTATAAAAAAAATATCAATAATAAATTATGATATACATTATACATGCAAATAAATATAAATTTAATAAATTAGTTGATTTTTTAATCCCACTTTTTTCACATATCTGTACTTTTCACTACATTCATTACTCACTGTGTATACCTAGGATTTTGGGCGCTTTTGTATGATACGACTTTAATTTTTATTATCTCATTTTGGCGCTTACGTCTTCCACCGGGGCAGAGCATAGATGGCAAAAAATAAAATATAGATTTTATATTGTCACAATAGTCGCAACGCATACAATGATCTAGCTGACCCGGTCGGGCCAATAAAAACGAACCTTTGATTAGTATACTATCGTGTATACGTGTGTTACAAATGTCTGGTATCTAATTATTGACCATGGGTTTCCTTAGATTGGTAATAATACTGTGACAACCAGATGTTTATCGATTTCACCGAAATCATAGTATTCTTGGAAAAAGGCTTTATCGACTACAGCGAACTTTTTTACATGTTTATTACGCCAGGTACCGGAAAATCATAAAATATAGAAAATTAACAAAATTGTGGTAATGAAATCTAAAATTGCATATGATTTGTTAATAAAAATTATTTTAAGTAGATAGCAGGAAGGAGAAAAAACAAATTTTATTAATAAAATAACGTTCATACGTACACCATTGTCTTTACATTAAAAAACAGATAGCTTAAAAAAATAATTGTATTTGTACTGTGTTTTTAGAACGTAGGAATATTGTTCTGGTGGGAGGGGGGGGGGTAATAATATCCTAGGAAAATCATACCTCCCTCGAGGTACAATATTCTTAGTAAATTCTTACCGGGAGGTAAAATTATCCTAGGATATATTTACCGAGGGGTAAAATATGCCTAGGAAAATCTTAACCTCGCCGCTAATATTTTCCGGGGGTTACCTGTTACACCGACACTGCCAGCCGCGGTTCCGCTCTTACACCGGTCGGTACGTATACACGGCGCGCCCGTTACTCACCAGCGTCCACAGCGTGAGCATGAACCGCATGTACTTTCCCACTTCGGTGATGGTTGGGTACGAGATCGAGTCCCAGTCCACGGAACCGGACATCCACATGGCGTGACCATACAGCCACGCGAGCACGGCGTGCACCACGAGCCGGACGATGGCCGCTGGTGGCTGGCGGGCGGTGGTCCTCCTGACCGTCTGCGCCTCGGTGTACATGTCGGACCGAAATGATCGGCTGCCCGGACGCTCGTAACGCACTTGCCGCGCGCGCCTATCTTTCGAACGCGCGCACGCATTGGTCGTCATCGCCGCCGCCGCCACCGCCGTCCACGCTAACATTTTTTGTACGAAATCGGTTACAATCGCACAGCCCATAATGATGTACGCGTTATCGGCCAAAAACGGTCTTTGGACTCGATTACCATTAATCACGTGGTCTCTGCAGTGCCGAACGCTATTATTTTGCACCACCTCTAAACAATCTCGCTCTGCATGTGCCCGCGTACGTGCGTGCGTTTGTGTATGTGGTGTGTGTGTTGGTCATAGGCACCGATAACATTTTAGAGGGACAACATTTTGGCTACTCACATTTATAATATATATTTTTACGTAAATAGTAAAATAATAACATTTAATGAATGAAAGAATACAAAAAAAGAACATTTTTGTGCGGGCCTAGTCCCCAAAACCACTTAAAAAGCTCTAAAAACTCCTTTTAAAAGCAAACATCGGAAAACCTCGATTATCGTCTCGCCGAGCGAAATTTGCCGATATTTCCAAAGTTTTTACCAGGTACCTGACAATCTCGTATGACTGTTACACTATTGTGATTTTTTATTAATAATTATTTCTCCAAAATCTTGCAAAATAGAACGTAGTTTTTGTGTTTATTAAACTGTAATTCAGATAAAATACGAAAATTATGAAAATATATGTAGGTATATATGTATATGTACATGTATTATAAATAATGTTTTGAGGTCTTCAAGGTACATAAAGTTGCCAGATAATCGTTTGATAAGCAGTATAGTTCCCTATAAAAATGAACCGGACTAATCGGCAGGATATTGCTTAGGTATATTATTAGTTTGATTTTAAATGAAAATAAAAATTAACTTTTAATTCCTATTAATTAACTCCTATTACATACTTTTGTTGTTTCTAAAATTTAATGCATATAAATACACCAGTCTGTATTAATTATTATTGTTTAATTATTCTATTAAGTTTTAAAACAATAACAAAATTGGATTATATTTTTTGTACTTAACCTAATTTGATAGTCCCTGGAAGATAATTTGATACGGAATTTTTAAGTATAATATGTATTAAGTATGACTGAAACTTTGTTTAAGATAGGGTATTAGACAGTTGGTTCTAATTTCCAATTTAGCATTTTTCAATACTAACGTATTTATTATAATATTTTATACTGAATATATTTATGGCTCATTCAATAAAATTAATATGCAAAAGTATAATTTGACAAACTCAAATGGTTAGATAATTAATCCCATAGGGTTTGGCATTATTTTTGTTAAAAAAAATCCAAATAAATATAGATGTAATTTTATAGACGTTTAATACTTTTAATCGGCAAGATCAATAGTGTTTAAAAACTATTGACCTAAGCGGACCTGACACTTTTTTTTCTTAACTCAGCACCTCAATTAACTTTAAATAGTACATAAAATATTATTTCACTAGCTTATCTCGGTTCAAAATATTAATTAAAAAACACTCAACCTCATATCAGTTGTAAAGTTCACGTGCTAATGTACTACATGGTACGTAAAGTATAGTTATCGTTTTTTATTTATTTATCCGTATGGCATGACTATAGCTAAAATTACGAATGATGAATGTATCGTGATAAGAATCAAATTCATTTAAAGTTATACTTCATACAAAGGAAATATTGATAATTATGTTTCCATCTTATTTCCTCCTTCGTATAATGCTTAATTAGCTTAATTGAATGCATTTTAATTTTAAACTACACTATACGTTTATGTTAAAAATCATTCGAGAAGTATTAAAGTTTTGAATAAAAATGATTTGTTGGTTAACGGATAGTAGTCGTGTGTACACACAAAAGTTAGTCAATTTATGTATAATTTCAATAAAATAGAGTAACTCAATTTGATATAACTTTTCGAGTATTCAATTTTGTAAATAAAATATTTAAGTTAGTAATCGATAAGTTTTCGATTTTTAAATTGATGTAGATATATGTATATTTTTTTTACAAAGTTTGAAAACCTATCTCTGCAGATACTATGACTCCTTTACAATTATGATAAAGTGTCAATATAAACACACCATTTTAACTATTAAGTAATTAAAATCTTCAATAACAATTAACACAGCACGTAAAATAAAAAACAATAAGATAAACTTATAACTAAGATAATCATGTTGTTATAAACTGTAACCGATCAAATGACATTGAGCTTAACATTAAAATAAAATAACGATGTACTTTCATTCTGAATATTTAACTCTTACTAATTGAATGATGCATCAAGCTATAAAAAAATATATTTCCATTCAACTTATTTAAATTTTTAAATTTTCTAATTTTAATTTATAATTTCTAATAACATACTTCGTCTTCAAAGTGATTCAGATAACTTTTCTCTTTGATGTTCAATAAAAAACTTACATTTTTATAATTCCAGATGCACATTTATTTCGTTTATTCGTTCTAAAGAAAAAATAACTTCTAATTATAAAATTGGAGATTATAATTTTAAAAACCTTGCTTATATTCGTGATTTAGAAACAGGGACAGAACTAAGATAGGGCAAGTGAGACATTTGTACAGGGTCTTGCGATTTGAGAATATTGTCATGACCTTGCGTTTGCTCCCATCAAAGAAACTAAAAAGTAAAATCATTATACTAAAAACGTGAACTAAGAATATCAATAAATTATATTTTTCTAATGGTATTAAAATTAAATTTTAACGTATTACATATGTGTTCTTGTAAAGTAAAAATAATAAGTAGTGCATTAAACTTTTTAAATTATTATACCAGTAAGTTGTTGACAACTATTTGTGTTCTCTCCATAATATTATTATTATAATGTTATCATTTTATATTTTTTATTGTAAAAATAATGTCTACGAAGTTTGGCTATGATAAGTAATACGTGGCGCAAGGTGATTGAACATTGCTCAAAGGGTTGTATTTTGTCATTTTTTAGTTTTTTAAAGTTTATGTTGAAAACATATCGCTTAGAGTACAAGTTGATAGATTCTTTATTGTATAGCATAAAAATAACTAAAAAAAATATACTTAAATATTTTCTTTTAAATCTATTATTTTTCAAGAAACACAATAAAATATTCAAATAATTCGTTTTAATTCATATAATTAAATTTTTGGCAAAATTCTATTTTTATAATTATTTACGATTTATAAATGTTATTATATCATTTAAAATATCTATTATATTATAATTAGTATTTTACATAATTTTATTTTATCCTTCAATTAAAATATTTTTTCTTGAATCAGGATGATTTTTCCGAAAGTCAGTCACGATTTGAAAAGGAATTATTTTTGTTCCTCGTTTTTGATTATGATATAATTAAAATCTTCAACTAGTTTCACTGCTCTTTCGGCACAATCATTTATAACTTTTAAAGCGGCAAACTCCAATTTTTTTGTCAGCTGTTAAATAAAAGTGTTCTAGATGTAAAACATATTTGTAAGATTTATATTACTTTCGCTATTCATCGTGCATGATAATAGTCATCTGGAGTTTAATTATAATTACCATAATAAAATTTACCACCCAGAAATATAATTGATAACTTTATTAATTCGTTGTTATCTTCTATTGGTTTATTTTCGGATATTCTTGCATTACAATATTTAATAATATTTTCTGTTGCATCATATAATTTCAATTTTACATATTTATCCTCAATACCTGGTTTTATATTCATAGACTCAGTCTGAGACCAATTTTGCTGTCATTTTTTAAACAAAGGTAAATTAGGGGTAGTAGATTAAGCTATATTTTTATCAAATAAACATATATGAATGATTTCAAATATATGGTGTCTAAAGGCAAATAAAGAAGATCCTTTTCAAGCTTTTGTTTTTTTAAGAACACACGATCCTTGCAATCTTCCCATATTTGAAGATATCATACCACAACAAATACCTTGAATATTTTCTATAAGATTCCGCTCTACTTATGTGTTATAAACTGCTAAAGCTTGATCTTAACCAGTTACTGATTTTATGAAAAGGATACATAACTGTTCACTTACATTGAAACTAATTGCTATTGGAAATCTATTAAAATTTTCTTTCTCACATAGAAATGTTAATCATTTTCCATCGAAACTGACTACAACTGTACTAACATATTTTTTTTCAGAAATTTTCACGTAGTTTTTTTTGCATGTTCTGTCCTTAAATATTAACAACAATGATTAATGTATGAACCATTTATAATTAAATACCAGTAACATCAGCTTGTATCGAAAGAAGTTACTCGAAACTTACCTCAAAACGTTTTGTGAAATAAATTAAGCTAAGAGAAATTTTCAGATATTACACTTATATCTATTGAACAAGAAATATCTAACAGCAATGACTATCAAAATCTATTAGAAACTTTCGTTAAAAAAAAAAATGTTTTTAGTCATATCCAATGGACCAAGTAATAAGTATACTAGAATACAGTATACAAATAATATTCAAGTATTCTTATTATTCTTATTATTCATCATCAATAATAGCTTATTTAAAAATTCCGTATTATTTTTCTTTTCACAATCGCTCCTATAATAAAGATTAAAATAATTTTGGACCTCGTAAAAGTGTATTGTCCTGGGCCTAGCAAACCACAGCACCGTCCCTGTTTATTAATTACTTTATCAGATAACTTAAGCTTCTCTGAACATTTCATCGTTGGCCTTTGTAGCAAATAGACGTTTAGTTTTTGCTATCATTATTTCTGTGCATTAATATTTTAATTACATTTTTCAGTTCGTGATAAGTTTTAGGATTTAAAGTGTGAAGTATGTGATACTCGTTTCGCAGAATTAAATAAACCTATAAAATGCGATGAATGTGCTGCTCTTGTACATAAGAAGTCTTCGGAACTTACTGCTTCGGAAATCAAATGTGTCTCAATGATAAATAGAATTTTGAAATTTTCTGTGTTGATTGTGATCGTAATCTAAAAGACTTGCGGGATTTAAAAATGATGATTAAAAAAC